GAGCCCCTATACGAACTCTCATACTTACCATTTAAACATTTGCATTAATAAAATACTAGTCTATTTTAGAAGACCTGTATTGATCTCTTTTGTTCCACTACCAGATTTGAATTGATGCAAATTGACACTTACATTTCCTACCATTCTTCTTTAACAAACCTTCTCCCTTTTTCCCGCCATTTTTAACAGACTCAAGCTCACAGTCTTCCTCCCTCTCTCTCTTAGACCTCATCTGCCTCTCTTTTTCCCTCCATTCCTCCTCCATCATCCAGGTATACGTTTCCTTATGATTGTCAAGAGGTGAGGTGTATGTGGTGTGGAAGTCAGGCGCAGGACACCGAAGCTCAGTCCAACAGAGTTTACTAAATATCCAAAAGGTAACGATACAAATAAACGGCCTCAAAAGACAAACAGAGGCGAGCAATTACGCAACACTACGGACAGGCGAACAACAACACACAATCTAACCAATACAAAACAGGGAACTTATAGGACACGTAATCAGCACACAAACAGACACAGGTGTACAAGACAGACCAAAGCAATCACACACGAAACATCCAACGGTGGCAGCTAGTACTCCGGGGACGGCGAACGCCTTTGCCTGCCCGAACCAGGAGGAGGAGCAGTCTCGGCCGAAACCGTGACAATGATAATACTGCACTTCTCCTGACATACATCTGTTTCTTGCTTTCTCAAGGGACTCCATTTACCTTCCTACACTTATTCATTGCGCTTTCGATAAAATATTAGCAATAAACTTCCCTGCTTCCTCCTGTTTTCTACTGCTGTTGCTTGGGTCCCCTCTGTCATGTTGAAAGAACAAATTATCTGTCGGCATTTATAAAATTGTACCTGAAACTAGGCTACATGTCTTTTTTTTTTAAATAAGGTATGACTTTACTAGCCTACTGGCATAACACTGTGGATGGAATAGAAACGTGGTTAGTGAATGTAAAAGGAACCCCCTTTGAATCAGCTTTTGTTTTGTTAGAGAAAAACATGCACTACTTCTTATTTTATCTCACATTTTTTTTTGCACAATTAATTTAATTAGTTTTGATCACTTTACACATTTATTTTGGGATAGATCCCTGCAAATGTAATTTGCCTAATGAAGCGCGAGTTATGGAGAAGGAACATATCGTTTCAAGCAGGAGCATTTCCCTCCACGTTCACTCTCCTCGATCACCTAATGTCTATGACCGGAACCCTGGTTCCTTGTTTTCTAAGAGGAAGAGTCCGATCCCAAGTTTCTCACTTGGGAGGTATCAGAATCAACGAATAGCAAGTTCTATGGTCTATACCAGGGGTGTCAAACGTACGGCCCGCGGGCCGGGTCAGGCCCGCAAACGGGTTTAATCCGGCCCGGGAGATGATTTTGAAAAAAATAAATAAAAAAATAAAAAATAAAAAATGTGTAAAGTATAAAAATGCGCTGCAATTTTTCAATTAAATAAACTGCTGTTCCAATTGCGTCCACTGGATGGCGCAATAGCAATTGTGTTGAGCAAGCAAACTGTTTATACCGGGGCAGAGCAAGTAGGTCAAGCACGTGCAGCCAATGAGCTACTTTGTTTTTCCCGCGATATTTATTACGGCTTCTACTTTTAACATTATGTGCTTTGGCACCCTCATTGCCCCAATATGTCTCTGTCAAAAAAGAGAAAAGTGGACGCAGAGTGCAGAGTGTTCCAAGAAAAATGGTCATCCTATTTAATGACGGAATTGAATGGGAAAGCTGTATGTTTGGTGTGTTCAGAGCATGTTGCAGTGCTGAAAGAATATAACCTTCGTCGCCACTATGTGAGTCTTCATGCCGACAAATATGACAACTTTCAAGGACAGCGGAGATGAGAGAAGGTGAATGAACTGTTGGCGGGTCTGAAGAAACAGCAGTCTGTGTTTACTCACAGCCGAGACATCAGTGACGCTGCAGTGAAAGCTAGCTACCTCATTGCTAATGAAATCGCAGTGGCTTCAAAACCATTTAGTGAGGGTGAATTTGTAAAAAACATGCATGATGAAGGCAGCGGAGATTGTGTGCCCTGAAAAGCGGCAGGCTTTTGCAAATATCAGCCTGACAAGAAACACAGTTGCAGACAGGATTTCCGATCTTTCAGTGGATTTGGACAGCCAGTTGAAGCAAAAAGTAAAGTCATTTATTGCGTTTTCGGTTGCAATTGATGAAAGCACGGACATTACAGATGTTGCACAACTGGCCATTTTTTCATCCGCGGAGTTGATGACACATTGACCGTCACCGAGGAGTTCGTGGAGTTGGTGCCGATGACAGATACAACGACAGCAGCTGATATTTTTACCGCACTCGTCGGCGCGCTGGACAGGGTCGGAGTGGACTGGTCCTGCGCTGTCAGCCTGGCTACAGATGGTGCGCCCTCAATGATCGGGAAAAAAGCAGGCGTTGTGACAAAGTTCAGAGAGAAAGTGCAATCTGCAAATGGAGGACGTGATTTTTTTACTTTTCACTGTATTTTGCACCAGGAGGCTTTGTGTTGCAAGTCATTAAAGATGGATAACGTCATGAAGGTGGTCATCCAAACTGTTAATTTCATCCGATCCAGAAGCCTGAATCACTGTCAGTTTGACAGCCTTCTCAGAGAGAAAGACCACATCTATGGCCTGCCATACCACACTGAGGTAAGATGGTTAAGCCGAGGTGCTGTGCTGAGGCGTTTCTTTGATTTACGAGAAGAAATTGAACAGTTCATGGAAGAAAAGGGCAAACCAGTGTTAGAATTTCATTCCGCAGAATGGATGCCGGACCTTGCATTTATGGTGGATGTTACAGAGCACCTGAATAACTTGAACAAACAGCTGCAAGGGCGCAACAAAGTTGTCACGCAGTATTATGACAGCATACGTTCTTTCAAGTTGAAGCTGTCATTGTGGGAGACGCAACTTGCCGGTGGTGATGCAGCTCACTTCCCCTGTCTGAAAAATGTGTGCGCGACCCAACATGTGGCAGACATGAAGCGGTTCAAAGATAAAATAACGGGACTGTTACGGGAGTTTGAGCAACGCTTTCAGATTTATGTTTATATGTTTTTATGTTGATGTGCTATTGTTTTTAATTGATTTTATTTTATTTGTATATTTAACCTATTCTTGACTCTGTGGTTCTTGCACTTGTTTGGGGAACAGGATTTCATTATTTTTATCTACATTTCTGCCTGAGAAATGACACCCTGATATAGTTCTGTGATCTGTGATATACTTCTGTGAATCACTGAGGCATTGTGTGTTTGTGTGTTCTTTGTCCTCAGAACTTTCAAATAACTTGAGGTGTTTTATGATTAATAGTGATGTTGTGCTTTTGGACACTGTCCTCAGGCTCCAGCTTTATGTTTATATGTTTTTATGTTGATGTGCTATTGTTTTTAATTGATTTTATTTTATTTGTATATTTAACCTATTCTTGACTCTGTGGTTCTTGCACTTGTTTGGGGAACAGGATTTCATTATTTTTATCTACATTTCTGCCTGAGAAATGACACCCTGATATAGTTCTGTGATCTGTGATATACTTCTGTGAATCACTGAGGCATTGTGTGTTTGTGTGTTCTTTGTCCTCAGAACTTTCAAATAACTTGAGGTGTTTTATGATTAATAGTGATGTTGTGCTTTTGGACACTGTCCTCAGGCTCCAGCTTTATGTTTATATGTTTTTATGTTGATGTGCTATTGTTTTTAATTGATTTTATTGTATTTGTATATTTAACCTATTCTTGACTCTGTGGTTCTTGCACTTGTTTGGGGAACAGGATTTCATTATTTTTATCTACATTTCTGCCTGAGAAATGACACCCTGATATAGTTCTGTGATCTGTGAAACAGTTCTGTTAATCACTGAGGTATGTGTGTTTGTGTGTTATTTTTCTTTAGAATTTTCAAATAAACTTGACGTGTTTTCTGATTAATAGTGATGTTGTGCTTGTACTATTTTGGACACACTGTCCTCAGGCTCCAGCTTTATGTTGTATGTTGATCGTATTAAAACAAAGAAAACAATCTGAAGTTGTTGTTTTTAAGTTATATATACCATGATTTTTCCGGTCCGGCCCACTTGGGAATAGATTTTCCTCCATGTGGCCCCTGAGCTAAAATGAGTTTGACACCCCTGGTCTATACAAATGACTTACATTCATTTGAACTGGTAGGTACCGGGTTTCCGACATGACGTGAACGTGGGGAAATTCCTACCTGTCACGTGCGCACCCCATACCAAACGCTGCCTAAAAACTATTTCCAGGTTGGGAAACGACATATTACAACTGGGAAGAAACGCTATCGATAGAGGAGCGGTAAAACAGTGAAAAGGGGGAAACCCTGTAACACTAGAGGTAAGAGTTATCAGGCCGTATTATTTCAGCTATCCGCAGCTCGCTAGCTAGCTACTGAGCGAGGCAGGCTCCGTTGTTGGCAAGCTAGTTAGTTGAGGCAGGCTTGCCATGTCAAAACGGGCCCCTGCTGATAATGAGGTAGTCTGTAGGTAAACTTGTTGTGTTGGAGTTAATCAGCGACATTGGCAGCCACAACTGTTCACAGTAAATATGAGGAAAACTTTCGTGTTTAAAAAGTAGAGCTGACTAACCTCCCAACTGATGCAATCAGATGTTTCAAGTTCAAAGTTAGCTAACGTTAACATGCTAGCTAACGGCAGCAGCAGCCAGCGTTTACATTTGCTCTACCGTCGTTAGCATTTGGAACTGCTAGCGAACTAGCTAGCTAACTGTCACTCAATCGCTTATGCAAATGATTCAAACGATGTTCGTAACTAGCTAACATTATTTAGATAGCTGATTTAGCTAACAAAATACTTAACGGTCTACGTATGTGTTGATAGTCGATATTATTGTTCAACACGTGACTTGCTGAGGTGGCTAGCTACAGTAACCAGCTAGCTGGCTTTAATGTGGCGTCATTTCGCTAGCTACCTTCGCCTTGAAAAAGGGACGTTCAAATAACTCATAGTTAAAATGAAAGTTTATGGAAATATATAGCTGTCTATAGTTGTCCATACACCAATGGCTTTATGTCTCTCCTCAACAAGGATAAATGTTAAATGCATCTCAACAACTAAGCCTTCATTGGCTGATTACAGTATTTGCCCATCCAGTATCTCACTCTGATTTGCATAGTCTTAATGGCTGACTCAAAATTACTTTACAGGTGCACAACTAACAACGTACAGCCAGCATAATCCCCCCTCCCCCCCTCTTTTATATGCAAAGTATCACCAGCGAAAGTATATTACAATGAGGTCTGACAAGGCCTAGTGGAGCTGAGACTAAGGCTGCATTTCCACAATGTCTCCATTGGTGCATCTCGATACAGTGTAGCTCAGTTGGTAGAGTATGGCGCTTGGGTTGTGGGTTTGATTCCCACGGGGGACCAGTATGAAAATGTATGCATTCACTACTGTAAGTCGCTCTGGATAAGAGCGTCTGCTAAATAACTCCAATGTAAATGTAAATATATTGATATTATTCATTCTTTATATTTTCCTTACAGCGATCATGGTAGGCGAACGCCGCAATGGGAACCTACTTGTCCAGCTGGGCACAAAGCTGCAGGCCTATCCAGAGGAGTTGATCAGGCAGCGGCGGACTCACGATGGCCAGACAGAGTACTTGATCCGCTGGTGCCTGCTGGCCATAGACAACGGTAGTGGCTCTGGTGGAGGGGGCAACGAGGCAGGAGGAGGTGGGGGAAGCAGTTCAGGGGTGGGTGGCTCCAGCGGCTCAACTTCAGGCGAGAGCAAGACGGAGAACATCCTGATGTGGATGTCAACGGAGGATGTCTACGCCAACTGCCCCACGCTACTGGGCAAACGCAAGGCAGACACCCAGCGGCCCCTTCAGGAGGAGGAGAGGCCCAGTGGAGAGTTCCCTACTAATGTCACCTTTGACGAGGTGGAGCTCTCAGACATGAAGGACGATGTTAAGAACTTGGTCACGAGGGCCCGCAAGCAGATGGCCAAGAAGAGCGACTTTGCCATCAGCATCACACACACCATCCACGTGCTTAGTGCCTACGCCAGCATCGGCTCACTGGTGGGCGTCTTCAAGGAGACTGGTGCCCTGGACCTGCTCATGGAGCTGCTCTGCAACAAGGAGCGACAAACCCGCCGAAGTGCTGGGAAGATGCTTCGGGCTCTGGCCTCTCATGACGCAGGTATGGTTTTTTTTATAGTTTCATTCTTAGACTGTCCCAGTGTCAGCCATATAGGAAACGACAGAGTGGAGAGACTGAGGCTGTGATAAGTGGTTTTAACACATTTCCTACTGATCACCTTCTTTTCAAGATCACTGACTGGACAGAAAAAGCAGCCTTACTGGTAGGCTAGGCAGGGTTTCTACCCTGTTGCTTTCACGTAGACTATCCTTTACTAGGGTCCTATAAAATCTGTAATTCAACTATATTAAAACATTTATTGAACTTAGTAGGAAATCAATTAAATGTATTGAACTTATTAGAACATTAATTCATTTGACCAACTTTCTGAAACAGCACAGGAATGTGTGTTGCACGTGTATGTCTACATTATGTAGCCTTTACCGATGATGCTAATGAGCACCTTCTGGTAAAGATGGAAAGGCTTTCTCAATTAAATGTTAACTACACTGAACAAAAATATATAAACGCAACATGTAAAGTGTTGGTCCCTTGTTTCATGAGCTGAAATAAAAGATCCCTGAAATGTTTTGGGTGCACAAATTTGTTTACATCTCTAAGTATTTCTCCTTTGCAAAATAATCCATCCACCTGACAGGTGTTGCATATCTAAAAGCGGATTACAGTATGATCATTACACAGGTGCACCTTGTGCTGGGGACAAAAGGCCACTCTAAAATGTGCAGTTTTGTCACACAACACAATGCCACAGATGTCTCAAGTTTTGAGAGAGCATGCAATTGGCATGCTGACTGCAGGAATGTCCACCAGAGCTGTTGCCAGATAATTTAATGTTAATTTCTCTACCATAAGCCGCCTCCAACATCATTTAAAAGAATTTGTCAGTATGTCCAACTGGCCTCACAACCGCCGACCATGTGTATGGCATTGTGTGGGTGAGAGGTTTGCTGATGTCAACGTTGTGAACAGAGTGCCCCATGGTGGGGTTATGGTATGGGCAGGCATAAGCTACGAACACAATTGCATTTTATCGATGGCAATTTGAATGCACAGAGATACCGTGACGAGATCCTGAGGCCCATTGTCGTGCCATTCATCTGCCGCCGTCACCTCCTGTTTCAGCATGATAATGCACAGCCCCATGTCGCAAGGATCTGTACACAATTCCTGGAAGCAGAAAATGTCCCAGTTCTTCCATGGCCTGCATACTCACCAGACATGTCACCCGTTGAGCATGTTTGGGATGCTCTGGATCGACGCGTACGACAGCATGTTCCAGTTCCTGCCAATATCCAGCAACTTCGCACAGCCATTGAAGAGGAGTGGCCACTCTCTCCTTAAAAAAAATACTTTTAAAATTAGTTGAATACTAACAACTAAAGACATTTAGTTGAAAAAAAGCACATCTTCCGCTAGTAAAAGACTCATCCGATTCAATATTCAGGGGTCGCGTTAATGCAGGACTGCCTATCTTGCTGCGCTTTTGTAAATGCAGATCTAAAAGGCTGCTTATTGTAAATTCTGCTCGGCTTCAGTTAGGGTTCACTCGAAATCATGAATGTAGAAGGACTAATTTCATGCTTCAGTTGCAGTTCTCCACTTGGATGAAAATATATTTGCACTCTTCATTGGATCTCCAGACAGCACTCTGACTGTGTAGGCTACTTTTTTACAGTACCTTCCTCCTGTGTAGTTTTTCTCTGGTTGCAAGTTAAAATTAACTTCAAGCTAGATATTAGGAAATGTAGCTGGCTAAATTCTTTCTAATTATAAACATTAGAAATATGAATGCCATGCATTGTTTTTGGAAAAATACCTTGCTCTAATTTACTTGTGTGGCTGTTAGCTAAATAGCGTTGCACTTCTGCTGTCATCTGATAAATGATTTTCTGTCAAATGTGTTGCACTTATGTATTTTGTGTGAAGAAAAACTAGTTGAATGCCCCTTATCAGTCTATTGAAGCCAAAAAACACTGACTGTCAATATGAAACGCCGGTGAAATGGTTTAAAAACTTTTTTTTTTTTTTTTATGGTCTGCGTTTTTGAATAGGCATGTTTCTCAATGCTAATGAGACCCCTGGTATTTGTGGACTGGAGGGGACTAAGTTGCTGTAACTTCCGAGAACACAAACACTTCCATCTTACATAGCGTGCTAGTGAGGGACGGAGAGGGGGGGGGGACAATATAGTAGGGCTGGCCCCAACAAAAAAGAAATCTTGGTTGACAGTCGTCTGTTCTTTCGCACAATTGATAGGTCAACATTTTATGACCTATTTTTCCATATAGACACACCCTATGTTTTTAATAAAATCAACTATGTAAACTACTGCGCTTGTATGATGCTTTAAGCGTTATGATTAAAAATGAAGACCCACAAATTACTCAAGGGGGAGCCAGAGATCAGTATAGCCTAACCAGAAGAAAAAACCCTGTTCCTGACCCCTCGCCCGCTGCTGCTTGCCTTCTGTCGTTTAGTCTCCTGAAGTTGCCGGTAATAGGCTACACCAGCGGTCGACAACCTTTTCCATTTGGAGGGCCAATTTATCATACCATTTCTACTGATATCTGTGCCAGTTATGATTTTCATATTCACATTTTCATGGAACAGTTTCATTTTAATTTATAATAGTCTTCAGTACAGTAGAATATTTTTTCCAGAAAATCACATTGTAGGATTTTTAATGAATTTATTTGCAAATTATGGTGGAAAATAAGTATTTGGTCAATAACAAAAGTTTCTCAATACTTTGTTATATACCATTTGTTGGCAATGACACAGGTCAAACGTTTTCTGTAAGTTTTCACACACTGTTGCTGGTATTTTGGCCCATTCCTCCATGCAGATCTCCTCTAGAGCAGTGATGTTTTGGGGCTGTCGCTGGGCAACACGGACTTTCAACTCCCTCCAAAGATTTTCTATGGGGTTGAGATCTGGAGACTGGCTAGGCCACTCCAGGACCTTGAAATGCTTCTTACGAAGCCACTCCTTCGTTGCCCGGGCGGTGTGTTTGGGATCATTGTCATGCTGAAAGACCCAGCCACGTTTCATCTTCAATGCCCTTGCTGATGGAAGGAGGTTTTCACTCAAAATCTCACGATACATGGTCCCATTTATTCTTTCCTTTACACGGATCAGTCGTCCTGGTCCCTTTGCAGAAAAACAGCCCCAAAGCATGATGTTTCCACCCCCATGCTTCACAGTAGGTATGGTGTTCTTTGGATGCAACTCAGCATTCTTTGTCCTCCAAACACGACGAGTTGAGTTTTTACCAAAAAGTTCTATTTTGGTTTCATCTGACCATATGACATTCTCCCAATCCTCTTCTGGATCATCCAAATGCACTCTAGCAGACATGTACTGGCTTAAGCAGGGGGACACGTCTTTGTTACTTTGGTCCCAGCTCTCTGCAGGTCATTCACTAGGTTCCCCCGTGTGGTTCTGGGATTTTTGCTCACCGTTCTTGTGATAATTTTGACCCCACGGGGTGAGCTCTTGCGTGGAGCCCCAGATCAAGGGAGATTATCAGTGGTCTTGTATGTCTTCCATTTCCTAATAATTGCTCCCACAGTTGATTTCTTCAAACCAAGCTGCTTACCTATTGCAGATTCAGTCTTCCCAGCCTGGTGCAGGTCTACAATTTTGTTTCTGGTGTCCTTTGACAGCTCTTTGGTCTTGGCCATAGTAGAGTTTGGAGTGTGACTGTTTGAGGTTGTGGACAGGTGTCTTTTATACTGATAACAAGTTCAAACAGGTGCCATTAATACAGGTAACGAGTGGAGGACAGAGGAGCCTCTTAAAGAAGAAGTTACAGGTCTGTGAGAGCCAGAAATCTTGCTTGTTTGTAGGTGACCAAATACTTATTTTCCACCATAATTTGCAAAAAAATTCATTAAAAATTCTACAATGTGATTTTCTGGATTTTTTCCCCCTCAATTTCTGTCATAGTTGACGTGTACCTATGATGAAAATTACAGGCCTCTCTCATCTTTAAGTGGGAGAACTTGCACAATTGGTGGCTGACTAAATATTTTTTTCCCCCACTGTATACTTGGGGTCATTTTCTATTTGGAAGACCCATTTGCGACCAAGCTTCAACTTCCTGACTGTCTTGAGAATTTGCTTCAATTTATCCACATAATTTTCCTTCCTCATGCTGCCATCTATTTTGTGAAGTGCACCAGTCTCTCCTGCAGCAAAGCACCCCCACTGCATGAAGCTGCCACCCCCGTGCTTCACGGTTGGGATGGTGTTCTTCGGCTTGCAAGCATTCCCCTTTTTCCTCCAAACGTAACGAAGGTCATTATGGCCAAACAGTCTATTTCTGTTTCATCAGACCAGAGGACATTTCTCCAAAAAGTACGATCTTTGTCCCCATGTGCAGTTGCAAACCGTAGTCCTCTGTAGCTCAGCTGGTACAGCTGGTAGAGCACGGCGCTTGTAACGCCAAGGTAGTGGGTTCGATCCCCGGGACCACCCATACACAACAACAAAAAATGTATGCACGCATGACTGTAAGTCGCTTTGGATAAAAGCGTCTGCTAAATGGCATTATTATTATTATTATAGTCTGGCTTTTTTATGGCGGTTTGGAGCAGTGGCTTCTTCCTTGCTAAGCGGCCTTTCAGGTTATGTCGAAATAGGACTCGTTTTACTGTGGATATAGATAATTTTGTACCTGTTTCCTCCAGCATCTTCACAAGGTCCTTTTGTTGTTCTGGGATTGATTTGCACCAAAGTACGTTCATCTCTAGCAGACAGAACGCATCTCCTTCCTGAGCGGGATAACGGCTGCGTGGTCCTGTGGTGTTTATACTTGCGTACTATTGTTTGTACAGATGAACGTGGTACCTTCAGGCTTTTGGAAATTGCTCCCAAGGATGAACCAGACTTGTGGAGGTCTACAACATTTTTTCTAAGGTCTTGGCTGATTTCTTTTGATTTTCCCATGATGTCAAGCAAAGAGGCACTGAATTTGAAGGTAGGCCTTGAAATACATCCACAGGTACACCTCCAATTGACTCATGATGCCAATTAGCCTAGCAGAAGCTTCTAAAGCCATGACATCATTTTCTGGAATTTTCCAAACTCTTTAAAGGCACAGTCAACTTAGTGTATGTAAACTTCTGACCCACTGGAATTGTGATACAGTGAAATAATCTGTCTGTAAACAATTGTTGGAAAAATAACTTGTCATGCACAAAATATATGTCCTAACCGACTTGCCAAAACTATAGTTTGTTAACAAGAAATTTGTGGAGTGGTTGAAAAATAAGTTTTAATGACTCCAACCTAGGTGTATTTAAACTTCCGACTTCAACTGTACATTCATATTATTAATTTTAGCTCTCTGTGTACATCCAAGGGTCAGCCGTGCTGCCCTGTTCTGAGTAAATTGCAACTTTACTAAGTCATTTTTTTGTGGCACCTGACCACGCGACTGAACAGTAGTCCAGGTGTGACAAAACTAGGGCCATTAGGACCTGCCTGGTTGATAGTGCTGTTAAGAAGGTAGAGCAGCGCTCTATTATTACATACTTCTCCCCATCTTAGCTACTGTTGTATCAATATGTTTTGACCATGACAGTTTACAATCCAGGGTAACTCCAAGCAGTTTTGTCACCTCAACTTGCTCAATTTCCACATTATTTATTACAGTATTTAGTTGAGGTTTAGTGAATGATTTGTCCCAAATACAATGCTTTTAGTTTTAGTCTTAAATAATTCTAACTTATTCCTTGCCACCCACTCTGAAACTAACTGCAACTCTTTAAGTGTTGCAGTCATTTCAGTCGCTGTAGTAGCTGACATGTATAGTGTTGAGTCATCCGCATACATGGACACTATTGCTTTACTCAAAGCCAGTGGCATGTCATTAGTAAAGATTGAAAAAAGTAATGGGCCTAGAAAGCTGCCCTGGGGAATTCCTGATTCTATCTGGATTATGTTGGAGAGGCTTCCATTAAAGAACACCCTCTGTGTTCTGTTAGACATATAACTCTGTAGCCACAATATAGCAGGTGGAGTAAAGCCATAACACATGTTTTTCCAGCAGCAGACTATGGTCGATAATGTCAAAAGCTGCACTGAAGTCTAACACAACAGTCCCCACAATCTTTTTATCATCAATTTCTCTCAGCCAATCATCAGTCATTTGTGTAAGTGCTGTTCTTGTTGAATGTCCTTCTCTATTAGCATGCTGAGAGTTTGTCAATTTGTTTACTGTAAAATAGCATTGTATCTGGTCAAACACCCTTTTTTCCAAAACTTTACTAAGGGTTGGTAACAGGCTAATTGGTCGGCTATTTGAGCCAGTAAACGGGGCTTTACTATTTTTAGGTAGCGGAATGACTTTTGCTTCCCTCCAAGCCTGGGGGCACACACATTCTAGTAGGCTTAAATTGAAAATATGGCAAAGGAGTGGCAATATCGTCCGCTATTATCCTCAGTAATTTTCCATCCAAGTTGTCAGACCCTCATGGCTTGTCATTGTTGACAATACATTTTTCACCTCTTCCACACTCACTTTACGGAATTCAAAATTACAATGCTTGTCTTTCATATTTGGTCAGATATACTTGGATGTGTAGTGTCAGCAATTGTTGCTGGCATGTCATGCATAAGTTTGCTAATCTTGCCAATGAAAAAATCATTAAAGTAGTTGGAAATATCAGTTGTGTTTGTGATGAATGAGCCATCTGATTCAATGAATGATGGAGTGGAGTTTGCCTCTTTTCCCAATTTTCATTAAAGGTGCTCCAAAGCTTTTTACTATAATTCTTTGTCATTTATCTTTGTTTCATGGTATAGTTTCTTCTTTTTATTCAGTTTAGTCACATGATTTCTCAATTTGCAATATGTTTGCCAATCGGTTGTGCAGCCAGACTTATTTTTCATTCCTTTTGCCTCATCCCTCTCAACCATACAATTTTTCAATTCCTCATCAATCCACGGGGATTTCATTTTTTGGTGATTTTCTTAATGGGTGCGTGCTTATTAGTAACTGGAATAAGCAATTTCATAAATGTGTCAAGTGCAGTGTCTGTTTGCTCCTCATTACACACCACGGACCAACATATTCTTTACATCAACAACATAGGAATCACTACAAAACTTATTGTATGACCTCTCTTATACACAATATTAGGCCCAGCCTTTGAAACTTTGGTTTTCCAAGATATGGCTACTACATTGTGATCACTACATCCAATGGATTTTGATACTGCTTTCAAACAAATGTCTGCAGCATTAGTAAAGATATGATCAATACATGTTGATGATTTAATTCCTGTATTGTTTGTAACTACCCTGGTAGGTTGACTGATAACCTGAACCAGGTTGCAGGCACTAGTTACAGTTTGAAGCTTTCTCTTGAGTGGGCAGCCTGATGAAAGCCAGTCAAAATTTAAATCACCCAGGAAGTATACCTCTCTATTGAAATCACATTCATTTCACACATGTTATCCAGATACTGACTGTTAGCAGTTGGTGGTCTATAGCAGCATCCCACCAGAATGGGCTTTAGGTGAGGCAGATAAACCTGTAACCATATTACTTCAACAGTATTTAACATGAGATCCTCTCTAATCTTCACAGGAATGTGGTTCTGAATATAAACACCACCATTGGCATTTCTATCTTTTCTGTAAATGTTATAACCTTGTATTGCTACCACTGTATCATCAAAGGTATTATCTAAGTGAGTTTCAGAGATAGTCATAATATGAATGTCATCTGTTACTAGCAAATTATTGATTTAATGAACCTCGTTTCATAAGCTACATATGTTAACGTGGGCTATTTTGAGCACTTCTTCTGGGATGCTTACTTGTTTTTATTGCTTTACTGGGAAGCTTAGCAGCAGTAGATGTGCTCATGTTCTTTATCTTAGTGCAGGGTGAGCTGTACACAGTGGACTTCCTCCTCGGGCACACCGGCTCAGTGCTAACAGTATAACTCTGGTTCTTAGGCACATGATTACTGCATACAATAGCTGTAGATCAGCAGAGGCATTCAGGGCAGTTAGAGGGACATAGTGTAGACATTACTGTGAATTGCTTACTTACAGTGCATTTATTTTTAATAAAAAAGTAAAATAAAACAACAAAGGGTTGAGGGGAAAAAAAGAGCAGAAGAAAAATAACAGTAGGAAGGCTATATACAGGGGGGTACTGGTGCAGAGTCAATGTGCAGGGGCACCGGCTAGTTGAGGTAATTAACAGAGTAGCAGCAGCGTAAAAAGATGGGGTGGGGGAGCAAATAGTCCGGGTAGCCATGATTAGCTGTTCAGGAGTCTTATGGCTTGGGGGTAGAAGCTGTAGAGAAGCCTTTTGGACCTAAACTTGGCGCTCCGGTACCACTTGCAGTGCGGTAGCAGAGAGAACAGTCTATGACTAGGGTGGCAATTTTTAGGGCCTTTCTCTGACACCGCCTGGTATAGAGGTCCTGGATGGCAGGAAGCTTGGCCCCAGTGATGTACTGGGCCGTACGCACTACCCTCTGTAGTGCCTTGCGGTATGAGACCGAGCAGTTGCCATAGCAGGTGGTGATGCAACCAGTCAGGATGCTCTCGATGGTGCAGCTGTAGAACTTTTTGAGGATCTGAGGACCCATGCCAAATCTTTTCAGTCTCCTGAGGGGGAATAGGCTTTGTCGTGCCCTCTTCACGACTGTCTTGGTGTGTTTGGACCATGATAGTTCGTTGGTGATGTGGATACCAAGGAACTTGAAGCTCTCAACCTGTTCCACTACAGCCCCGTCGACGAGAATGGGGGCGTGCTCAGTCCTCTTTTTTTTTTCCTGTAGTCCACAATCATCTCCTTTGATTAAAACCCACATGGACTACGATATAATCGATTTCAATGTCCTCACTTAGTAGATTTGGGAGCAGCTTAGTAATGTCATTTACTCTACATTGTTTTTGCACCAGGAACGGTCACATTTCTTACCATAGAGCTGCTCAAAATCACAGCCGGCGAGGACGAGGAAATCCGCCCACTCCCACGCTTCACAGGATGCAGGCCTCCGACAGATGGAGAAGCCCAGCTCAATCCAGAGCAGGGACGGAAGGTTGGCGACTTCGAAATCGTAAGTAGTAGGCACTGTGGCCGCAGACACCCCCAGCGACGAAGGTGCAGGAAGATCAGGCTCCAGGATGGTGAAACTATTCGTTTTTTGTATCCGCTCCGGGCCTCTCGTTGGAAGTGTAGACTGCTTTGTGGGAGATCATTGTCTTCGGCTTCCACGGCATGTGACATGCAACCATCGTTGATTGCCTTTCTCCTCATGCTGTGCTCCTTCGACAGCGCAGTCAGATGGGGGAGCTCCGGGCAACACCCTGGCCAGTCGGATAACGACAAACGACAAGGCAGAGATTTATCCAACAAGCGCGAACGCAGTCCAGCCACCGGCGTAGAAAATGTAAACATTCCACTCTGCGTTTCCCCCAGTTTCTTACATAGACTGGCGACTTGCCGAGGATTATAGGCTTGAGGTGGCTTCCTTGATCACGCAAGTAAACCACTCAGAGTGATCCGGTTTGTCCCGAAACAAAGCGTAATAGATACAGCTCCTACAGCGCTGGAACTGTTTATTTAGTTCTCCGTTGCAAAACTCATATGGTACCAACTTCGTTAGCTTGATGGCTAGCAGCTTAGCGTCTCTGAAAACGATTAATATTGATACGTTACTAGCTCAAACACTTCATCTGCAAAAATGACCAGATAATTATTGGATGATGGCGATTTCAGAACCAAAGTGTGGGGGATACAAAAATAGGCTGTGTTTTTCATAGGAGGCGAATGTAGCTTGTTTTTGTCTGCCAATCATCAGTGGCACTAGGCTCTGGCTGTGTGTGTGTGTGTAGCTTTGATTAGCCAACCCAGCTAACTAGCTTCTCTTCTTGGTTCGATGCAGTCAACACGAGTACTATGTAATCAGATTGGATGATAAATAACCTAGCAGCTAGAAATTACTAACTAGTACAAGTGGGCTTGGTTGCTGCCCTCTCTTCCTCCTCGTGCTACTCAGCCACAGTCACAAACACAGCACGGCCCCTCCCCCGCCTGGTGCTAGCTCAGTTTCCCTCTCACTTGGTTCATGCATTTAAAAGCTTCAGTTAATAACATAGCAAAAACTATGTATTGTCTACTGCGTCCCTCACTCGGATCAGAGTGGGTTTGGACTTGAGAGGGTCTATACAGGGCTGGGTCTGGTTGTCCTCTGGTCCGTTCGGACTGGGTCTCCATGTTTAAAACATTTAATTTATTCAGGTAGGGTCCAGGGAGGAAAGCTTGTTGGACCTGAGAAGACCTCTAATCTTAGATATGTATTGGATCGTCTTGAAAGGGAAAGATGCACATCCCTAATAATAGGTCATTAGGTATGTGTGATATTAATAAAGGTTAAAATATATTTGACTGTGAACGTCATTGACCTATGTAATGGTGTTTCTGCACTACTCGTAGCCTTATTTGGCCAAGAGGGGCTTGAATTCTGGATTTAGCAATGCAGTTTTTCAACTGGTTAATCTTACCTTTGGCTCATGGCTTTAGTTTGCGTAGCATTTTCTATTGTCATTGACCGACCAATGCTTCCCGTTTTTGATTTTGAAGGTGTGAGTCTTTGGGTAATGGTTAGCCTAACTATGGGCTGTCGTACTTGCCCTTTAGTCATGACATGAATACTCTGTAACTTGGAATTCTGTGCAACTAGTCCGGATGTGAACCCGGACCAGTTACACCTGTTTCTTATTAATTTGAATAAACTGAATGCGTGACATGGGCTAAGTCTGTAGCAGTTGACAGGTATGACAGTTGGCCAGTGACAATTCACTGATGCAATGACAATCTGCACAATCCAAAACACTGAAAGATTAGTGGTACTGGTAATGCCTTGTACCAGGTCCCACCAAGCATTTCTTTACCATGTTTTTTTTTGGAGAATTTCCCCAGTTGTAGAGCTGTTGAGTGTTTTCTCATATGCGTCATCAATGAATGGTAAAAAAAGAAGGGCCTACTCAAGAGGCCACGTCAGACCACCTTGGTTGATTGGACTGTTTGTTTTAAGGTTTCTAAGCAACTGTTTGCTGGGGAGGAAATTGATAAAGGGAAAGAACGTTCATTGAATTGGTTTGTTGATTGTTATCGTAGGCTACTTTTTATTTTATTAAGCCACTCACAATTGACCTTAAAAAAAAAAAAAAAAAAAATATATAAAATCTGCTCTACTGTCTTGTGTAGAATAACACAATTATAGTGTACTATTGCCTCTCGGTTGCTGTACTTTTTGAATTCCCACTCCTTGGGCCATGAGGGTCACAAACCTTGTGTACTCTTAGGGGAGTCACATCTATCAGGAAGGGCTGAGACCTTTTGACATGGCGCTAAGGGCAGCTCTGCATTCCTGTCTTGTTTGTTTGTTAGTTTGTTTTCATATCGGAGTTTGTTGAGGAAATGCTTGAATGCAAAGGACATCTCTTCTTACCCCGGCTGTGTTTACAAGTTTGCTGTATTCAGAGGTGAATTGGAGCTGGTATGTTTGTAAAGGTGTTAGCTTTGTCAGACACTTTTCTGCACTTAAAAACACATTTGTACATGTTAACATGGGATCCTTGTTTTTTTTCTTCATTTTGTGACACCTCTAAGTACTATTACCATGCCATGATTTTAGAGTAGGGATGTGCATCTTTCCATTTCAAGACGATTTTATACGTATCTGGACTACGATACTGGAACGATTTTAGTTTGAAACAATTCTGTTTGATTAGAGAACGATTCTATGCTATTCGATACGATGCACAAACATTTGTTGTATAAACTCTTATTTTCCCTTCTAAATGTAAAATCTGCTGCTGATGGAGCTCATGAGCTGACTTCTGTGTGTAAATTATGTACAGTGCATTCCGAAAGTATTCAGACCCCCTCCCCCTTTCCACATTTTGTGACGTTACAGCCTTATTCAAAAATGGATTTAATATTTTTTTTCTTCATCAATCTACGCACAGTACCCCATAATGACAAAGCAAAAACAGGTTTTTAGACATTTTTAGCAAATCTATAAAATAAAAACATCACTTAAGTATTCAGACCCTTTACTCTGTATTTTATTGAAGCAGCGATTACAGCCTTGAGTCTTCTTGGGTATGACGCTACAAGCTCGGCACATGTATTTGGGGAGTTTCTCCCATTCTTCTCTGCAGATCCTCTCAGCTCTGTCAGGTTGGATGGGGAATGTCGCAGCACAGCTATTTAAAAAAAGGTCTCTCCAGAGATGTTAGATCGGGTTCAAGTCCGGGCTCTGGCTGGGCCACTCAAGGACATTCAGAGACTTGTCCCGAAGCCACTCCTGCGTTGTCTTGGCTGTGTGCTTAGGGTTGTTGTCCTGTTGGAAGGTGAACCTTCGCCCCAGACTGAGGTCCTGAGTACTCTGGAGCAGGTTTTCGTGAAGGATCTCTCTGTACTTTAAGCCGTTCATCTTTCCCTCGATCCTGACTAGTCTCCCAGTCCCTGCCGCTGAAAAACATCCCCACAGCATGATGCTGCCACCACCATGCTTCACTGTAGGGATGGTGCCAGGTTTCCTCCAGACGTGACGCTTGGCATTCAGGCCAAATAGTTCAATCTTGGTTTCATCAGACTAGAGAATCTTGTTTCATGGTCAGAGTCATTTAGGTTCCTTTTGGCAAACTCCAAGCGGGCTGTCATGTGCCTTTTTACTGAGGTGTGGCAACTCTACCATAAAGGCCTGATTAGCGGAGTGCTGCAGAGATGGTTGTCCTTCTGGAAGGTTCTCCCATCTCCACAGAGGAACTCTGGAGCTCTGTCAGAGTGACCATCGGGTTCTTGGTCACCTCCCTGACCAAGGCCCTTCTCCCCCGATTGCTCAGCATGGCCGGGCAGCCAGCTCTAGGAAGAGTCTTGGTGGTTCCGAACTTCTTCCATTTAAGAATGATTGAGGCCACTGTGTTCTTGGAGACCTTCAATGCTGCAGAAATGTTTTGGTTCACTTCCCCAGATCTGTGCCTCGACACAATCCTGTCGTCTTGGAGCTCTACAGACAATTCCGTCGACCTTATGGCTTGGTTTTTGATCTGACATGCATTGTCAACTGTGGGATGTTATATAGTCAGGTGTGCGCCTTTCCAAATCATGTCCAATCAATTGAATTGACCGCAGGTGGACTCCAATCAAGTTGTAGAAACATCTCAAGGATGATCAATGGAAACAGGATGCACCTGAGCTCAATTTCGAGTCTCCTAGCAAAGGGTCTGAATACTTATTTTCGCTTTGCCATTATTGGGTATTATGTGTAGATTGTGTGTGTGTGTGGTGGGGGGGGGGGACAATTTAATCAATTTTAGAATGAGGCTGTAACGTAACAAAATGTGACACTGGGAGAGGAATTCTCCTTTCAACAGGACAATAACCTACAACACAAAGCCAAATCTACACTGGAGTTTGCTTACTAAGAAGACCATGAATGTTCCTGGAGTGGCCAATAAGCTTGGCCGGTATACCGGGGTATTTCGAAAAAGCCACAGGATGGTTTTACAATACCGTCAACTATTTCTATGAAGTTTTTCAAGAGATTTGAATAATTTGTAGCAACTTTTTAAGTTAATACCTGAAGTCAACTTGTGCAATACATTAGGAGATAAAGCATATTCTGTTCTTAATTTCACCGGTCACATTATGAAGCTTACCATAGTTCCCCAGAACAGTTCAGCCAATCACGTGTTTGTAAATAGCACAACGGGAGAAAGCGAGCTGGTGCGTCCATAGCGTTCTATATCTATCGGCAAGTCTCTGTTACACTTGTATGCAATTCCCTACTAAATGTTTGCCATCAGATACTGTATCTTTTAATGGCTTTCCGCCAGAAGTCAAAGAGCTCTGGATGAGTTCTGTACAGCTGCCATTTCTTCCTTGTGCTTCCTACTAGTGTCCCCCCCCACCCCTATTGGCCAAATTAGTTGCCTTAAATCTGCTTGAATATCTATGGCAAAATTTGAAAATTGGTGTCTAGCCATGATCCAACACCTAGACAGAGCTTGAAGAATTTTGAAAAGAATAATGGGGGAATATTGCCCAACACCAGTGTGCAAAGCTCTTATGAGACTTACCCAAGAAGAGACAACTGTAAATTGCTGCCAAAGGTGTTTCTAACATGTATTGACTCGGGGGTGAATACTTATCTAATCAATGTTTTTATTTTTCATTAATCTAAAAAAAGGTACAATTTTTCTTCCACTTTGACAGAGTATTTATGTAGGTCGATTACAAAAATGACAAGTCCATTTTATTCCCACTTTGTAACACAAAATTAGGAAATCCATGGAGGGTGTTGACTTTCTATAGGCACTGTACACCATAGACATACAGTGCATTCGGAAAGTATTCAGACCCCTTGACTTTTTCCACATTTCATTAACAATTTAAAAACAGAAGTACCATATTTATGTAAGTATTCAGACCCTTTGCCATGAGACTCGAAATTGAGCTCAGGTGCATCCTGTTTCCTTTAACCTTCCTTGATGTTTCTACAACTTGATTGGAGTCCACCTGTGGTAAATTTAAATTGTTTGGACATGATTTGGAAAGGCACACACCTGTCTATATAAGGTCCCACAGTTGACCGTGCATGTCAGAGCAAAAACCAAGCCACAAGGTTGAAGGAAATGTCGTAGAGCTCCGAGACAGGATTGTGTCGAGGCACAGATCTGGGGAAGGGTATAGAAAAATGTCTGCATCATCAAGGTCCCAAGAACACAGTGGCCTCCATCATTAAAGACTCTTCCTAGAGCTGGCAGACCGGCCTAACTGAGCAATAGGGGGAGAAGAGCCTTGGTCAGGGAGGTGACCAAGAACCCGATGGTCACTCCTGACAGAGTTCTATCTGTGGAGATGGGAGAACCTTCCAGAAGGACAACCATCGCTGCAGCATTCTGATAATCAGGCCTTTATGGTAGAGTTGCCAAACGGAAGCCACTCCTCAGTAAAAGGCACATGACAGCCCGCTTGGAGTTTGCCAAAAGGCACCTGAAGGACTCTCAGACCATGAGAAACAAGATTCTCTGGTCTGATGAAACCAAGATTGGCCTGAATGCCAAGCGTCACGTCTGGAGGAAACCTGGCACCATCCCTACGGTGAAGCATGGTGGTGGCAGCATCATGTGGGGATGTTTTTCATGGGCAGGGACTGGGAGACTAGTCAGGATCGAGGGGAAGATGAAGAGCGCAAAGTACAGAGAGATCCTTGATGAAAACCTGCTCCAGAGCGCTCAGGACCTCAGACTTGGGTGAAGGTTCACCTTCCAACAGGACAACGACCCTAAGCGCACAGCCAAGACAATGCAGGAGTGGCTTCGGGACAAGTCTCTGAATGTCCTTGAGTGGCCCAGCCAGAGCCCGGACTTGTACCCGATCGAACATCTCTGGAGATACCTTTTTTTAAATAGCTGTGCAGCGACGCTCCCCATCCAACTTGACAGAGCTTGAGAGGATCTGCAGAGAAGAATGGCAGAAACACCCCAAATACAGGTGTACCAAGCTTGTAGCGTCATACCCAAGAGTACTCGAGGCTGTAATCGCTGCCAAAGGTGCTTTTTTATATATATATATTTTTTTATAAATTTGCTGAAATATATAAACCTGTGTTTGCTTTGTCATTATGGGGTATTGTGTGTAGATTTGAGGAGGGGGGGGAACAATTTAATCAATTTTAGAATAAGGCTGTAACATAATGTGGAAAAAGTCAAGGGGTCTGAATACTTACTCCGAATGCACTGTATGTATGTACAGTGGGGGGAAAAAGTATTTAGTCAGCCACCAATTGTGCAAGTTCTCCCACTTAAAAAGATGAGAGAGGCCTGTAATTTTCATCATAGGTACACGTCAACTATGACAGACAAATTGAGATTGTTTTTCCCAGAAAATCACATTGTAGGATTTTTAATGAATTTATTTGCAAATTATGGTGGAAAATAAGTATTTGGTCACCTACAAACAAGCAAGATTTCTGGCTCTCACAGACCTGTAACTTCTTCTTTAAGAGGCTCCTCTGTCCTCCACTCGTTACCTGTATTAATGGCACCTGTTTGAACTTGTTATCAGTATAAAAGACACCTGTCCACAACCTCAAACAGTCACACTCCAAACTCCACTATGGCCAAGACCAAAGAGCTGTCAAAGGACACCAGAAACAAAATTGTAGACCTGCACCAGGCTGGGAAGACTGAATCTGCAATAGGTAAGCAGCTTGGTTTGAAGAAATCAACTGTGGGAGCAATTATTAGGAAATGGAAGACATACAAGACCACTGATAATCTCCCTCGATCTGGGGCTCCACGCAAGATCTCACCCCGTGGGGTCAAAATGATCACAAGAACGGTGAGCAAAAATCCCAGAACCACACGGGGGGACCTAGTGAATGACCTGCAGAGAGCTGGGACCAAAGTAACAAAGCCTACCATCAGTAACACACTACGCCGCCAGTGACTCAAATCCTGCAGTGCCAGACGTGTCCCCCTGCTTAAGCCAGTACATGTCAAGGCCCGTCTGAAGTTTTGCCAGAGTGCATTTGGATGATCCAGAAGAGGATTGGGAGAATGTCATATGGTCAGATGAAACCAAAATAGAACTTTTTGGTAAAAACTCAACTCGTCGTGTTTGGAGGACAAAGAATGCTGAGTTGCATCCAAAGAACACCATACCTACTGTGAAGCATGGGGGTGGAAATATCATGCTTTGGGGCTGTTTTTCTGCAAAGGGACCAGGACGACTGATCCGTGTAAAGGAAAGAATGAATGGGGCCATGTATCGTGAGATTTTGAGTGAAAACCTCCTTCCATCAGCAAGGGTATTGAAGATGAAACGTGGCTGGGTCTTTCAGCATGACAATGATCCCAAACACACCGCCCGGGCGACGAAGGAGTGGCTTCGTAAGAAGCATTTCAAGGTCCTGGAGTGGCCTAGCCACTCTCCAGATCTCAACCCCATAGAACATCTTTGGAGGGAGTTGAAAGTCCGTGTTGCCCAGCGACAGCCCCAAAACATCACTGCTCTAGAGGAGATATGCCATGGAGGAATGGGCCAAAATACCAGCAACAGTGTGTGAAAACCTTGTGAAGACTTACGGAAAACGTTTGACCTGTGTCATTGCCAACAAAGGGTATATAACAAAGTATTGAGAAACTTTTGTTATTGACCAAATACTTATTTTCCACCATAATTTGCTAATAAATTCATAAAAAATCCTACAATGTGATTTTCTGGATTTTTTTTCCTCATTTTGTCTGTCATAGTTGACGTGTAGCTATGATGAAAATTACAGGCCTCTCTCATCTTTTTAAGTGGGAGAACTTGCACAATTGGTGGCTGACTAAATACTTTTTTTCCCCACTGTATGTGGGACAAAGGGGGTAGTCATTCAAATTATGCCTACCCAAATTCACTCAAATCAAATCTTGTCACATACATACAGTTTAGCAGATGTTATTGCGTGTGTAGCGAAATGCTTGTGTTTCTAGCTCCAACAGTGCAGTGTGTATCTAACAATTCACAACAATACACACAATCTAAAAGTAAAAGAATGAAATTAAGGAATATTTAAATATAATAAATATTAGGATAAGCAATGTCGGAGTGGCATATACTAAAATACAGGAGAATAGAATACAGTATATGCATATGAGATGAGTAAAGAAAAAATATATGAACATTATTAGAGTGACTAGTGATTTCAAGTCTATGTATATGGGGCAGCATCCTCTAAGGTGCAGGGTTACGTAACTGGGTGGAAGCCGCCTAGTGATGGCTATTTAACAGTCGGATGGCCTTGAGATAGAAGCTGTTTTTCAGTCTGTTGCCATACCAGGACCCAGTTGCACAGGGCGGGGTTCAGACCCAGGGCCCCGAGCTTAATGATGAGCTTGGAGGGTACTATGGTGTTGAATGCTGTGCTACAGTCAATGAACAGCATTCTTACATAGGTATTCCTCTTGTCCAGATGGCATAGGGTAGTGTGCAGTGCGATGGTCCTCTGTAGCTCAGCTGGTAGAGCACGGCGCTTGTAACGCCAGGGTAGTGGGTTCGATCCCCGGGACCACCCATTCACAAAATGTATGCACGCATGACTGTAAGTCGCTTTGGATAAAAGCGTCTGCTAAATGGCTTATTATTATTATTATATTATTATCGTCTGTGGATCTATTGGGGCGGTAAGCACATTTTGAAGTGGGTCTAGGATGTCAGGTAAGGTAGAGGTGATATGATCCTTAACTAGCCTCTCAAAGCACTTCATGACAGAAGTGAGTGCTACGGGGGCAATAGTCATTTAGTTCAGTTACCTTTGCTTTCTTGGGTAAAGCAACAATGGTAGACGTCTTGAAGCACGTGGGGACAGCAAACTGGGATAGGGAGAGATTGAATATGTCTGTAAACACTCCAGCCAGCTGGCCTGCGCATGTTCTGAGGACGCGGCTAGAGATGCCGTCTGGGCCGGCAGCCTTGCGAGGGCTACTCACGTCGGCCACGGAGAAGGAGAGCCCACAGTCCTTGGCAGTGGGCCGCGTCGGTGGCGCTGTTATCCTCAAAGCGGGCGAAGGGGTTTTTGCTTGTCGGGAAGCAAGACGTCGGTGTCCACGATGTGGCTGGTTTTCCCTTTTGTATTCCGTGATTTGTCTGTAGACCCTGCCACATATGTCTCGTGTCTGAGCCGTTGAATTGCGACTCAACTTTGTCTCTAAACTGACGTTTTGCCTGTTGGATTGCCTTACTGAGGGAGTAACTACACTGTTTGTATTCGGCCATATTCCCAGTCACCTTGCCATGGTTAAATGCAGTGGTTCGTGCTTTCAGTTTTGAGCGAATGCTGCCAGCTATCCACGGTTTCTGGTTGTTGTAGGTTTAATAGTCCACAGTGGGTACAACATCTCCTATACACTTCCTAATTAACTCAGTCACCGTTGTCTTGTATTTGTTGATGTTATTCTTGGAGGCTACCCGGATCATATCCCAGTCCAAGTGATCAAAACAATCTTGATGCGTGGATTCCTATTGGTCAGACCAGTGTTGAATAGTCCTTAGCACGGGTACGTCCTGTTTTGAGTTTTTGCCTATAGGAAGGGGGGAGCAAAATGGAGTCGTCGATCAGATTTGCCGAAGGGAGGGCAGCGGAGGGCCTTGTAGGCATCCCGGAAGTTGGAGTAGCAGTGGTCAAGTGTTTTAGCAGCGCGAGTACTACAGTCAATGTGTTGATAGAACTTAGGTCGTTTTCCTAAAATGTGCTTTGTTAAAATCCCCAGCTACAATAAATGTGGCCTCAGATTTGCATAAAGTCCAGTGAAGTTCTTTTGAGGTCCGTCACGGTATCGGCTTGAGGGAGAATATACACGGCTGTGACTATGTAACCGAAGAGTATTCTCTTGGGAGGTAATACGGTCTTCATTTGATTGTGAGGTATTCTAGGTCGGGTGAATAAAAGGACTTGAGTTCCTTTATGTTATCACAATCACACCGTGAGTGGTTAATCATGAAAGGAACACCCCGCCTTTCTTCTTCCCGGAGAGTATTTTATTTCTGTCTGCGCGATATACTGAGAACGCAACTGGCTGTATGGACAAAGACAGGAGATCCCGAGAGAGCCATGTTTCCATGAAACCGAGTATGTTACAATCCCTGATGCCTCTCTGGAAGGAGATTCTCGCCCTGAGCTCGTCTACTTTATTATCCAGAGACTGAACAATAGCTAGTAATATTCTCGAAAGCGGTGGATGGTGTGCACACCACCTAAGTCAGACTAGAAGTCCACTCCGAATACCTCTTCTCCGCCGGCTGTGTTTTGGATCAGCCTCTGGAATCAGTTAAATTTCCCTGAGGGGTACGAACAAAGGATCCAATTCAGGAAAGTCGTATTCCCGGTCGTAATGCTGGTGAGTAACTGCCGCTCTGATATCCAAAATGTATTTCCGGCAGTATGTAATAACAGAAAAACATTCCTGGACTAATAATGTAAGAAATAACACACACAAAACAATATACTGCAAAGTTGTTTAGGAGCTAGAAGCAGAACTTCCATGTCCATATAACTTATGTGAGTTGTTAAGCCAAATTTTACTTCTGAACTAATTTAGGCTTGCCTTAACAAAGGGAATTAATGCTTATTAAATTACTATTTCAGTTATTGCATTTTTATTGATTTGTCAATTTGTATAATTTTCTTTAAACTTTGACATTATGGAGTATTTTGCAAAGGACAATGACAAAATTACAATTAAATATATTTAAATCTCACGTTACGCAACAAAATGTGAATAAGTTCAAGGGGGTGTCGACTTTTTATAGATACTATATGTAGTCACCTGGGCTCAGCCATAAGGGAGACTAGGCATCTACCACCCCTTTACCAATATCAGATTAGGGGGGGTTTATGTAGCCTATTTTTCTTTTTTTGTCCCCCCCACTTTGGTTCAGAAATCAGCATCACGCGCTAATTACCTTTGTCATTAATGCATATTGAGCTAGTAATGTATCAATATTTATCGTTTACAAGTTAGCTATGACATAGCCAATGAATTTGTATATGTATGTGTGTGTGTGTATATATATATATATATAATCTACCACCATCGTTCAAAAGTTTGAGGTCACTTAGAAATGTCCTTGTTTTTGAAAAGAAATGCAGATTTTTTGTCTAACATAACATCAAATTGTTCAGAAATACAGTGTAGACATCGTTAATGTTGTAAATGGCTATTGTAGCTGGAAAACGGCTGATTTTTTAAATGGAATATCTACATTTATCAGCAACCATCAGTCCTGTGTTCCAATGGCACGTTGTGTTTGCTAATCCAAGTTTATGATTTTAAAAGGCTAATTGATCATTAAACCCTTTTGCAATTTATGTTAGCACAGCTGAAAACGATTGTGCTGATTTTAAAGAAGCAATAAAGGTGGCCTTCTTGAGACTAGTTGATTGTCTGGAGCATCATCAATTGTGGGTTCGATTACAGGCTCAAAATGGCCAGAAACAAAGAACTTTCTTTGATACTCGTCAGTCTATTCTTGTTCTGAGAAATGAAGGCTATTCCATGCGAGAAATTGCCAAGAAACTGAAGATCTTGTACAACGCTGTGTACTACTCCCTTCACAGAACAGCGCAGACTGGCTCTAACCAGAATAGAAAGAGTGGGAGGCCCCGGTGCACAACTGAGTAAGAGGACAAATACATTAGTGTCTAGTTTGAGAAACAGGCTCCTCACAGGTCCTCAACTGGCAGCTTCATTAAATAGTACCCGCAAAACACCAGTCTCAACGTCAACAGTGAAGAGGTGACTCTGGGATGCTGACCTTCTAGGCAGAGTTGCAAAGAAAAAGCCATATTTCAGACTGGCCAATAAAAAAAGATGAAGATGGGCAGTCTGAGATATGGCTTTTTCTTTGCAACTCTGCCTAGAAGGTCAGCATCCCAGAGTCTTTTTTTGGCTCCGTTGTCGCCGCTGATAAGGCTTCCATGGTAGGGGAAGTTGTCGACATACTCAAGCGTCTCTCCACTGATGGTAATTGGTGGTGTATTAATGCATATGTCTTGGGTCTTCTGTATGTTCAAATGGAAACCAGTCTGTTTAGCATGCATGCTGAGTCTGACTACTGGAGGTGGATGTATTTGGATGATATAGAGGCCAGATCATCCGCGAAGTTGAGGTATTCTAGATTAGAGAAGAGGGTCCACTGGATTCCTCAGGCATGGTCAGATTGACACATTACCCAGTTTATGGTAACATGAAAAGGATTGGAAAGAGGATGCAGCCTTGTCTGACACCAGACTTAAGTTGAAGTGACTCAGTAAGAGCACTATCAAGGATGATGCTACATTCAAATTGTTCATAGAACTTCCCAATGAGGTTGACAATCTTGGGTGGTATTCCGTAGGCTCCAAGGATTCTCCATAAGCTCTCATGGTGAACACTATCCAATGCCTTCTTGAAATGAATTAAGTTGGTCTAGAGGGGTGCATTCCACCTGAGGCATTGCTCGATGTTGTGCAGGGCAAAGATCTGGTCGATCCATCTTCCTTTGCGGAACCCAGCTTTTTCTTGTCTTAGTTTGTCATCGACAGCAGTGTCAATCCTTTTTGAAGAGTTTTCTGCAGAAGATTTTGCTGGGGATGGAGAGGAGTGTTGTCACATTCACTGAGGTTTCCTTTCTTTGGCAGTTTGACGATAAGTCATTTTCGCCAGTATTGTGGTATGATATCGTGCTCCCAGATCTTGCGAAAGCGATCAGTCAGCACCTTGTTAGCTGTGTTGACATCAGCTTTAAGTAGCCGTTGTCTCCGGTAGCTTACTTTTCTTACACTATTTTCAACCGCGCATAGATAACGACAATAGCAAATTACATAGGCTTTATTATTTGAATGACAACCTAATATCACGCAAGCCATTTTAGCATTTGAATGAGTGTAACTCTGTTTTTATCGCACTGCTTTGCTTTATCTTGGCCAGGTCGCAGTTGTAAATGATAACTTGTTCTCAACTGGCTTACCTGGTTAAATAAAAAAATGTGCCGCGCAGATGTGCAATATCAGGAACAGGCCGCCTACCTCGCGTTGGGCACAGTGCGCAGTTTGACTAGGTTACTGATACTGCCTGGGGTTGTTCGGCATGCAAATGACTTGGTTAATGACTCAACATTTACATGCAGTTCGACACTGAAGGAGAGGACGAATCAGTTGTCACAAGATAAGTGGTATTTTTGCAATGTAGAATGTAATATGAGCAAAACAATTTAGTGAACTGGCGATTCGTAACATTGGAATACATTTTCTGACCAATGTATTCTACACTTGGATTGGTTTGGGTTACGCGGACTGATGCACATGTATCTTACACCTATTTGAATCATTACATCCCTATTTTAGTGTATGTCTTGGAAGTGCAAATTGAGTGCAACTGAACAGGGTTGTTAATCAGGTAGCTGATTGTAGCTCAGTTGGTAGAGCATGGCGCTTGCAACGTCTGGGTTATGGGTTCGATTCCCACGGGGGGCCAGTATGAAAAATGTATGCACTCACTAACTGTAAGTCGCTCTGGATAAGAGCGTCTGATAAATTACTAAAATGTAATGGTATGTATGTATCTGCAACTCTCCTGGGACAGTGGTAACTACCTCATTAGACACTAGGTGTCATGACAGACCCAGAACCAATCAAGACAAAATATAGTGTCCACCTAAAATGATAATGGTGCTCCTGTCTTCCCCCAGGGAGCCGTGCCTATGTGCTCCTGTCCCTCAGCCAGCAGGATGGTATTGAGCAGCACATGGACTTTGACAATCGCTACACCCTCCTGGAGCTGTTTGCGGAGACCACCTCCTCTGAAGAGCATGGCATTTCTTTTGAGGGGATCCACCTCCCTCAGGTAGCTACCAAATTGCATTCCATGTCTCTGTACAGTACTCTTACTTACCAATGGATTCCTACATGTACCTCTAGAACAAACCAGTGAATTACCTGTCGCTGAGATGTAATGTGACGTTTCCTCTGTGTGCTCCAGATTCCAGGAAAGCTGCTTTTCTCCCTGGTGAAGCGCTACCTGTGTGTGACGTCCCTGATGGACAAGCTCAACACAGCAGGGGTGGAGTCGAGCTCTGAGCGGCAAGATGCAGCAGGCTCCTCCTCAGGGACAGGCCACCAGACAGAGAACCTGCGTGTCCAGCGAGAGTTTGAGTTCACCATGGCCATGGCTAACCTCATCTCTGAGCTGGTGCGCGTCATGGGCTGGGACCGCAACCGGCAGCCGCCACAGTCCAGCGGCCTGGACCAGGGCAGCACCTGCGGGGAGGACCAGGAGGACGAGCCGCCCCGCCGTATGGTGCGCTCCATCTTTCAGCCCCGTTTCTCTGCCTCTGCTTCTGCCTCTCCTGTCGCTGCCTCCTCTAACATGGCAGCCGCCACACCACCCAAGAAGAAGACCGGCAACGGCTTCAAGACGCGCACAGACTTCGCCAGCCGCTCGGCTTACGTGGAATACGTGCAGGAAAACCTAAAGAGCGGCATGCTGGTCCGTATGCTGGAGGATTATGAGGAGGTCAGCGCTGGTGATGAGGGGGATTTCCGCTACAGTAATGACGGCTCGCCACCAGTGCAGGTACAAAATATCACACCTTGTATCAGCCTTGACTGTATCAGCCAGCACACAGCACAGGCTCCTGAGATTTTAGTTAGGGATGAGTGACGACGGATTTGGTAAAAACTTTATTAACGCTGTTAGATCAGATTTGCTGTAAAGTGATTGACTTATCTGCTTGTTTTTCTGGGCACAGGTGTACTGGACCTCCCTGTCTCGGACTTACTGGGTGCACTGGCACATGGTTGAGATCCTGGGCACTGGCACCAGTGGACAGGGTGAGAAAGACGCCCAGGAGAAGGCCTCCTCCCTGACTGAGACCATCAAGCTCACGGCTGGTAAGAGAAAGTCCCCTGCACCCACAGACTCACACTCATGTAAGTGACTTTCAACAGTAATGCGGCTCCGACGCGTCAAAGCACACAAACTTTGAGCCCTAATGCACACGCAGGTTATTCTGTAAATTCATCAAATTGCCATTTAATGTTGTTTTATTAGAAACTGTATAATATTGTTGGTGTTGTCTTCCCTTGTATGCAGTGAGTCAGACATTATTCTCCAAGCCTCCTGGTGGGCTGTACTCGTTGCCTTACCTGGCTGAGGGGCTGCAGTCTGATGGAGCCACCCTGAGCAGGGCCGAGTGGTGGGAAGTGCTCTTCTTCATCAAGAAGCTGGAACCAAAGCAACAGCAGGAGATCAACAACATCCTGCGTCAGCGCCTCGATGAACAGGCAAGTGCCCATCACAAGGGCTGTGGCGCTCATGAAATTGTCATGCAAAAGACTGCTGGTCTCAAGGTAATTGACCGTTAATTAACATTAACATGTTTAGCATCTCCAGGCTCCACTCATACAAGCATCTGATGCGGGCCTTTTAATCATCTACATTTTTAAAAAAGTCTAGTAAATCAATTTAATGTACACCATCACAATAAATTCATTATTTATTTTAGTCAGGTCTAAAGAAACATTATGATGTGAAGAAAATGTATTTCAGAAGAACAGAATATGAGTTGGCCTACTGTATGTTATTTGGCTATGCACCGTGCCATAGGCTTGTTAATTTAGTAGACAAGATATGCTTATAAGTCCTGTGCCATTTATTTTATAGTATGAGGAACATATTTGAATTTAGCTGAATAAAATGAATGGGTATTTTTCCCTTTCCGGTGCAAGAGTGCGTGCATATGAAGTGGCTATGTTGAGTGTAAGTGATCATTTGAAACTATATGCTGGATTTAGTTATTTGTCAACTTTAGTTGTGAATGATACAAACCTTAGAATACCTTAGAAACCACAAGATGTATGAGCTGCATGATGCGACTATAGGCTATTGATTTGAGAAAGTCCCCCAAAACGTTTGCGCTCTGTTCCTTGCCTCAGGCTGCACACGCTGTTCTCTCAAGTGATCATATTTTCACCCATCAGACTATTCTCAATTTAAACTTGTCTTTACTAATATGTAAAATTAGTTTTGATTTTGAATGGCCCATTATCAAATGGGCAAGACAAAAAAGACATGTCATCCGTATGCACTGGAATAGCAAATGGAGGCCACTTTCCCACGAGTATGTTTTTCACTCATGTTGGGTAGGCTACTCCGGTAATTTCGCTGCGCCACAGGTGTTATTCCACCCAAACTCTGAATGCCATGGGCTCTCCAACCCTGCTCCTGCTTAATTTGGGAAACCAAGGGAAACCTGTTCAGGAACATCGATAGTTACATGTTTTCACAACGAAACATATTTCATTAAACGGACAGGCCCTCTCTCTGCACACTGGAGAAAGGAATGAAGGAGAGAGGGGAAGAGATGGAACTCACGGTGGTGAGAGATTCTGTAGCTAAAGGTAATGTCAGTCTATTTAATTATGAAAATATAAAAAATGCCCTGTTACTAGGCAATTCAAATAGAAATTCACTATAATTGTAGGCTAAATCTGAATTTGTTTAATTTAGGCTAGACCAATTATGTACCAAAGATCTATTTCTGCCATGTGTAATATGCGGTAAGCTATGTATTGTATAACGCCACAATCATTATTTGAATTCAGGGTTTTCTTTGGGCTTGGGCTCATATAGGCTTATGCATAAGCTCAGTTTCAACCTATTGTTGAACTACTTTCTTCAAATTGTTCAATCACAGTGAGGCGAGTTTTAAAAGCACATACTGTTTTGATGAGTGATTTTTGATTGCATTTGCATTGATGTTAGAGGGACAATAGAGCCCTGAATACCAGGCCATTAGCCCGATGATCGTTAGCGATTTGTGTAGGCTACTACTAATGCATGTCCAGAGTGCCGAAGAGGAGATTAGTGACTCAGCGGTCATGTAGAATTGTATTGCAGTCGTGACTCAGGACTGCCAGTGTCGTGGTAATAGTCACCTCAACAGCCCTACTCATCACCCCCCCCCCCCCCCCCCCAATCTTTAATTCCCTCACTCTCTAATCTTCTCACTCTTCCTGCTCTTTTCATGACGCTCAGCCCCCATGGAAGTTGAGAGTAGATTTCATGTTTTTGCCTTGCCTCTCTCTGCTCTGTCAGATGTCAGACGTAGACGAGGCCACTCTTATCCAGCTGTCGGTGCCAGGCGAGGTGGCCCGGAAGCTGCTCCACTACCTGAAGCAGACCCTGCAGAACTCTTGTCTGTGGGACCTGCTCTGCTCCCATGCCTTCTCTAAACACTATCTGCGTCGCGGTGGGGGAGGCCTGGAAGATGACGAGCTGCTGCCCGATGGCTCCCTCTGCTCCTCTGGCCTGGGAGGAGGACGGAGCAACTCCTCATCTGATGCCACCGCTGCCTCCTCTTCCTCCTCTGCCATGGGCTCATTGTCCAAGAAGCCCAAGAAGGAGATTCCTACAGACTATTGCTCTGACACGGAGTCTGAATTGCCCATGGAAGATGAGTCTAACTACCCAGAAGACCTGGAGGAAAAGATGAAAGGTGTGGCAGTCTGTGTGTGTTTGAACTTTGTTTGTTTTTGTGGTTGGCAAACTACCTCTAGCTGTAGCCAACACATTTTTCCAGAGAAAGACAAGTGAAACCATAAACATGCCCAAGGATACAATGGTGTTTTTATTAGCACGCACTGTAGCCTGATTTTAATTAATGACAGCCATTCTTGCTGTAACATGCTTTGTCTTGTGTTTTCCCCACCAGTGTTTAACAACCCCAAGGTGCAGGGCAAGAAGACAGCCCTGGAGAAGCTGGGGGAGGTGGTGGACATCATGAAGAAGAGTGGCTCAGATTCAGTCCAGCAGCTGGCTGGGATCAAGTTCATCATCCAGGTCCTAGAGGACGAGGGGCCTCAGGAGAGAAGCACCCTCAGGACGGACGCTGTCCAGACCATCCGGTAAGGCTGCTGCCTGCACACTTCCATTCTCATAGGGTCACATTTGACCTCAAACATTTGTCCTCCAACATGATCTTCAACCTTTGTTGTCGTCCCCCCAGTGATAAAGTCCTGAAGCTTTTGGTTGAGATGCTGAGTGGGCAGCCCAAGGAGAACGTGGTCAGCACCCTGCGTCTCACCCGCGCCCTCATGGTCAAGTACGAGTGGAGGGTCTCCTTCGCCACTGAAGGGGGCGTCAAAGCTATCCTCGCCTGTATGCAGGAATACCCCACTGTCCCACAGGTCCAGCAAGTCGCCCTGGCGGTGAGTTCTCGATCACTTTGTTTTTCTTTTCTTTTTTTACTCCCGTTTGTTTTGTAATCTAGCTAGTTTTGTAATGAAAGAGCACGTTTTCTTACAGTTTTAGGGGATGACACGTCATGACAACTCTGCAGCTGTGAAGGAGTAGCTTTCTGTCATGTTTCTATCCACACTTTACACAGTGTGTGTTGGTTTCTCCCCTCCGCTCTAGACTCTGATGGTCATCACAGGCGCCAGTAAGCATGACCTGGGAAGTATGAGCAGCTGCTATCTTCCTCTCTCCGAGTCTGGCACACCCATGATGCTCGGGGTCTTTGCCAGTATTGGCTCTGCCACCGCCGAGGGCTCCAAGGGACTGCTGGCTGCAATCCCCGCTGGCATTGAACTGATGCTTAACACACCTGGGTATGTCTTTTACACCCCGACTGGCTCTCAAAGGGAATGTTAACATGCCCAACTCCACTGTTTCCTGTGATGACACCTGCTATATCACAGTGGAGGCTAAGGGATATCTGCGGTCTCTCCTACCAGGTGTATGTTGTCGGTGAGGAACGGTCTGTTGGTGATCATCATGCTTATCTCCAGTAGTAAGAGTCTGGCGGAGCAGCTGGTGGCCTGTGACGTCAGCACCGTGCTGAAGAAGTGCCTCGCAGCTTCGCGGCCAGTGAATATGCTGGCCATCATTGCCCTCAACCACATCTCCATGGTCCACAAGCTGGAGAAAAAAGGTGTGATTTCACTGCTCGTCTGAACACACTCCTCAAACAGTGCCTTCCGGTTATGTGTAGAGGTTCCTAGCTGGCTGGTTGCACATAAGCTTTTTCTGCCATGCCTCTTGCATTCCTATGATAGATCCTTCTTCCCACAATAAATGATAAAGATGTTATTGTGGTCTTATGTCCCAATGGGGACGAAGAAGATTAAGTAAATAAATTATGTTCTGGATATTTCTTCCAGAGTCAAAGGATGAGTTGGACTTCAAGGACACAGAGCTGAAGATGCTGGTGGTGAGCCTGAAGGAGATGACTGCAACCAAGGAGGTGATCCTGACTCTGGAGCAGCTGCTGTGTGACGACGCCTCCCAGCTAGAGGAGGAGCGCAACCAGGTGACCCGCAGCCGAGAGACCTACCAGGACCTGGTGCGCCTCATGGACCAGCACCGAGCCGACCGGGCCGCGCAGCTCTCCATCCTCAGGTGAGACGGAGGTGGTTGTTGTGCTGCCTACCAACAGGGTTTAGTTGTTGGAATGTCATGTCAGTGCCTAGATCCTGTCATCGGTGTAATGAACCTCCAAAGGGCGTGTAATGTATGTATGCAATGCATGTATTTTATTTTTAATCAGGTTCTCATTTTCAATGGTGCCCTGAGGACAACAAATGTAATACAACCGTTTGTATATTCTCTCCTGTAGAATATTGAACAAGTTCTTGGACAATTACCAGGAGGATCTGCTTCCATGGCATGAGAGCATAGAACCATGCTTGTCTTCTATGACCGCTTTCATCAATGACCGTGAGGTAGGAAAGATCCTCCATGATTATGAACTCCAAGGCGCATAGGTATAATCCTATATGTTTCTATTTTAGGTACGTATTCAATTAATGGTCATGTAATTGACACAAGGTTGTTTCGTATAGGTTGTCCAGCTGCTCATCCGCTTCCTGTATCGCCTGGCCTCTGTGAACAAAGACTATGCCGTGGTGATGTGTCGTCTGGGCACAAAGGACGCCCTGGTCAAGGCGCTGGACAAGCACAGTATCAACCTGCTGATGGTCACAGAGCTGCGGGACTTGATCACAGACTGTGAGAAGTACGCCAGTCTCTACAAGAAAATGACCACCAGCGTTCTGGCTGGTTGCATACAGGTTTAGTAAAAATTCTACTGTCTTAACTATTCAGTCAGTTACAAGACTAGGTTTTTAGATTGTAATATTCTCCATTGTTTTTTTAAAACGTGTGGTTCTTTGAAATGTTCCTTCAAAAGGGGGTGTCACATTTGGCTTGCAAGTGTCATGCCACTCTGTCTGTTGCTAATAGCTCATTTGTAATCTGTGCTGTCCTTTCTAACCAAATACAGATGGTTTTGGGCCAAATAGAGGAGCATCGGCGAAGCCACCAACCAATCAACATCCCCTTCTTTGACATCTTTCTGCGCAATTTGTGCCAAGGTATGTATGTATGTATGTATGTATGTATGTACAGTGGGGGAAAAAAGTATTTAGTCAGCCACCAATTGTGCAAGTTCTCCCACTTAAAAAGATGAGAGAGGCCTGTAATTTTCATCAAAGGTACACGTCAACTATGACAGACAAATTGAGCATTTTTTTCTCTCCAGAAAATCACATTGTATGATTTTTAATGAATTTATTTGCAAATTATGGTGGAAACTAAGTATTTGGTCACCTACAAACAAGCAAGATTTCTGGCTCTCACAGACCTGTAACTTCTTCTTTAAGAGGCTCCTCTGTCCTCCACTCGTTACCTGTATTAATGGCACCTGTTTGAACTTGTTATCAGTATAAAAGACACCTGTCCACAACCTCAAACAGTCACACTCCAAACTCCACTATGGCCAAGACCAAAGAGCTGTCAAAGGACACCAGAAACAAAATTGTAGACCTGCACCAGGCTGGGAAGACTGAATCTGCAATAGGTAAGCAGCTTGGTTTGAAGAAATCAACTGTGGGAGCAATTATTAGGAAATGGAAGACATACAAGACCACTGATAATCTCCCTCGATCTGGGGCTCCACGCAAGATCTCACCCCGTGGGGTCAAAATGATCACAAGAACGGTGAGCAAAAATCCCAGAACCACACGGGGGGGCCTAGTGAATGACCTGCAGAGAGCTGGGACCAAAGTAACAAAGCCTACCATCAGTAACACACTACGCCGCCAGGGACTCAAATCCTGCAGTGCCAGACGTGTCCCCCTGCTTAAGCCAGTACATGTCCAGGCCCGTCTGAGGTTTGCTAGAGTGCATTTGAATGATCCAGAAGAGGATTGGGAGAATGTCATATGGTCAGATGAAACCAAAATATAACTTTTTGGTAAAAACTCAACTCGTCGTGTTTGGAGGACAAAGAATGCTGAGTTGCATCCAAAGAACACCATACCTACTGTGAAGCATGGGGGTGGAAACATCATGCTTTGGGGCTGTTTTTCTGCAAAGGGACCAGGACGACTGATCCGTGTAAAGGAAAGAATGAATGGGACCATGTATCGTGAGATTTTGAGTGAAAACCTCCTTCCATCAGCAAGGGCATTGAAGATGAAACGTGGCTGGGTCTTTCAGCATGACAATGATCCCAAACACACCGCCCGGGCAACAAAGGAGTGGCTTCGTAAGAAGCATTTCAAGGTCCTGGAGTGGCCTAGCCAGTCTCCAGATCTCAACCCCATAGAAAATATTTGGAGGGAGTTGAAAGTCTGTGTTGCCCAGCGACAGCCCCAAAACATCACTGCTCTAGAGGAGATCTGCATGGAGGAATGGGCCAAAATACCAGCAACAATGTGTGAAAACCTTGTGAAGACTTACAGAAAACGTTTGACCTGTGTCATTGCCAACAAAGGGTATATAACAAAGTATTGAGAAACTTTTGTTATTGACCAAATACTTATTTTCCACCATAATTTGCAAATAAATTCATTAAAAATCCTACAATGTGATTTTCTGGAATTTTTTTCTCATTTTGTCTGTCATAGTTGACGTGTACCTATAATGAAGATTACAGGCCTCATCTTTTTATGTGGGAGAACTTGCACAATTGGTGGCTGACTAAATACTTTTTTCCCCCACTGTATGTATGTATGTATGTATGTATACTTTTAGCTGACTCGCAGCACAACTAAATACCAGCCTCGCAAAGAAATGGTGCCAAAATAAACAATGTCATTACTTTTGTATCATTTCTTCATTAAATCAAGAAATGAATACTGGTAGATTATTTACTTTAACCAAACATCCCTTAAGTTTTTATTTAGCTTCTGAAAGTAGAACTTGTCTTAAACTGACCTGTTGACTTTTTGTCGTACTTTGTCTGTGACCATTAACAGGATCTAGTGTGGAACTCAAGGAGGACAAGTGCTGGGAGAAAGTGGAGGTTTCCTCTAATCACCATCGAGCCAACAAGCTCACTGACAAGAACCCCAAAACCTACTGGGAGTCCAATGGCTGCACAGGTTCCCATTTTATCAACATCTACATGCACAAGGGGGTGGTGATTAGGTACGTCCACACATCACTTTGGCCATACAAAGGGTTTAGAATGTTGGAATGTTTAATCTTGATATGTATGCAAATTGCACAACATGTAAAGACAATTGAAAATGAAGCGCACCTGTGTTGCTCACTTTTACCTTTCCTGTATCCCGAAACTTTTGTTATTACCTTGTTCTTGCGTCTGTGGATTATTATGCTTGACCGCATGCTTTATCTTAAACTGCTGTGGTTACCTCAATGACATTCATATTTGTATTTATTTATTTATTTTTACTGTAACTATTGAGAACTTGCTGTAAGCGCATTTTTCTATTTTTCTTGTTAAACTCAGGCAATTGGCAGTGCTTGTGGCCAGTGAAGACTCCAGCTATATGCCTGCCCGCATGGTAGTACTTGGAGGAGATGACCCCACAAACATCAACACAGAGCTGAACACAGTAAGTAGCTGTATAGGCAGACAGGAGTAGGAAACCTTTGGAAGTAGGTTATATTTACGATCTTGTCTTTTTAAGGTTTAAGCCCCTCACCCACCCAACTCTTGTTTTTACAGGTCAATGTGCCTCCTTCAGCCAATCGCATTGTGTTGCTGGAGAACATGTCCCGCTTCTGGTCCATTGTGCAGATCAGGATCAAGAGGTGTCAGCAGGTGGGCTGTGGAATCATGAACATTTGAATTTCAGATTACTTCCTGAATTGACATGGTATTGATCCCAACCCTGGTCAGCAAGGAGTCTCCTTTTTAAGTTTTGAACCTGCTCTTCCCACCAGGGTGGTATTGACACAAGGGTCCACGGCTTTGAGGTGCTGGGGCCCAAGCCCACCTTCTGGCCCGTGTTCAAGGAGCAGCTCTGCTGTCGCACCTACCTCTTCTACACCACCAAGGCCCACACCTGGTGCCAGGAGATCCTGGAGGACAAGGCCCAGCTGCTGCAGCTCTTCAACAAGTAAGCCTGTCTCTACTATACATGCTACTGCAAACTACACTGACCCCCAGACTGCGCTAACCTGGCCTGGTGTGTGTCGGCAGACTGAACAGTGCTCTGCGACATGAGCAGATGTTTGCTGACCGCTTCCTGCCCGATGCCGAGGCAGCGGAGGCTCTGGGACGCACCTGCTGGGAGGCCCTCATCACCCCCATCGTACAGAGCATCACCATCTCCGGTAACTTTCGGAGTCTGTCTCACTCTCTCTGTGTCTCTCTCACTCACTTCCTGGACTTCAGCTAGCTTCTGTCAGTCATACATGTTCATCAACTATGTTGATTCAGGCAGTTGTAGTACGAATAACTTGCCTCTCTCCTCCACTCCCACAGAGACCCAAGTCCTCAGTCCCCTCTCCTGGCTGCTCAGTGAGTACCTGGACAACGCAGAGTCAGCCAGGCGCTGCAAGAGCCGGGCCGCCATCTTCAACTCCCGCGTCCGTCGCCTCACCCACCTACTGGTCCATGTGGATACCAGCAGAGTGGACACAGAGGAGCTCAAGCCACCCATCAAGTGCAGTGAGTAATCCTGTACCGCTATACCTTACCACTCATTTACTTCTGATAAACACTCAAGGCTGCTATGAGTCTTTTCTCTGTCCAGCTTCTCAACCTTCAGAATAGTGAACTGACAATTATTGCCCCTAGAAATGGGTGCGGAAATGCTACTGGAATTGCCAATCAAAATGAGCTGCGAATAAATCTTAGTAGACTAGATTTTGCATGGTAGTATAATATTTGGAAATGCAAACGTATTGATACTTTACTTATAATATTAGGTAGACGCCACCCATCAAGTCTTCCGTATTTCTTTTGTTTTCAGAAGGTATCAACCGAAGCAAAGATTTAAAGAGTAAGTAACAGTTTAGAGGCTAATGTACTACATTTCGTTTTAAGTTATTCTTCCAGCTCAGTGGCATCCCCATTTTTATATAACTAATGACTGCGACATTCCGCTTTCCCCCCACACGCAACCCTCCAGTTTGAATTGAAAATGATCAGGATGATGTGTTACTCATTTGTTTCTTTGTTGTTTTTTGCTGCAGATTCTTTTTACCCTGATTTATCTCAAACCTTTTGTTTAGAAGATAACTGAATTGTCATTTTCTTTCAGATGGAAAAGAGGGAAAGAACAAAGATGCAGCCACTGTCTCCTCTTCCTCCTCCTCCAACTCTATCAAGCCGAAGGTGAAGAACACCAGCAGTATTGCAGGGATAGCACTGTGTTGGCAGGGCGTTGTACAGAGACAGGTAAGCCACTCGTATGTCTCTAAAAACACTGGGGCCCATTATAAACCTACTCTGATCTAATGTCCTTGAAGTAAGTTGGAGTAGTAACTCTCAAAAATAAAAAAAAGTTTGAGTCAAGATGGCATCACTAAATGAATCTTTGGCAGGATTTCAAAAGCTGGAACTCATAGATAAAAAAAACTAAAAAAAACTTGAGTGATGACTTAATCCATGTTTAACAGGTTAAGAAGTTTTTGGACTCTACGTGCAGCCTGCCAGACTTTGTGGAGCGCTACAGGAACATGTACCTCCGTCTGAAGAATGCCATGGAGGAGCTGTTTGGCCAACAGACAGCGTTTGTGCTGGCTCTCCGCCACGGCTTCTCTGCTGCTCTCCTACAGCTCTCCATCCTCACCGCCATGCACGTGAGTTATACTAGATGACCTGTACTCAATACTACTTAGGTCATATTAGGGCACGCAACGGAAAACGGCAATAGTTCTTCCTCGTTCCAGTCATTTTTCTTCTGTTTGGTGCCTAATGAACGTGACCCGGCAGTGCACCTGTAACACATCTATTCTCCAGATCACTGCTCTTTGTGTAGGTTGAATTCTCCATCTCTGTGTTTGCAGGTGAGTGAGCGGTTTGCCCAGTACATCGACTTGATGATCCAGGAGAGTGGAGTGGACTCTGGCAACGTGGAGACTCTTAATCAGTTACAGCAGTTCCTAGAACCAATGCTCTTCCTCTCAGGCCTGGAGCTGGCCAACACCTTTGAGCACTTTTACAGGTAAGGCCACATTTCTATCCCTGTAGTTGTTAAGGCCAACCTAAGACCATGTATCATTCATAAAAGGACCATATTGTAGCATAGTCTCGAGTCTCAATACATCTCGTTTCCTCCTCCACAGGTACTACCTGGGTGACAGGCTGCTAGGCCAGGGCAAGGTGTGGCTGGAGAGTGCTGTCATAATGCAGATAGGCACCTGCTTCCCCAACCGCTTCCCCCAGCAGATGCTGAAGAACCTGAGTGAGTCTGAGGAGCTGCAGCAGGAATTCCACCTCTACCGCCTCCAGCAGCTGGACAAGACCCTTCAGGATGTTGATGAGGAGGTAAGCAGAGGATGAGAAGCAGTATTGTATCAGGCCCTGCAGTGTTTTTTCCTTTTCCTTAAAAAAAAATATATAGCTGATGCTCGTTTCCAAAGCAGCATACACATATTTCGATGTGATATGGGCTCATGGGAATCCAACCCATAACCATAAACTATTTTTGTCCTTTGCTGTGCTACAGATGATGGATGATCAGCCGTCGGAGCCTGATGAGGAGAGTGAGGTGAAGGTGCTCATCCTGTCTCCTCGCTGCTGGGCTGTTTCCTCCCCCTGCTACATGGACAACCATAGCAGATACTTCCCCAAGCAGCTTTGCACCTACCTGGCAGAATTCACAGACTTCTACTCTAACAGTCAGTCCCCTTCTGTCGTCTGTCTTTTAAAAAAGTTTGGCTGTATGCAATAATTTTTGTTTGCCTCATTGATGTATTTTTAATATTTCTCATAAGTGACCAACCGCCGCGATTCGGTATTGTGTAGCAAAATTTGAAATTATGTTTTTTACATTGGATAAAAGTAGGGACTACAAAATGGTATCATACACTACAGTTGAGGAACAATGGGAAAGTAATCCTGCTTTAAAAGTTGATAAACTTTTGAGAAAATGGCCCTTGAATGTTTTGGTGCACGTACTGGAGAGCTCTTTGTCTACACCATTCAGCATCGTTCACACCCTCTTAAGCCTTAGCCCCACCCATCTCTTTTAAGGATTCACATGTGAGGCCATGTGCTAAACAGAGTGAGTAGTTTAGTAAACAACCAAAGATTTCAAGACAGTGTTAAAAGAAGTTTTAAAAAAATCCATGTAGAAAAACACTTATCTAGTCCTTGGCCTATATCCTAATCTGACTTCGGTGCAGGTCATGTTCTTCACATTACCGTCTCTGGTAAACACACTATCAAATAAAATCTGTTTATTTGTGACATGCACAGGGTACAGAAGGTGTAAACGGTACAGTGAAATGGTTACTTGCAATGTTCCCTCTAATTTCTTCCGGCACTGAGCAAATTTCAGTTCTGCTGAGCGCAAACTTGAACATTGTGAAAATTCTGTGCAACTTCCAGTTCATGTTTACTGTGAACACTGAAGCTGTACCTGCTTTAAGTTAGTGGCCTACCATCAAAAACGATGGAGAAAATGCATCCCATAACATTTTAACATAGAAATAGCTGTTATATAATTCAGCCTACAGTAGCAGTCAAAGTGTGGTGTTCAATGTAAGCCTACATTCCATGAGACTTAAAAAAAAACAAAAAAAAACATACAGGGCTTGACATTAACTTGTTTATCCACTTGTCCTTCAGACAAGGTGACTGAAAATGTTGTTGTGGTGTTTGATGCAAGAAACCACTTTACAAAATAAAGGCATTATTATTCGCATACCATTATTACATAGAATCAGACAAATTATGCTAACCTCTGCCTATTGGCTACTCTCAAAATACAACACTGCCCCTTTTAGACAAAAAAAGCTCTTTACCTGACTCGCTTTTCAAAGATGTCTAGAAATGTACACGTTTTGTTCTCTTGTAGGAAGCAATCACTCCCCTATTGCTGACTACAATTGAACTATAACTGGGCTATTAACTCACTAACTAGCAAAGGATATGAACAAAATGTGCACACATGGCTACATGCAGCTCTCGCTTTGATCTCAAAACAAGTACATCTACTCACGACCGCTCATGCTGTAAACACAGTCCAGTTCAAAGTAAATGGCACAGATCCATACAGTGGGGAGAACAAGTATTTGATACACTGCCGATTTTGCAGGTTTTCCTACTTACAAAGCATGTAGAGGTCTGTAATTTTTATCATAGGTACACTTCAACTGTGAGAGAGAATCACATTGTATGATTTTTAAGTAATTAATTTGCATTTTATTGCATGACATAAGTATTTGATCACCTACCAACCAGTAAGAATTCCGGCTCTCACAGACCTGTTAGTTTTTCTTTAAGAAGCCCTCCTGTTCTCCACTCATTACCTGTATTAACTGCACCTGTTTGAACTCGTTACCTGTATAAAAGACACCTGTCCACACACTCAATCAAACAGACTCCAACCTCTCCACAATGGCCAAGACCAGAGAGCTGTGGAAGGACATCAGGGATAAAATTGTAGACCTGCACAAGGCTGGGATGGGCTACAGGACAATAGGCAAGCAGCTTGGTGAGAAGGCAACAACTGTTGGCGCAATTATTAGAAAATGGAAGAAGTTCAAGATGACGGTCAATCACCCTCGGTCTGGGGCTCCATGCAAGATCTCACCTTGTGGGGCATCAATGATCATGAGGAAGGTGAGGGATCAGCCCAGAACTACACGGCAGGACCTGGTCAATGACCTGAAGAGAGCTGGGACTACAGTCTCAAAGACAACCATTAGTAACACACTACGCCGTCATGGATTAAAATCCTGCAGCTCACGCAAGGTCCCCCTGCTTAAGCCAGCGCATGTCCAGGCCCGTCTGAAGTTTGCCAATGACCATCTGGATGATCCAGAGGAGGAATGGGAGAAAGTCATGTTGTCTGATGAGACAAAAATAGAGCTTTTTGGTCTAAACTCAACTCGCCGTGTTTGGAGGAAGAAGAAGGATGAGTACAACCCCAAGAACACCATCCCAACCATGAAGCATGGAGGTGGAAACATCATTCTTTGGGGATGCTTTTCTGCAAAGGGGACAGGACGACTGCACCGTATTGAGGGGAGGATGGATGGGGCCATGTATCACGAGATCTTGGCCAACAACCTCCTTCCCTCAGTAAGAGCATTGAAGATTGGTCGTGGCTGGGTCTTCCAGCATGACAACGACCCGAAACACACAGCCAGGGCAACTAAGGAGTGGCTCCGTAAGAAGCATCTCAAGGTCCTGGAGTGGCCTAGCCAGTCTCCAGACCTGAACCCAATAGAGAATCTTTGGATGGAGCTGAAAGTCCGTATTGCCCAGCGACAGCCCCGAAACCTGAAAGATCTGGAGAAGGTCTGTATGGAGGAGTGGGCCAAAATCCCTGCTGCAGTGTGTGCAAACCTGGTCAAGACCTACAGGAAACGTATGATCTCTGTAAATGCAAACAAAGGTTTCTGTACCAAATATTAAGTTCTGCTTTTCTGATGTATCAAATACTTATGTCATGCAATAAAATGCAAATGAATTACTTAAAAATCATACAATGTGATTTTCTGGATATTTTAGATTCCGTCTCTCACAGTTGAAGTGTACCTATGATAAAAATTACAGACCTCTACATGCTTTGTAAGTAGGAGAACCTGCAAAATCGGCAGTGTATCATACTTGTTCTCCCCACTGTATATGGCAATGGTCTATTTGCATATAGGCCTACTATAGCTCTGATTGTTTATGCCACACCGGTCTGTGTAAAGTACGGGCTGAGTAGTGCGTGTCAATGCAATAGAATCCTACTCCGATATGTTCTGCCTACAAAATAATTTTGTTTTGTTTCGGTATGTTGCATTGAACTTGGCTAATATTGCGTTGATTCGATCACAGTTGCCACAGTAAAGGGAAATGTTGATAGTGTTAACAGGGAAAACTCTAGAACAGTGGTCACCAACCTTTTCTGAGTCAAGATCACAGAGTCAAAATGCAAGCTGAGATCTACCACTCAGAATTTTATTTTTTACATGACTTAAAAACATAAGCCTATGCAACATTAACCAATTAAAAACAGTACAGTAGCAATGAGGTTTGTGCAGTAAGCTATAGGCCCAATACATTATCACCACATATTGGCTTTGTTTGAATTGCCCTGCCAATGAATGCATTGTTGTTCAGGGCATAAAAAAAAAAATACATTTCAAAATTTGAGGTAGGCTATATGATCACATTGGTAATAGATCAGTTTTATTACTTACATTACATTTACATTTTAGTCATGTGACGCACAGCTGAGTGAGCATACATTTAAGTAATTGGCATTTATTTTTATTTCACTGGGCTGATGGTGCCTGCATCTGAAGGGTTTTTTACGTAAATGTTTGGCGATCGACAAGGAATGCCTTGAAGATTGACCAGTTGATCGCGATCGACAGGTTGGTGACCACTGCTCTAGAAAGTTGAGTGAAGTTCAATCTCGTGCTTCTCTCTGTTGGCGGATATTTCTGCGTGGCAATCCCAGGGCTACTGAAGGAAATGCTATAACCAGCCACATCTAGCTAAGTGGATGAGTCACTATTGTCTAGACATGTACACATGTTCATGAAATACAATAGATGGTTGTAATCACCCCCAGACACACCTGGCTAACTTGATGGGTCATGTAATCATCTGGCGAGGTGGAGTCTTGTTTAGCTGAACAATGAACTGGCATAATACAGACATTGTCATAGCTGTAGTATGAATCCGCAGGTAGCTAAAGCCAACCAACTAGCTAGATTCAATGTTAGCTAGCTAACATTAGGCTATAACTAGCAATGCAAATGGTTTTCTGATTTGAATAATATTACTACACAGATCATACATGTAACATTAGCTAGCGAGCCAGCAAGCTAATGTTTGCTAGCTAACAGTACGCGTTAACTTGCAATGAAAACAACTTTCTGACAAAATTAGAAACGTATAATATCTGAAAATGTAGCTAGCCTCTTACCCGTATACATGGATGAACGCTTCACAGCATACTGGAACCATTTAACTCCATTTAGTTTGTAGCTACATCTTGTTTGGCCAGTGTTGTCAAGTCACTCCCGTTCACACTGACCGTGGCGTGTGCAGAAAGTAGCCCATTACTTTTTACAACTGATCTGATAGCTCTTGCTAAGTTCACACTAACAGCTTACAGACGGTAGGCAATTAAGGTCACAGTTATGAAAACTTAGGACTCTGAAAAACACCAAAAGAAAGATGCCCAGGGTCCCTGCTCATCTGCGTGAACGTGCCTTAGGCATGCTGCAAGGAGGCATGAGGACTGCAGATGTGGCCAGGGCAATAAATTGCAATGTCCGTACTGTGAGACGCCTAAGACAGCCCTACAGGGAGACGGGACGGACAGCTAATCGTCCTCGCAGTGGCAGACCACGTGTAACAACACCTGCACAGGATCGGTACATCCGAACATCACACCTGCGGGACAGGTACAGGATGGCAACAACAACTGCCCGTGTTACACCAGGAACGCACAATCCCTCCATCAGTGCTCAGACTGTCCACAATAGGCTGAGAGAGGCTGGACTGAGGGCTTGTAGGCCTGTTGTAAGGCAGGTCCTCAACAGACATCACTGGCAACAACGTTGCCTATGGGCACAAACCCACCATCGCTGGACCAGACAGGACTGGCAAAAAGTGCTCTTCACTGACGAGTCACGGTTTTGTCTCACCAGGGGTGATGGTCAGATTCGCGTTTATCGTAGAAGGAATGAGCATTACACCGAGGCCTCTACTCTGGAGCGGGATCGAGGTGGAGGGTCTGTCATGGTCTGGGGCGGTGTGTCACAGCATCATCGGACTGAGCTTGTTGTCATTGCAGGCAATCTCAACGCTGTGCGTTACTGGGAAGACATCCTCCTCCCTCATGTGGTACTCTTCCTGCAGGCTCATCCTGACATGACCCTCCAGCATGACAATGCCACCAGCCATACTGCTCGTTCTGTGTGATTTCCTGCAAGACTGGAATGTCAGTGTTCTGCCATGGCCAGCGAAGAGCCCGGATCTCAAAAACCATTGAGCACATCTGGGACCTGTTGGATCGGAGGGTGAGGGCTTGGGCCATTACCCCCAGAACTGTCTGGGAACTTGCAGGTGCCTTGGTGGAAGAGTGGGGTAACGTCTCACAGCAGAAACTGGCAAATCTGATGCAGTCCATGAGGAGATGCACTGCAGTACTTAATGCAGCTGGTGGCCACACCAGATACTGACTGTTACTTTTGATTTTGACACCCCCCACCCTTTGTTCAGGGACACATTATTCAATTTCTGTTAGTCACATGTCTGTGGAACTTGTTCAGTTTATATCTCAGTTGTTGAATCTTATGTTCATACAAATATTTACACATGTTAAGTTTGCTGAAAATAAACGCAGTTGACAGTGAGAGGATGTTTCTTTTTTTGCTGAGATTATCTTTCAAAAACAGTGCGGTAGAAAGCACTATCAACACATACTGAACAGCTCACGTTATAGACCGAAACATGCTAAATGGCAGACCAATCCAAACTCATCTCCCGGCATGTCCAGCCCATACGTTATCTCAGCCAATCATGGCTAGTGGGAAGGTTCCTGTCTCTTTCCGTGGCTAAATCAACTAGGCTCGTAATTTAACAATTGTATTCGTATTTACATATGAAATACAAGTTTGTTATTAAGGCACATGAAAGTTCATGTTCCAGAAGCCTTTTCTGCCAAAAAAACGTATTTTGATAAAACATTTGTTTACATTCAAATGCCTCTCCTGTGAAGTAGTGATGTGCGACAAATGCCTAGTTTCCTGAAACAAGTCACATATGCCAAAATCTCACCAAGTTCCATCAGAACCAGTCCATTACAATGGCATGTTTCAGAACGAAAGTGCTAGAGGCTGATCGGTGTGTGATGTGTGTTTGTCTGCAGGCCAGTGCATGTACAATCTGACCCACAGTAAGCCCCGGCGTCTACAGTGGACCTGGCTGGGCCATGCAGAGCTGCACTACGGCTCCTGCACTCTCTACGTCTCCACCCTGCAGATGTACATCCTCCTGCAGTTCAACCACCAAGCGGTAACTAGATAGGGGGGGGGGGAGAAAGAAACACAGTGCAATGCACTATGGGGAGTTGAATTATTACATTTTCTCCATTTGACAATGGGCTGTTGTCTCTGATATGACCTCGTGTTGTCTTTTATTTCAGGATGTATCTGTGGAGGCTCTTCAGCAGGCCACAGGCCTCTCCCCGACAATGCTGGCTCATGCTCTGTCTCCCCTCACTGTAGAGAAGGGCATTCTCACCCAAGACAGCCCCGACAACAATCTTGTGAAGGGTGAGCTCCTGCTCTTTGTCTTCCCCTCAGAGCCTTTCACAAAGATTCTATGGGACTATTGTTGATCCCTGTAATCCATCTGATTTTGTGACATTGTATTTACAAAAAAAAATTGCTGTAAGACTCCTTCTCCTGCATTGTTCTCCAGTTAGATTTAATTTTAATGACCATTTGAATTTACTGTTGGCATTTGTTTGTGGAGTTGCACTGAATGTATTGTTTTGTCCTCTGCCCATAGGAGTCCTGAGATTGAACAAAAAAGCTCTGTCTCAGAGTTTGGAAAACCACAGCTACTGCTACCTGCTGCCCAAGCAGACCTACTTGAATGTGGACGAGGATGCTGCCCGCTCGCTGGAGAGGAAGAGGAACTTCATCTACTGCCTCATCATCCAGATCATGAAGGCTGAGAAAGAGATGCACATAGACAACCTGGTGTTCAGAGTAAGGCCATGTTCCTTCCCCATGTCATTTCTCATGTGACCAATGGAGATCCTCAGCTGATCCTATGTATAATATAATATGCCATTTAGCAGACGCTTTTATCCAAAGCGACTTACAGTCATGTGTGCATACATTTTTACGTATATGTAGTGGTAGCATAAACGTACATCCCTCCATGGTTCAGGACCAGCTTTATTTGATGTGCCAGACACTAGCAGCTGGTGTCTTATGTACCTCTTTTCTCCCTTGTCCTCCATCAGGTGTTGGACACGTGTCAGAAACGGGAGGCGACTCGTTCCCCGGGCTCGGTTCGTTTCAGCTGCAGCACTACAGACGTGCTGTCCTGCGTCATGCACGTCATCAGCAAGGGCTACATCAGGCGCAACGAGGACAGCCCCCACATCGTGGAGTTCCTGCCCGAGGACCCCTCCACTCCCCAGAAGGGCCAGGCGCATTTCTCCTTCAGCAAGGCTGAGCTGAAGAATAACCCCAGCAGCAGCAACGCTGACATCAGGTGTGCGGATGAGCCTTGACCTAGTGGGGGAAAGGTTTTTAATGTGGCTGGCTGGTGTGGCCTCTGGGGTGATTCTGTATCTTGGGAATAGTTTGGTTTTTGAATTGTAGGGAAGGAGAGTAGACTATACTAACAGGCCTATTCCATTTATGTCCGACTGCCTTAGGCATCGGATAAATGCTTTAATAAATAATCAATTGGGTTGAGGTCTTCAGCCCTGATGTTACAGCACTTATTTGTGACATATATGTTCTCGTTCTGTCCTAGTTGAGCTTTTAAATGCACTTTGACCTAAACTGTGGCTGCATGGCAATGCCTGGCAATGTCAGTCATTTCATATTCAGGATGACCACTGATGCTGTTCATCTAAGCCATTACTTTCCAAGAAACCCATGGCTCTCTAATACTAAAACGATAAATGCAACATAAAAATAACCTAGGCTCTTATGCAATATGTTCAGAAACAGTCAAAATATGCTAGTGAATGTTTTATTAATATAAATAAAGAAAATTGATCAACTTTGAACCATGTTTGTTGCTTTCTTATTTTGTGTGGTTATAATGAAATAGTCTAGAAATGTTGTGTGGGGTGAGATCTTTTCTAATGAAGATTTCAAAATTAGTCAGTCTTTGTCATTAAAATCACACTTACTACTAACCTGATGGCTATAAGTTTTGCTTTTCATAAGGATGTTATTGTGACTCACTGTTTTAAATAAAATGTTTGTTCTCTGAGATGAGAGTAATTCCAATGTAATCATACTAAACTGTGACCCCCCCACACTTTTAAGAAGTTAAGATTTCCATAGTTGTAAGTTATCTTGTGACCCACTGTGTCTCCTCCTGCAGCCTGGAAGGCATCATTGCAGCCCCTCCGAGTGCGGAAGACGGGGTCCTGGAGGCTGTCCTGTTGTCTATGGGCCGGACCATGAACCAGGAGGAAGTCCGGCAGCTGATGCAGCGCACAGTCCAGCAGGTCTCTGGCACTCTGAGTTTGGACCTGGACCGGGCTGAGCACCTGCTGGTCCACTGCAAGTGGAACGTGGACGTGCTGATCCAGCGCTACACAGACGACCCGGACTCCCTGGTTTTGGCTGCCGGGCTAAAGGGCCGGAACCCCCAGCCGCCCCCTAGCCCCATGGCCAGCTGCCCCGTGTGCTTCATCTCCCATACAGGGGAGGCAGAGCCCGCCCCCACCCTCTGCTGCATGCACTACTGCTGCCGGGTCAGTCACCGTAAAGATTTTTCTACCCCTTTTCAAACTTTACATTTGTTTAATCTTATATTGATACTTGAATTCTTAAAAGTCTAAGCTGTTGGGGGGGGGTTCTAAGCTGACATGGAATTGTTTTAAGCTGGTCATACTATGGATCATTTAGCTATTTGATTTAGAATTTTAGGACCCCTTCAGGTATAAAATAAAATATTGATTTGATAAAATATTGAATTTGGCCGTTACTATTCTAACCCAAAGAAACGCGTTGAATAACACATTCATAAATGGCAAAAAAAAGACAGTCAAAAAACAAATAATAAGAAACAAGATGTACACATTTAACCCCTTTTTTGGGTTGGCACAAAAACTACCTTCAAACTTCTATTCATTTTTTAAAAACCGGTACCGGTTACTTTCAGACGAGTCCTGTGACCCTTTCCACAGTGGGGTCACATTAGTTTGTAGCCCAAATGGTTCGGACGCTACAAACAGAAGTTGGCACATCAACAGTACTGACTTCAGATGAGTCCCCTGACACTTGTGGGGGTCGGAGACCACCATTGTGTTCGTGAAAGTCTCCCCTTTCCAGAGTGGTCATAGTTTGTAGGTCAAACCGTTCGGACGCTACAGACGTTTACGTGAGAATCAACTCTAGGGGGTTAAGGATGAATGACACTGTACTTATGAGTCGGAACATCTTCTCCTAATTAATGTGTACAGTTCGTCAAAGGACTCTCATTTGATGATGATTTATTTTTCCTTCCTACAGTCTTGCTGGCATGAGTACCTCACGGCCAGGATTGAGCAGAACCTGGTGATGAACTGCAACTGTCCAATCACAGACTGCCGTGCGCAACCTACTTCTCGGTTCTTCTTCAACATCCTGACCGACAAAGACACTATCGCCAAGGTCTGCCCCCCCCCCCCCCCCCCCCACCACCCCCACACAGCTCAATGAGAGCAACACTTATATAAACCCATAATGTTACATCACATTAGTCTAGTTGTCATATGAAGGGATGGCTCAGTTTAGCATGGAAATTCAAAAACAAACATTTCTGTCCAGTTTTACGTTTGTTTGCTGATCGTGAGTTTAGAACAGCAGTACCTATCCATTCGCTGAGCCCCTCCGCTCCTGTACTCTGTTCCCCCCCAGTATGAGAACGCGCTCATCCGGGGCTACGTGGAGTGCTGCTCCAACCTTACATGGTGCACCAACCCCCTGGGCTGTGACCAGATCTTGTGCAAGGAGAACATCGGCAGCATGGGCACCTGCTCAAAGTGCTGCTGGTCCTCCTGCTTTAGCTGCAACTTCCCAGAGGTTAGCACTGAGCTGTCATACAGTACCGAGCTTCCTGTCTTTCTCATTTATGTGTTATAGGGCTTTAGTGAAGATTTTTGGGTGTATTTGTAATATATTTTTACTTCAATGGTATTGAATCAGAAATCCATATTTGTATCGTTAGTGATCAATATACATATTTGTCAAGAGACTCAAGCAAGCACAGAGTACAGCTTTATGATGATTTCTTAACCTCCACTATCTGCCCCAGGCTCACTACCCAGCCAGCTGCAGTCACATGTCCCAGTGGATGGACGATGGTGGCTACTACGAGGGTATGACCATGGAAGCCCAGAGTAAGCACCTTGCTAAACTCATCTCCAAACGCTGCCCCAGCTGCCAGGCCCAGATAGAGAAGAACGAAGGCTGCCTACAGTAAGTATAAAGCCACTGGACCCGTTTTAATCCTCAGCCCTGTTCTGTCGATTTCCATCAAACCATTTCAAGTTTTACCCAGAAGTATGTTGTAGGGATTTATAGGCATCACTTTTACTGCCACTGTGTCTACATTTTTTTCAGTATGACCTGTGCCAAATGTAACCATGGATTTTGCTGGAGGTGTCTCAAGCCATGGAAACCAACCCACAAAGATTACTACAACTGCTCTGCTATGGTGAGTCCATATGACTTGATTAAATGAAGTTTGCGCTTCATAAGATTTAGTACAAATGCAAAGGGTTTCCATGAATTGCAGAGTATTTATTCCCCTTTGGGATGTGATATGAACATCCATGTCCAATCTAAACCTACTACATACTTTAATACAAAACTCTGTAATAAACAAAAGCTCTGTTGATTTCCAATGCAGTGATACACATTTTTTTTGTCTGCAGGTGAGTAAAGCAGCAAGGCAGGAAAAGAAGTTCCAAGACTACAATGAGAGATGCACTTTCCACAACCAGGCCAAGGACTTTGCCATCAATCTGGAGAGCAAAGTCTCCTCCATCAATGAAGCCCTGCAAATGAAGTCCTTGACGTTTGTTATTGATGCCTGCAAAGTCCTTGCTCAAGCTCGCAAGGTAAGAGGAAGTAAACGAATAGGAAAAGAACCGACTAATCTGTAGCGACGTTGAAGGAATATTGTGTCTCTTGTGTTATAGAGCATTTTGAAAATGTCAATCACCATGTGATTTCACATACGAGCAGGGGTGAAAGTAAGGTGGTCCTGTACTGCGTCCCGGCAAAATAAATAGTGGGGGTACGTCGTACCGGTAAAACGTGAGCCTATCACAATTCATACAACATGCCCAAAAAACTATAGGCTATTACACCATTATTTAACATTACTGCATGTCAGCCGCATGAGAAATTAGCGAATTGACTGGAAACCGAGTGGTGTACGCTCCAAAATGTAACTGTTCTCCTGTGGTTTGAGGAGAACAGTTACATTTTGTGAAGGCGGAGATGAGTGGCCGAGACCGAGGCACGCGTGGACAGCAGTGGCTGCATCAATTCAGGCTACAAGTGTTGGCCTAATGACAATCGCAGAATGTCATTACAATACACGCAGGTGTTTTTTGGATGCTGAAATTATTTTGAGTGGACGAATGTGCGCTGAGCCTAAAGGAGCGCCTTCGTAAAGTGATCGTTTAACAATCAGATGAAAACATCATGACTAGTTGTGTTTATGCCACATTAAAAGCCATAGGCGGCATGTCCATAAGGCTAGGGAGAGCTAAGCTTTCCCTAAAGTAAATTTAATTAAATTGCCAAAAGTGTATAGCCTAATTGGCGTACTCCTGTCTATAAATAAATAAATAAATAAATAAATAAATAAAACCATTCAAAATAGGCTACTACACCAGAAAGCATGATTTGGCCACAGAGGATCATTAGCAACTTATTTATTTTTTTTAAGCTGTGGATTGTTTTAAATCACATAGCCTACAGTCGAAGGACCCGCAATTTGGGCAGCGCGTGCTGCAAATACCAAATATATGATGGAGTTTTTATTGATCTGTTTGCTAGTGTCCGCAGAGTAGGCTACCCTGTAATTTTTGTAGTATAACAAAAAAGCGTGCGCTCACTTGGGTGTCCCGTACCGGTAAGAAATTAAGTCTACTTTCACCCCAGCATACAAGGTTGTTAGTATTCAAAAAAATATCCATATGACTAATATGGACCTCTTGCCTGACTGCCATGTAGGTGCTGGCCTACTCGTGTGTGTACAGTTACTACAACCAGGACACAGAGAAGATGGATGTGATGGAGCAGCAAATGGAGGCCCTGGAGCTTCACACCAATGCCCTACAGATCCTACTGGGTAAGACCTGCAGGAATTTTATAGGAAAATCATTGTGGTAAGATTTTGTCAAGGCAGATTGCTTTTGAGGATGTTTCAAGCATCTTGGATAAGTTATCATTGTTGGTGTGTCCCCCCCCCCCCCCCCCCCCCCCCCAAGAGGAGACCCTGTTGCAGTGCACTGATCTAGCGTCCTGCGTCCGTCTCCTGAAGCCTGAGCACCTCAACACTGGCTTGGAACTCATCCGCCGCATTCAGGAGCGTCTGGTGGCCATTCTACAACACTCGACCCAGGTAGGGACTTGCGCACACACTCTGAAGAGCAGAGCACAAAGTATGGTGGTAATACTTACTGGATGCATTGTGGTCCAATCAACAGCAAATCATGAGGGTTTCCTCCTGTCTGGTCTCTCCAAACACAGGACTTTCGAGTGGGCTACAACTCCAAAACGGGACAGGAACAGGAATCTGCTCAAGCTTCAAATCTCTCTAAGACCACAGATGCCAACAAAGCGTGAGTACAGGACATTTGGGAAGTGGATCTCCACATTACCACCTGGATCTAGTAGCATGTTTTTCCTGATTTGCTGTGCTCACAATGAGACTGGTGTTCTCTCTGCAGGGCTGGGGCCTCCGAGTCTGGTGACTCTGACAACAACAACAACAATGAGGAGGAAGGTGGAGATGAGGCAGAGGAGGATGATGAGTATGACGATGAGGAAGTCCTCGAATGGCATGAAGATGACGAAGATGACATAGACGAGGATGACTTCTTCTCTGATGACGACGAGTCCGAAAACCTTGAGAGGGATTTCAGTCCTTTTGACTAAATATCTGAAAATATTTAAAAAAGGAAGGAAATGTCAGTCAATCTGTGCAGGCACTGCAAGCACCATATAAATATATTAGAAACAGTACTTAATAAATAAACAAATATTCATTAGAGCTTTGGTAACAGGAGAGCCATGGTCTTGTTTAAAGTGAGGCTGGGTGTGAGCCTTCACATTTCCAGTCAGCCTGTTTGTGCTGATCTTTCACAATTTTTGTCCCATGCCACAACTGCAATTGTTGGATAGGGGGTACACTTACATTTTCCTCTTATTGTTTTTCAAATAGGTTTGAATTCCTAGAGCCTGTCATTATTTTTCACATGACACTGTTTTGAAGCCGATGAGGGTTCCATGATTATCACGCATAATGAAGGATCCCTGTAAGATCTATTTGGGAGGTGTGACAGTATACTTTGGAACAAAGCCCATACTTTTGTTTAATACAGATGCTGCTTTTTGATTTACTCACGCGACTGAATAAAGGGATTTATAATCCAGCACTAGGATGGCTGTCTTTAGTTTTAAGTTCATGTTTTTATATCTGTTGTATACTGACATGTTGTGTTGGCATGTCGTTCATTACCAAATGGTTTGCCTTGGTTTATTTTTGAATACATGGATATATGCCTTCCTTCAAAATGATAAAGAACACAATCAGAATTGATTTCCCTAGTGAAAGTTAATACTGTTCAATTATATTTTGTTTGTTTAGTAGCCTACTAAAGAGATCAGTTAATACATAATGTTTGAAGAGTGAAACATTTTCATGCATCTGGGTGAAAGGGCTGCAGGTGGAGAAGATTGCGAGGAAAAGGATGTAAGATATTTTGTGTGCCTGGCCACAGCCCATCTGACTGACAAATCAGAAACATGTCGCCATCCTCTAAAAAAACTCATTGCATATAACGGATTGAAAGTATCATAACTAATGCATTATTGGCTAAGCAAAAACCTACATTATTTTTTTTCTTTCTGGAAATTAGCATTTGAAATTTGTACATGCCAATGTTCATCTGTTTTATGGGTTGAGAGGTATCTGATATCGCAACATACACTTTGCTCATAGAAGTTGACATATCGTTATTCATACTGAGCATCTTCCAAAATGTTATCTTTCTAATCTCATTGTTGAAGTTGTGTATCTTCAGCTGACTAAATAAATGCTTTTTCTGCTACCATGCTGGAGTGATTTCATAACTGTATTTGGGTTATTTCATAACTGCATTACGTGATTTAAATTAGAAGCATCCAACGAGACAACCCACTCGCTGTTTTTTTTTCTTTTCTTTCTGTTTTATGAAAGTAAATTAACTAAGTAGACCAGACCAATGATTTACATATACACTAGATGATGGAAGCTATGGGGGGGTTGGTTGTTTATCAACAAAAACGACGGGCATGCGCAACCATTGGGCAATACAGATGAGGTTAACTTCGATTGTTAACATGTATCAATATTTCGTCTGCAATATTGATTGAAAACGTAAATTTGCACAATGACCACTTCTCTTAAATACATCGTTGCAGTTGTTGGTTAGCTAGCTAGCAAATTTGAGCCATATTAGCATTGACATGAAATCAGTCAAAACACATAAGACATGGTAGCAATAAGATGAAACAAACTGAAAGGAGCCATTTAGGATTCCCCACATGGCAGTTTCTTGTCATTCTTGCAAGCAATCTGGCCATCCAGAATCAAAACAGGCTAACTTCTGCCCCATGGAAGCGCACACATCGTTTTTGTGACGTTGACAGACAACCCCATCTATAGAAATGCATTTATTGTCTACATTCGTTTTTGCTACATTTATTCTATTAAAGACAACTTAAATCATAATTTTACATTATATTATGTGAGCTAAATATAAAAATGAAATATAAAAATATTTTCCTTAAAGTATAATTTTTGAGATGACTAATGTTACTGTCCTCACTACAACAAAATACTCAAATACATGTAATTTTGTCCTTGAAACATTTAATTGAAAAATGTAGAATTCCATTCATTCCTATGGAGGACCGCGCCAACTGGGCAGTGCCAATATCGCCGAATGGTGGCTTGAAAGCCTCTCAATAGCCCGGCACATTGGACGCGTAATAATACCCATACAACCTAGCGGTAAAACCCGGTAGTGGTTCCAATCGTTTTTTCCCCATTCATTTTTGCGTCTGGGATTTTAGAACTACTTCATATAAGGTCTGTGTTTCGTGTAGCCTGATGTGACGTTTGATAGCCATGTAATTCTCTCTCGGACAAAGAGAGTTTTCTCAATATATGTGCAATAACTCAATTCGCCTTTGCACTCCTAAACAACGCTATTTTTAAAAACTTGGTCAAAGGTTAAAGTCTAATTAACTTAGTCCACTCTGCTCGTAACAGATTCTAGTTTTGAGAACAGAAAACTGTATTGAGATCAAATGTTTAATCGATGAGTAAATTAGCAGAATATCGGCCAAAATCCATCTCATTCCATCTTCTCCCACTGCGGCACTTGGCTTCCTCTCGCTACCATATTTGGTAGTGAGTGGAAACCCCAACCAGATGCTTCACATTTATAAATCTGGTGAAATATCTGTCTCATTGTTCTATCTATGCTACAGCGGTAGCTGACTACAAATTCCTGCAGGAAACTCCTAAATTTAATCTCTAACCGACACTGTCAGCTATCGTTCACCAGCGCGATCAGAGACCTTTGTGCCCAATCCATGAATTTATTATAATAAATTTACATCCCCTTTCTCTGTTTTAGCTAGCCACTGACAACACTTTAGCTTGGTAGTTAGCAGTGCAATATATATATATATATATATTGTAATGGAGCAGGTCTCGAACCCTCAACCTTCTAGCCCGAAGTCCAGCGTGCCAAAAGCATGCTCGCGTGCCAGAGTCGATATCCGCGATTATAAACCCAGGGTCGTTACACAACTCCCTCCTTTCAAAATGCGCGTCCTCGCGCTAACCTACAACTCAACGTTTTACAGGAACGCGCTCACCGGCCAAGCACACACACGTTCGTGGATGCAAGGTCCGATCACGTCTGACACCAATGTAATGAAACAGGCAGGGAGCAGGTCTTGAACCCTCAACCTTCTAGCCCGAAGTCCAGCGAGCCATCGACTGTGCCCCAAATGCATGCTCGCGTGGCAGTCGATATCCTCGTTTAGGACTCTGCCACGCGAGCATGCATTTGGGGCACATAAAATAATTTTGTTTTACTTAGCCTAGATAATTGTTTGTACAGTATGTCGAATTTGGTGTCTATTTCAGACCTTATGGCGTTTTTCAAGGATGAGCATCAGAGCATAAAAAGGGGAGAAGACCACTAGAAGTCTGGCCATGTGGTGCAGCTATAGTGAGGGGCAATTTACCGGTTTGGTCAGGGCCAGCATGAGGGATAAAGTTTATCCTGTGTCAGTGAGTGTAGCTATTTAGTTGTTTTAACATCTAACAATACAATGTGTTCTATACAGCTGTCAACATTCTACAAGGAAAGAGCCACTTAATCAATGATATCATAATTAACCGGGTTTGGCTGGGTGTAGGCTGTCATTGTAAATAAGAATTTGTTCTTAACTGACTTGCCTAGTTAAATAAAGTATACCCTGCATACCAGACTTCTATGAGTGATAACTCAGTTCTAGAATGTTGTCATTGATGCAAATGAATCAAAAAATCTATTGACATTCAGAATTTACTTTTAGGCTTCCAGCCTGTACAGTATCTTAAATAATCCTCCTCCTCACCAAAACAACCTGAACCAGCACTTACACTTGCAGTGGTGGAGATCAAGTGTCCCTATGGTGCAAGGGACCTTACCATTGAAGAGGCAGTGAAGTCGAAAGGATTTCTATATCAAGGAGGGAGGGTCTTACAGCCTCCGTGAGGTCCAAGGGCAGCTCCACATCACTGGAAGGGACAGCTGCTTCTTTGTTGTGTGGACCACCAAAGCCTCCATCACCATCCCCATTCAGGGTGAAGACCTTTGGCAGACTCATATTGCTCCTCCTGTCAGTGCCTGTTTTCAGGGAAGCCAATGGTCCAACAATATTCCACATAGTTCATACACACACACTAGGCTTCCATAATAGGTTATATTACATTCAAGTTTTGCTCAAAGCAGACAACTAAAGTAATGTAGTTAACTTAAACATGGGCACATTGGGAATTTATATCTGTTTCAAATAATTTCTTATGCCCTGTACCTTACTTGCTGAAGGCCCCAGTCATCCCTGCCTGTACCTACATTGCATTCGGAAAGTATTCAGACCCCTTCCCATTTTCCACATTTTAAATTGATTGGACATGATTCGGAAAGGCACACAACTGTCTACAGTCGTGGTCAAAAGTTTTGAGAATGACACAAATATTAATTTTCACAAAGTCTGCTGCCTCAGTTTTTATGATGGCAATTTGCATATACTCCAGAATGTTATGAAGAGTGATCAGATGAATTGCAATTAATTGCAAAGTCCCTCTTTGCCATGAAAATGAACTTAATCCCCCCAAAAACATTTCCACTGCATTTCAGCCCTGCCACAAAAGGACCAGCTGACATCATGTCAGTGATTCTCTCGTTAACACAGGTTAGAGTGTTGACGAGGACAAGGCTGGAGATCACTCTGTCATGCTGCTTGAGTTAGAATAACAGACTGGAAGTTTTAAAAGGAGGGTGGTGCTTGAAATCATTGTTCTTCCTCTGTTAATCATGGTTACCTGCACGGAAACACGTGCCGTCATCATTGCTTTGCACAAAAAGGGCTTCACAGGCAAGGATATGCGATAGTAAGATTGCACCTAAATCAACCATTTATCGGATCATCAAGAACTTCAAGGAGAGAGGTTCAATTGTTGTGAAGAAGGCTTCAGGGCGCCCAAGAAAGTCCAGCAAGCGCCAGGACCGTCTCCTAAAGTTGGTTCAGCTGCGGGATCGGGGCACCACCAGTGCAGAGCTTGCTCAGGAATGGCAGCAGGCAGGTGTGAGTGCATCTGCACGCACAGTGAGGCAAAGACTTTTGGAGGATGGCCTGGTGTCAAGAAGGGCAGCTAGGAAGCCACTTCTCTCCAGGAAAAACATCAGGGACAGACTGATATTCTGCAAAAGGTACAGGGATTGGACTGCTGAGGACTCGGGTAAAGTCATTTTCTCTGATGAATCCCCTTTCCGATTGTTTGGGGCATCTGGAAAAAAGCTTGTCCGGAGAAGACAAGGTGAGCGCTACCAACAGTAAAGCATCCTGAGTAAAGCAACAGTAAAGTACATGCCAACAGTAAAGCATCCTGAGACCATTCATGTGTGGGGTTGCTTCTCAGCCAAGGGAGTGGGCTAACTCACAATTTGGCCTAAGAACACTTTCATGAATAAAGAATGGTACCAACATATCCTCCGAGAGCAACTTCTCCCAACCATCCAAGAACAGTTTGGTGACGAACAATGCCTTTTCCAGCATGATGGAGCCCCTTGCCATAAGGCAAAAGTGATAACTAAATGGCTCGGGGAACAAAACATCAACATTTTGGGTCCATGGCCAGGAAACTCCCCAGATCTTAATCCCATTGAGAATTTGTGGTCAATCTTCAAGAGGCGGGTGGACAAACAAAACCCCACAAATTCTGACAAACTCCAACCATTGATTATGCAAGAATGGGCTGCCATCAGTCAGGATGTGGCCCAGAAGTTAATTGACAGCATGCCAGGGCGGATTGCAGAGTTCTTGAAAAAGAAAGGTCAACACTGCAAATATTGACTCTTTGCATAAATTTAATGTAATTGTCAATAAAAGCCTTTGACACTTATGGAATGCTTGTAATTATACTTCAGTATACCATAGTAACATCTGACAAAAATATCTAAAAACACTGAAGCAGCAAACTTTGTGAAGACCAATACTTGTGTCATTCTCAAAACTTTTGACCACGACTGTATATAAAGGTCTCACAGTTGACAGTGCATGTCAGAGCAAAACCAAGCTATGAGGTCGACGGAATTGTCCGTAGAGCTTCGAGACAGGATTGTGTCAAGGCACAGATCTAGGGAAAGGTACCAAAAAATGTCTGCAGCGTTTAAGGTCCCCAAGAACACAGTGGCCTCTATCATTCTTAAATGCAAGAAGTTTGGAGCCACCAAGACTCTTCCTAGAGCTGGCCGCCCGGCCAAACTGAGCAATCGGGGGAGAAGGGCTTTGGTCAGGGAGGTGACCAAGAACCCGATTGTCACTCTGACAGAGCTCCAGAGTTCCTCTGTGGATTGGGAGAACCTTCCAGAAGGACAACCATCTCTGCAGCACTCCACCAATCAGGCCTTTATGGTAGAGTGGCCAGACGGAAGCCACTCCTCAGTAAAAGGCACATGACAGCCCGCTTGGAGTTTGCCAAAAGGCACCTAAAAGACTCTCATACCATGAGAAACAAGATTCTCTGGTCTGATGAAACCAAGATTGAACTCTTTGGCCTGAATGCCAAGCGTCACGTCTGGAGGAAACCTGGCACCATCCCTATGGTGAAGCATGGTGGTGGCAGCATCATGCTGTGGGGATGTTTTTCAGCAGCAGGGACTGGAAGACTAGTCAGGATATAGGGAAAGATGAACGGAGCAAAATACAGAGAGATCCTTGATGAAAACCTGCTCCAGAGTGCTCAGGACCTCAGACTGTAATTTCACCACCTGTGCTGTTGGTGGCGGTATTCGACCTTTCTGAGCTCGAGTGTCAGCGTCTGTGTCCTGAAAAGGTATCTGCTATATGAGCTATTATTAAGGTCGTAATTTCAGCATAGACTGCTATAGAATAGTTCTGTGCAGTTGCAGTGAGGGGGGGAAATATTTGTTTGGTCAGGGCATGGGCGTTGTGACTAGTTACCGCAAACACAAAGTCAAAATTGGCTATATTGTAAACATTTATGAAAACAAACATTTGCTTTTTGGTCTTAATTTTAAGGTTAATGTTTGGCATAAGGTTAGCAGTGTGGTTAACGTTAGGGGTAATCGGGTGTTTAAGTAGATACATTGTATAAATAGGCGGGGTTTATGACTTTGTGGTTGTGGTAACTAGTGATTCATCTGATTTGGTCAATTTATTTTACACTATATGGATTTGGCGCTATCTACACCGGAAATACGTCATGTCTCCACAGCCACAATATCCGCAACAAGTTCGCTAGTGTGAGGTTATGTAGCTAGCTATATAGCTATCCCGCTACCGTGAGTTTCGATATAACGTTAACCGAAGAGTTACCTATTAAACCACAAACTTGCAAAAGTGAATACGTGCACCTCCATATATAGTATATCAGCGATATGTACCTAGCTAGTATGGTAATCTAGCCAGAATTTCGCGTCCCCTTTGAAGAGTTCTTGCTGCTTACGTTAGCTTGCGAGCTAGCTAGCTTTAATAAAAAATTTCGAGATGGGACGAGGAGGTGGTCGGAAGCGTGGAAAAGGCAATGGACCTCCTCCATTTGACATGGGACCAAGGCGGCCTCATCCATTTGACATGGGCCCAGGACCAGGTTGGTGTGGGCCGTCTGGACCTTTTGGTCCTTTTCACGGTGGCCCCGGTCCACATCCTAACTTTATGGGAGATCCAATGATGCAAGGCCCCATGCCACCTGATTATCACGGATATGGGCCAGGCTACGGGCCAATGGGTCCAGGTGGCCCCATGGATGGATACGGACCAATGGGGCCAGGTGGCCCCATGGATGGATACGGGCCAAGAGGCCCCATGGATGGGTATGGGCCAATGGGTCCAGGTGGCCCTATGGATGGATGTTTCGATGGGCCGCCGATGGATGGACCAGGATTCGGGTATGGTCCAGGTATGCCTGGACCATATGATCCGATGATGGGCAATGTACCAGGACCAATGCCCCCAGTTATGCCGCCCCCAGTTATGCCCCCCCCAGTTATGCCCCCCCCTGGTATTCCTCCCCCAGGTATGCCGCCCATGGTGCCGCCTCTGGTGGACAACCCTGGCTTTCCTCCACCCTGGCAAAGCGAGGTAATGTTAGCTAGACAACTTGTAGTGCTTTCTGCATATTGCAAATTCTCAATGTTAAACTTGTAAATAAAACTATCTTGGTGTTATAATAACATGACATGGTTTGAATGGGCAATCAAGAACAATTAGTTTGTTCTTCATGAATAACATCTTTTAAATAAAAAATAATCCCTAACATCAAGTCTGCCTCCTTCAGGCAAACCCTTATGCTGTCCCTCCTCCGTCGTGGGTAAGTGCTACTGTGTCTGTTCTGTCCTGTCATCTCTATGATACAATTTCAATGAAATTGTGCTGCTGACCCTCAACATTTCACTGGCTCCTTTTCTCTTCCTGACAACAGCCCGTCCCGACAACAGCCCCCGTTCCGACTGAGACGACTGTAGTGCCTGATGTGTGGGGACTCTGCCGGGGCTCCGAGGTCCCTCAGCCTGATCCCCCCCAGACTGATGAACAGAAGACCAAAGTGTCCAAGAAGGAAAAAAAATCGTCAGGGAAGAAGAGCTACAATGACAAGTAATGGTCATTATGTCAACAAATTAGGTGTCATCATCACTGTGCGATTAGTGTTTGATTGCATACAGTAGTTGGATCTTCCATACGTTAGATTAGTTGTTCAGGAAGTTCTGCTTATACGCGTATACTTTTTCCTCTCAACACTTATAACTCATAGGCCTCCTCCACCTGGAAGATCCAAGGGGGTCATCTCATTCATCGGGGTAAGTCCAAATGCTGAGAATCCTGCTTGAATGGATGGTTCTTCATCTCCGCTAGTAAACATTGCATTCTCAAATTGTGCTCTCCCCTCCACAGCCAACTTATGGCTACATCGAAAGAGATGATCTCAAAAAATATTCCTTCACTTTTGATGCTTTTCTGGGAGTCCCCAAGAACATGATACCTGGGGTCAGGGTGCATTTTACAGCCTACAAGGAGAAGGTGGGTCACTTTAGAAACATTTTGCTAGATATTGTTTAAAGGACAACATTTGGAGGAGTTTGAGCCATTGGTTTTCATTGTATTTGTATTTTTTATACTTCCTTGTATTGTAAACCCAGGCAGGGGAATGTGCGACCGATGTATCTGTACCTCCAGGGGGGACTGAGGAGATTGACTCCACCATTATCGAAGGTTTTGTCTGCAATGCTATCCCGGAGCAGCAGGTGAGGGAACTCTGTAGCACACAGAAAAAATGTATTAATTCATGAGTTTATGAACATTTCCATCACTGCCTCAACAAGATGTTTGTTGTTTATTGTAAGTTTATTTGATTCTATGCTTGGCTTGTTATGACTAATACATGGCATCTCATTTAAAAATGTCCCAGTTAGGTATTAACTTAATGTATGTGCCCCCACACAGCCTGGTGCAAAGCAGAAACCTGGCCAAATTGAGGCTAACATCGATGGCAAGACAAGAGCGCTGCTTTACTCAGAGAAGGACTGCACCATCACCCTGTTGCAAGGGGACCATGTGACGTTCAACTTGTTAACCGACATAGTTTCCCAAAACATTAGAGCCACTAATATTCGGCCAAAGACACCACAGACTTTTAAGATTACTGGAGAGAAGAGGGAGGTGGTAAGTCTGAGTGGCTATTTCTTACATTTTCATATTGGTAAAACATGTGTACATAAACTCTGGTCCTGGAGAGCTGCACGCCTTTTATCCAGCCTAGTATGACTACACCCGGCTCAAATAATAATCTATTCAAGATCTTCAATTGAGACCACAATTATTTAAATCAAGTGTGTTGGAGCTGGGCTGGAACAAACTACTGCACACATAGTGGCCCAGTGGGACCAGAGTTGGCCATCCCTACTGTAGCTAGCTGTTGATATCTTTTTTTTGTGCTCTTAACCAGGGTGTGATAATGAGCGTAAAGGGTGGCTCTGGCACCATCATGGCAGCGAACCAGAACAACCTGCCCTTTGAGACCACAGAGAACATGAGTCTAACTGAGTTCACTGTTATGGATGAGGTGGACTTTACAGTCGTCACAGTGAGTATACTGTGTCTTTCCCATCCACATAATTGTTGTTTGTTGACACTGAATTATGATCAGTTTGTACCTTGGTGTGATGTTAGGACCCTCTACATGTGCAGGTTTTGATCCTAAGTATAGCAATGTTTAAATTATTTGTCGATTGACTGATACATTTTACATTAACATGATGTCATTGTTTTCATTAGATCAAAGCGAAGGAGAAGGCCATCAGAGTAAGGAAGCTGAAGTGCTTGGTGACACTGGAAGATACCATGGAGAAGAAGGTTGAAGACACTGCAGGAAAAGACAAGGTGGGGCACAGTTCAGTGCAAAATCTGATAGGTGCCAGGTGGTGGAAAATCTCTTAACTGTCATTCACAGAGTTGAGTACTCTCATCTGCGACATACCCAATCATGTCCTTATTACTGTCTCTCTCCAGTGGAAGCCAGTGGCCCCAGTGGAGGAGGTGCTGCCCCAGAGGACTGTGGTGTTTGAGGACATTAGCACTGCGCAGCATGCAGGAACGGTCATTAAGGCTGTCCTCAAGGTCTCCGACAAGAAGCAGGTACGGGGTATTACTAAAAGATTGAAAGTACAGATCAGACAGTATTATTATGTGTTCTTGTTGGAAAGCGTTTGGGTTGTCAAATCATGGATTTTAGAATGTGTTATCTCCTTTTCCTTCCAGGAGCAGGGCCTTTTGGAGGCGTCGGTGGGTGGCACACAGAAGCAGTTATCGTTTGAAGCAGCTGACATTCTGACTGAAGCCACCATGTTTGACGGAGACAAGGTTCACTTTAACATCTCCACCAACCGTGAGACCAAGGAGGAGCGTGCCATCAACGTGGAGATTCTCTCTGAGACGTTTGAGGAGTCAACAGAGCAACGCAGAACTGTAAGATCACTTTTAGCATGTGGTACATGATGCCTTTAAGTCTGAGGCTGGCTAGGTTTTTCCACTTGAAGGTTTTTCCACACTTGAGAAGGATGGGATGTTTTATGTAATGGTCTTTTTTTAAATAAAAAAATGCCTTAATGGATTTGCACAGTGTGTCTAAGTGAAGTGTTTTCCCTTCTAGGGTGTGGTGGTGCAAGCTGGGGAGCTGTCTGGGACCATTAAGTGCCATCAGAGCCCCCAGCTGCTCTTCTTCCGTCTGACTGAGGTCATGGAGGAGAAGAAACTGGACATCTCAGAGAAGGTGGAGTTCAGTGTCATTCCGGTAAGTTTCCCTGGAGCTGTGATCCGATTCACACAGGGAAATTAATATCTATTGGTATACTGTACATGCAACTACCTATTTTAGAGAAACCTAATTATTTTGACCAGTTCTTTCCAACTTGAGGAACACGCAGTTACATTTCCATATAACCCACCCTGCTGCTCTCATATGGATCGATTTAACTACTGTCCTCCACTGAGTCTAGTTCACATGATTATTTTGGGAAGAAAGACAAAGAAGTTAAAGTCCCAGTGCAGTCAATTATGTTTTCTTGTGTTTTGTATCATACTTGTACAACAGCTGATGAAACTAGCACAGTAAAAGTATGAAAAAATGTGATCCGATACTTTCTGGTTGAAAATACAATCACCACAGGACCTTCTAATCATCAGGTTTTGCAATGGTGGCAATATGTTAATAGACCAATAACAAAGAGAGTTCAAACCCTCTCTGCAAATAATGGTTCGTTTTCAGGTTACATATCCCTCCCTTTAGGCCTCTCTACTCTGGTGGATTGATCCCCGCGCCACAATCAAATCAAATCAAATCAAATGTTATTGGTCACATGCGCCGAATACAACAGGTGCAGACATTACAGTGAAATGCTTACTTACAGCCCTTAACCAACAGTGCATTTATTTTTAACAAAAAAAGTCAAAATAAAACAACAACAAAAAAAGTGTTGAGAAAAAAAGAGCAGAAGTAAAATAAAATAACAGTAGGGAGGCTATATATACAGGGGGGTACCGGTGCAGAGTCAATGTGCGGGGTCACGGGCTAGTTGAGATAGTTGAAGTAATATGTACATGTGGGTAGAGTTAAAGTGACTATGCATAAATAATTAAGTGAGTAGCAGCAGCGTAAAAAGGATGGGGTGGGGGGGCAGTGCAAATAGTCTGGGTAGCCATGATTAGCTGTTCAGGAGTCTTATGGCTTGGGGGTAGAAGCTGTTGAGAAGTCTTTTGGACCTAGACTTGGCACTCCGGTACCGCTTGCCGTGCGGTAGCAGGGAGAACAGTCTATGACTAGGGTGGCTGGAGTCTTTGACAATTTTGAGGGCCTTCCTCTGACACCGCCTGGTATAGAGGTCCTGGATGGCAGGAAGCTTGGCCCCAGTGATGTACTGGGCCGTACGCACTACCCTCTGTAGTGCCTTGCGGTCGGAGGCCAAGCAGTTGCCATACCAGGCGGTGATGCAACCAGTCAGGATGCTCTCGATGGTGCAGCTGTAGAATTTTTTGAGGATCTGAGGACCCATGCCAAATCTTTTCAGTCTCCTGAGGGGGAATAGGCTTTGTCGTGCCCTCTTCACGACTGTCTTGGTGTGTTTGGACCATGATAGTTCATTGGTGATGTGGACACCAAGGAACTTGAAGCTCTCAACCTGTTCCACTACAGCCCCGTCGATGAGAATGGGGGCGTGCTCAGTCCTCTTTTTTTTCCTGTAGTCCACAATCATCTCCTTTGTCTTGATCACGTTGAGGGAGAGGTTGTTGTCCTGGCACCACACGGCCAGGTCTCTGACCTCCTCCCTATAGGCTGTCTCATCGTTGTCGGTGATCAGGCCTACCACTGTTGTGTCATCGGCAAACTTAATGATGGTGTTGGAGTCGTGCCTGGCCATGCAGTCATGGGTGAACAGAGAGTACAGGAGGGGACTGAGCACGCACCCCTGAGGGGCCCCCGTGTTGAGGATCAGTGTGGCAGATGTGTTGTTACCTACCCTTACCACCTGGGGGCGGCCCGTCAGGAAGTCCAGGATCCAGTTGCAGAGGGAGGTGTTTAGTCCCAGGATCCTTAGCTTAGTGATGAGCTTAGAGGGCACTATGGTGTTGAATGCTGAGCTGTAGTCAATGAATAGCATTCTCACGTAGGTGTTCCTCTTGTCCAGGTGGGAAAGGGCAGTGTTGAGTGCAATAGAGATTGCATCATCTGTGGATCTGTTGGGGCGGTATGCAAATTGGAGTGGGTCTAGGGTTTCTGGGATAATGGTGTTGATGTGAGCCATGACCAGCCTTTCAAATCACTTCATGGCTACAGACGTGAGTGCTACGTGTCGGTAGTCATTTAGGCAGGTTACCTTAGGGTCCTTGGGCACGGGGACTATGGTGGTCTGCTTGAAACATGTTGGTATTACAGACTCAGTCAGGGACATGTTGAAAATGTCAGTGAAGACACTTGCCAGTTGGTCAGCACATGCTCGGAGAACACGTCCTGGTAATCCGTCTGGCCCTGCGGCCTTGTGAATGTTGACCTGCTTAAAAGTCTTACTCACATCGGCTACGGAGAGCGTGATCACATAGTCATCCGGAACAGCTGGTGCTCTCATGCATGCTTCAGTGTTGCTTGCCTCGAAGCGAGCATAGAAGTGGTTTAGCTGGTAGGCTTGTGTCACTGGGCAGCTCGCGGCTATGCTTCCCTTTGTAGTCTGTAATAGTTTTCAAGCCCTGCCACATCCGACGAGCGTCAGAGCCAGTGTAGTACGATTCAATCTTAGCCCTGTATTGACTCTTTGCCTGTTTGATGGTTCGTCGGAGGGCATAGCGGGATTTCTTATAAGCGTCCGGGTTAGAGTCCCGTTCCTTGAAAGCAGCAGCTCTACCCTTTAGCTCAGTGCGGATGTTTCCTGTAATCCATGGCTTCTGGTTGGGGTATGTACGTACGGTCACTGTGGGGACGACATCATCGATGCACTTAGTGATGAAGCCAGTGACTGATGTGGTGTACTCTTCAATGCTGTCTGAAGAATCCCGGAACATGTTCCAGTCTGTGCTAGCAAAACAGTCCTGTAGCTTAGCATCTGCGTCATCTGACCACTTTTTTATTAACCGAGTCACTGGTGCTTCCTGCTTTAGATTTTGCTTATAAGCAGGAATCAGGAGGATAGAGTTATGGTCAGATTTGCCAAATGGAGGGCGAGGGGAGCTTTGTATGCGTCTCAGTGTGTGGAGTAAAGGTGGTCTAGAGTTTTTTTTCCTCTGGTTGCACATTTAACATGCTGGTAGAAATTAGGTAGAACGGATTTAAGTTTCCCTGCATTAAAGTCCCCGGCCACTAGGAGCGCTGCATCTGGATGAGTGTTTTCCTGTTGATTTATGGCCTTGTACAACTCATTCAGTGCAATCTTAATGCCAGCATTGGTTTGTGGTGGTTAATAGACAGCTATGAAAAATATAGATGAAAACTCTCTTGGTAAATAGTGTGGTCTACAGCTTATCATAAGATACTCTACCTCAGGCGAGCAAAACCTCGAGACATCCTTAGTATTTGATTTTGTGCACCAGCTGTTGTTTACAAATATACACAGACCGCCACCCCTTGTCTTACTGTGGTTAATGCAGCGCTTTGGTGCCCTTCCCCACTCCCCTCAGACCAGACAGTCTTTGCAAAGATCTTGCTTGAGAATTAGTTTTTTTGCTAAAAAGCTATTTTTGTTGCGTTTTGACAATTTTAACGGAAAACTGTTACAATAAGTTTCTTAGCTAATTGTTACCCAGAATTGATTTTGAGATAAATAAAAAAAACACAGCTGCACTGGGCATTTAACCTTTTCCATTTTCTCTTAGCTTGAAACAGCTGAAGGAGGCAACCAAGCGATCAGGATCAAACGCTTTATCGACAGTGTCTTCACCCGTGTGCCCAAGCTAGGGGGCGTGGCAGCAAAAGAAAAGGTTGGTTTATGATGGAACAAAGGCCTGTGACTTTGGTCAATGATGTTAGTCCTTGGGGATGTCATATTGACATAGGGGATAGACATATGTTGCTGTCTATGTTGTATTACATTGTCTATTCCCTATTATTGTCTTTCAGAAGAAGATGACCATCAAACTGATGAGAGACCCAAAAGTGCTCATCAAGGGCGCAGGTGTCAAAGTAGAGCACAGAGATGCTGATCCTACGTGAGTTTGATTGTGATTAGTAGTAGTCTTGGTTCCATCATGAAGTCAAGGTAAAGTGTCATTGTGTGATGATTTTGGATATCATTTGTTAGCACAGCCACAAGTACCCTGAAATCTAAACATTTAACAGATGTGCTCGAAGTCATTTCCCTCATTCTTTTGTGCCCCAGCAACGACAAACCTGCCTCGGAGGAGTCGGACAAGATGAAAGCAGTCGTAAAAACTCTGCGGTCAAAAACTGCTGGCTCTGGATCTGGTGGCAAGGACTCCGACAGCAGCCGGCGGAGATATGGGCGCAGTGGCAGAAGCCGAAGCAGGAGCCCCAGCCTAGACCAGTTTGGCCGGGTGAAGAAAAGGCTGAGCACGAGCAGGGAGCGCAGAGAGCGGGGTGGTAGCAGCAGGTACAGGAGCAGTCGCAGCAGGAGTCGGAGCAGGGAGAGGAGCAGCCGTGGGAGCAGGAGACGAAGCCACAGTCTGGAGAGAAAAGATTCCAAACACAGGAGCAGCAGCAAAGAGAGGACATCTTCGAAAAGGAGCCGCAGCAAGGAGCGAGATGGAAGCAGTCAGAGGAGCTCCAAGAACGGTTCAAGCTCAGGAAGTAAACCTCCAGATAGAATGAACGATGAGCTAGAAAGAAAGAAGAGGGAACTAGAGGAGCTCAATGAGTTGATATACCGCAAGAGAGCCATGGTCGCCATGGAGCAACATGGTGGAGTTCCCCATTTCCTGCCAGAAGGGAAGCCTATGGAGAAGACCTGCTTTGACTACAATCATGGAATGCCAGAGCTTCCTCCACAACCTAAACCACCCACTGACATCAAACCCAAGTCCATTCTGAAGAAGCGCCCGGACCATGTCACAGGGCCACTTTTCCCAATTCAGGTCAGTTGTCATTTTTAAACTTCTCTTTCATTTAGAGAATAATTTGTTCTCCCAGGAATTTTAAGAGCTGGTTATATTCCATGGGGTGCTGGTGCTTTATATCATTTGCATATATCAGTATAAGAAACATATTACAGTCAAATCATTTTGTCAGTATTATTGTGATCAGTACAACATGAGATACCTTTTTCGTTTGTATGAAATGGTGGGCAATTATTTTGTTTCTTCTCTGCAGACTGAACCCCCTAAAGCTCAACCTCTTGATCAAAGGCTTGTGGAACAATACGGTTATGACGTTGAGACGCCCTATAAACCACACTCTGCCCAACCACCCTTCACCCAAACATCCAGTCAGAAGTCCTATTATGAAGGTTCAGCTGGGCATCCTGCTCCTGACCTATCTGCCAAGTATGATCCATATGAGCAGACTTCTAGAGAGCACCCATCACAACCTTCTCCAGTTCGCCAAACACCTCTTGACCCTCATTCTTCAAATCGACCTCCTCCCAGCCGAGAGTCTCAGGAAAAGAACCCTAACTTGAACACCCAGCTCGCCCGTTTCCTCAACATCCTCAACAAAGGTGTGGATGCCGGTCTGCTCTCCACTGTGGTCAAGGAGTCTCGAGAGGAGATTGCTGGTATTCAGGAGGATAGTTCCATACCTCAAAAGTGTTATCGTGGGTCGCGTGACCGTGGGGATGAAGATCAGTACAAGGATGCCTACAGAGGAAGAGAGGAGGAGCCAGAGCGCTCAAACAGGGGCTTCGCCAGGGAGCGAGTGAAGACCTCAGACACTAAAGATGACCCCAGAAACGAAGACCGGCTGCTACCTCACGAGAGGGCAATCCAGGACGGTAGTGGCTTTTCCGGAATTCTAGGAATGACGTCCCACACCCAGTTCCTGAGAGAACCTGAACGTGTGGAAGAAGAGGATGACTTCCTCTATGGGGGTAAAGCAGCAGAAGCAGTTGAGGAGGAGCGCTATGAAAAACCTGGGCGGTCAGACAGATCCAGGGATGACGGGAGGTCCAGCCCAGCCAGAGCCCCAGTGGAGGAGACCAGGAAGCAGGAGAGTCAGGACAAGACACAGCACTTCGACAAGATCAAGAGCCTGCTCCAGGCCATCGGCCTGAACCTGGACACCTCAGAGGTCACCAAGCTGGCAGACAGGACCCAGGAGCGCCTCTACGGAACAAAGTCATCCAAACACTCATCAGATTCCTCTGAGAGAGAGACAAAGCACTCATCTAGGCGGGGAGATCGGCATCGGCGCCGCAACACCGACTCATCTGATTCCGAACGCCTCCGGTCAGCCTCGCCCTCCAGGTCTTCCCAGCGGGAGGTGTACCTCAGCCCCCAAGACACCTCAGAATATGGAGGGTTCCTTGACCCGGAAGAGGAGGCGGCCTTGGAGAAGGCAAGGCAGATGCAGAGCCTCACCAAGAAAGTGAGCGTCTCGCCCCCCACCACCCCCTCCTCACATCCTGGCACCTCCTATTCCACCACACAGTGGAACTGCCCTGAGAAGACACAGCCCATCACTCCTAAGGGTTGGCCTAGCAAGGGGTCTAGTACCAACTATCTCTCATCACTGCCGCCCGGTCCCTTAGGTCTCCCCCCACAGATTTCCCCTGTCCCATCCTTGACAAACACACCTCAGGTTCCAGCTGGTCAACAAGCAGCCGGGGTGTATACTTATACTTCGCCTGTGGGACAATCCCCTGGCCTACCCACGGCCTTGCCCTCCACTTATTATGGGCAGCCTGGTGCCCCTATGATACCGTTTGCAAAGACTCAGCTCACACAACAAGTGAATATATTGAATCAGGTGACTGTATCGAATCCCACAATGGATGTCTTGAGTCAAATCCTCCAAGTCACCAGCCAGTCCAGATGCCTCAAGGTGATTGAAACAGTCAGAATTGGGTCCAGTGCACAGCAGGATTCGCCAAGACAAAATATCACCATACCTCTCCAGATCAACACACAAAGCCCTGATGCTGCACAGCTCTCTCCTCCCCCTCAATCACCAGAGACTCCGGGTCCACCAGTGACGGAAGACGATATCAAGGCCAAACAGAAGAAAAGGGTATGTTTTATGTTTTTGTTCATTCCATGTGTAGAAATTGGCAAAAGTTTTACCTGTCATACATTTTGTGTATGATCTACAAGCCAGCAACCCGCCTTCAGTCCTTGGTGTTGTTTACATTTGAATTGCCGTATAGGCCATTTTAGAGCTTTTTGGGTAGTTGTGTGAAATTGTACATTCCTGATAGTGCACTTGGGAAAAGTGCAGTGTGTGTACACCAATTTTTGTAGTCCCAATTATATTCTATTAAATTGCTTCTGATAACTTAATGTTCTGGATTTAGTGCATACTGGCAAGTCAGTCCCAAGCTGCTGCATTTAGGAGTAGACTGTATTTACAGTGCGTGTGTGTCATTTTTTCACTGTTTTGTAGCTGGAGCAGTTTAACCTGCGGATGAGACAGAAGAATCAGCAGAGAATGAACGATACTCGTGACAGTAGGAAGAAGAACGCAACAGGTAACCCTTAGTGAGGTTGAAGTGTAGAGTGATGTCCAGCCACACATTGTAGCCTAGGTTAAGATTAGGTGAGACCAGAACTAGTCAAGAGCTATAGCCAACTTCATTGATACTGGGCACTAAACACAAATGAAAGTACAGGATGAGATGATACCATAGGTGTCAAGAGCCAGCTATGGAGGGAACACGGATAGGTTCGAGGCTTCACTTAGACAGGTTTAATGTAGGTTTTACTTGCTCTTATTCCAGCCATAGTTAATCCGGTTTCAGTGATATCTTCGATAGCTTTAGCTATTATATTTCCTAGATGTAGCTATTCCGTTTTTTATTCTTGTGTTAGGGCTAGGTTTTTAGTGTTCTTATATATTTGCTATGAAAGGCCTGCCCTTGTAACAATTTATCAGCTTGGCACTTTTCTTGAATTGTGTAATGCAAGTACGTCCTAGTATGAAAATGAGTGCCCATGCTTGGTTTATGCTCATAAAGAAGCATTTAAAAATATGTTTATTTGTTGTCCACTGTGCATGCAATACAATTTTTGAAGTATGTGGTCTTCAAGATTCATAAGTGCTTTTGCTCAGATAAACTAATACTAACAGAAACAATAGACAGGCATATACTCCCATGTTCCTTCACTCTGGACAGGAGTTGCTCTAAAGACAGATATTAATGTTAGCTAGCATTAACATGTAATGTTTTCTCCAACAGCTAAAGGTAAGTATTTTAGCAGAGTTTGCATCAATAGGTCTTAAGCTGTTGAATAGCGTTATTGTTTGTGTAGTACAGAAATGGGGATCGGGTAAGCTGTAGGAAGTCCGTATTAGTATTAGGACTTTTTGGCAATGTTAGAATTACTATACGTTTCTTGATTAGGGGAGTGGGTATTCCAATCTCTACTGCTAGGGAGAAACTTTTACTTCAATGGGGGACTTGTTTTCACTCCAAAGCAGGGATAAATAATGTGACTGCTGTCAATCTTACTACTAGCTAGGGCCTGCATAATGAGGGTGTGGTCTGGTAGTACTATGTGAAGAAGAGTAAGCTAGGTCAGACTGCAGGTGGTTTCATTTGCTATTGCTTTAGTGTATAAAGTATCTTTTAGTGTCAAATATTTCTCATACCTCAGTTCATTAGGATAATTTTGTTATAGTACTAGACTACGTCAACTAACTGCAGGAGGACATAGACTTGAGTGTCCGCTCCATCAGTTCTGAGCCAAAGGTGGAAGATAAACAGCCAACCAGCAGCCTGCAGAGTCCCAAGAGCTGGAGCGCGTCAGTTACGTCAACCTAGCAGAGCCCCTGTGATGCTAACCCACACATGTACCCTGTGTTATTGTTGCGTTTTTACAGGAAAAGTTCCCAAAGTTACCTTTGCAAACACAGAGCCTAGGAACGTGTGGATCTGTGGCCACTCGCTTATATTTTGGGCAGAGATGAGGGCCAAGTCGCCCGAGATTGGCATGCAGCTGGGCATGGACCCCAGCAGTGTGCGGGTGTGGTGGAAGGGCACACAGGGCATGACGTGGGCCCAGCTGCTGCCCCAGCTAGACCAGCTGAAGATCAAGTGGCCCAGCCCAGACGTGGTCATCCTGCACCTGGGTGGGAATGATCTGGGCACCCACAACCCTGAGGCCCTTCTGGCATCTGTGAAGAAGGACCTGACCTCCATGAGGAGCATTTTCCCACAATGCCTGTTGGTCTGGTCTGACATCTTGCCCCGGATTTTCTGGAGGCACACAGAGGACAGCGACGCAGTGGACAATGTTAGGGCTGCCATCAACAGAAGAGTTCACACCATCATCGCTGAGCTAGGTGGCACTGCTCTGACCCATGACAACATCATGTGTGACTCAGACTCAGGCCTGTACAGGCCAGATGGTGTTCATCTGTCTGGTAAAGGTATTGATACTTTCAACTTGAACTTGCAGGACTTTTTGGAGAAGTGGGAGACCGAGGCAAGCAATGGTCCTGAGATGAGTTAAGAAATGCCCAATGAATTTGCTTTTTATTGGGGGTGATTTTATTTTCATTTCTCTGTTGTAATAGTTACCTTACTGTGCTGGAGCGCTGGATACCAACCTACGGGTTGATTTAGATGTAATGTTACTTCATTGCAAATAATACATTCTGTTATGGTAGTATCCACTTTGATTCAATGCTGTATGTAATCTTTTCTTTTTAAGTTTTAGCAAACTGATGATTAGCATGTTCTGTTTATCCATAAAATGCTAGGCTTTTACTTGTATTAATTTTGTTGGACAGAAACAAATAAACTAGATAATTGGAAAATATCATCATGTGCTTGGCATTTCATTCTGCTCTGAATCCTCTGAGATATGAACATCCTGATTGAATGCCTCTTCTAACTGGGTTGTGCCTGTAAATTATGGCGGTAAAAGTGTGCAAAAAGGATACCAGGGAAGGTCTTTAGTTAAGTGGAAATTCTAACATTGTCTCTTTCTTGTCAGAACATACAGTGCCTTCGGAAAGTATTCAGACCCCTTGACATTTTCCATATTTTGTTACGTTACAGCCTTATTCTAAAATTGATTAAATTTAAAAAATCCTCAGCAATCTACACACAATAACCCAAAATGATATAGCGTGAACAGGTTTTTAGAAATGTTTGCAAATGTATTTATAAAAAAAAAAAAGATGGTTTATTTACATAAGTATTCAGACCCTTTGCTATGAGACTCGAAATTGAGCTCAGGTGCATCCTGTTTCCATTGATCATCCTTGAGATGTTTCTACAACTTGATTGGAGTCCACCTGTGGTATATTCAATTGATTGGACATGATTTGGAAATGCACACACCTGTCTATATAAGGTCCCACAGTTGACAGTGTATGTCAGAGCTAACACCAAGCCATGAGGTCGAAGGAATTGTCCGTAGAGCTCCGAGACAGGATTGTGTCGAGGCACAGATCTGGGGAAGGGTACCAAAACATTTCTGCAGCATTGAAGGTCCCCAAGAACACAGTGGCCTCCATTATTCTTAAATGGAAGAAGATTGGAGCCACCAAGACTCTTCCTAGAGCTGGCCAACCGGCTATACTGAGCAATTGGGGGAGAAGGGCCTTGGTCAGGGAGGTGACCAAGAACCAGATGGTCTCCAGAGTTCCTCTGTGGAGATGGGAGAACCTTCCAGAAGGACAACCATCTCTGCAGCACTCCACCAATCAGGCCTTAATGGTAGAGTGGCCAGACGGAAGCCACTCCTCAGTAAAAGGCACATGACAGCCCGCTTGGAGTTTGCCAAAAGGCACCTAAAGACTCAGACCATGAGAAAAAAGATTCTCTGGTCTGATGAAACCAAGATTGAACTCTTTGGCCTGAATGCCAAGCGTCATGTCTGGAGGAAACCTGGCACCATCCCTACGGTGAAGCATGGTGGTGGCAGCATCATGCTGTGGGGATGTCTTTCAGCGGCAGGGACTGGGAGACTAGTCAGGATCGAGGGAAAGATGAACGGAGCAAAGTACAGTGATAATTGATGAAAACCTGCTCCAGTGCGCTCAGGACCTCAGACCGGGGCGAAGGTTCACCTTCCAACAGGACTACGACCCTAAGCACACAGCCAAGACAACGCAGGAGTGGCTTCGGGACAAGTCTCTGAATGTCCTTGAGTGGCCCAGCCAGAGCCCGGACTTGAACCCGATCAAACATCTCTGGAGAGACCTGAAAATAGCTGTGCAGCAACGCTCCCCATCCAACCTGACAGAGCTTGAGAGGATCTGCAGAGAAGAATGGGAGAAACTCCCCAAATACAGGCGTGCCAAGCTTGTAGCATCATACCCAAGAAGACTCAAGGCTGTAATCGCTGCCAAAGGTGCTTTAACAAAGTCCTGAGTAAAGGGTCTGAATACTTATGTTAATGTGATATTTCTGTTTTTTATTTTTAATAAATTAACAAACATTTCTAAAATCCTGTTTTTCCTTTGTCATTAAGGGGTAGTGTGTGTGTGTGTGTGTGTGTGTGTGTGTGTAGATGAGTAAAACAATTTTTGAATATGTTTTACAATAAGGCTGTGACCTAACAAAATGAGGAAAAAGTCAAGGGGTCTGAATACTTTCCAAAGTTAATTGCAGAAGAAGAAGAAGAAGATGACTTTATTGTCCAAAGTACACAAACATCCAACGGAAATTCTACAGGTATACAAGAGGTAACTTTTGTTTGTACACTGTTGCTAGAGCTTTTCTAGTGTAGTAGTTAGCTAGCAAATTGGCCACTCCGGGGTTCTCTTATGTATTAGTATAACTTTTTTTTTCTGTAACTTCATGTTGTCCTTTTTTTTTTTACTGTATCCAAGCTGTAAGGTTGCCTGTGGCTGACCAGCGCCAAGCTTTTTCCCTCCTAGGAGTCTCTTTACCTTTACCCTTTTTCAAGGATGATCTCAGGACTAGGTTTTGAACATCCAACATCGCAAAGGTGACAAGTTCAGCTGAATTAGATTTTAAAAAGAGCACATTTTATTTGTTTCACCTTTTGGAAATGATACAGCATTCAATAACAAAGATCTGTGCAATCAAGTGTTAATGTACAGTGTAGTACCCTATTCCAGATGTACTTTTCTGTAATGTGTTTTTGTATTATTTGGATCAAAATAATACACCGTGAGGTGTGCATGTTGTGACATCTGTTGACATTGTGTGATTGTTGTTGAGATAAACATGTAGTGCGCAGAGCGTCAAGATTGATGAAAATGCATCCTAAAGATTATTTTAAAAGCTGTAAAAATAAATCTGGGTAAGTTTTTTTGGTGGATAGTCTGAAAGAATGTTTCTTAAAAATAAATGTACACCTCTGTCATAAGGCTTGTTACTAGACTTACTGCTATTCTCATCATTTCACTCCTGAAAGATAATCTTTCTATGGTGTGACAATAAACACCAGACTATTATGAAGATACGACTTGTGTCTTTAATTTTACATTAGATTGACAGGCTACTCGAACCTATACCATATTTGTACTACTTCGACCCAAACATACAGTACATTTTCAGTGTAGCCTGGCTAATACATGGAAAGTCTACACCCCCTTCAATATTTAAAAACATTTTGCTGCCTTAAAATTCAATCAAAAAAGGGATTCAATTTGATTATTTCCCCCCTACAGATCTACACAATCTACAAATGTAAGAAAATATTTGTAAAAATACTGATATCATAATTGGATAGGTCTCCACCCACCTTAGTTAATACTTGGCTGCCAAAGGTGCTTCCACCATTACAGCTGTGAATCAATTGGAATAAGATTCTACCAACATTGCACAACTCTTAGGGCAACGTACAGTATAGCCATTGTTTTTTTGTCAAACTCACAAATTTGGTTGGGAATCATTGATGGACAGCGATATTCAAAAAAGCTATTTTGTGGGGAAAAACTATTTCTGATTGGCTGGGCCTGGCTCTCCAGTGGTGCACCCATCCATGGCTGCACCCCTGCCCAGTCATGTGAAATCCATAGATTAGGGCCTAATTAATTTATTTCAATTAACTGATTTCCTTATATGAACTGTAACTCAGTAAAATCTTTGAAATTGTTGCATGTTGCGTTTATATATTTGCTCAGTACATATATACATATAGACTACCAGTCTATAGTTTGGACACACCTACTCATTTTTCTTTATTTTTACTATTTTCTATATTGTAGAATAATAGTGAAGACATCAAAACTATGAAATAACACATGGAATCATGTAGTAATCAAAAAAGTGTTAAACAAATCCAAAAATATTTGAGATTTTTCAAATTGCCACCCTTTGCCTTGATGACAGCTTTGCACACACTTGGCATTCTCTCAACCAGCTTTATGAGGTAGTCACCTGGAATGCATTTCAATTAACAGGTGTGCCTTCTTAAAAGTTAATTAGTGGAATTTCTTTCCTTCTTAATGCGTTTGAGCCAATCAGTGCTGTGACAAGGTAGTGGGGGTATACAGAAGATAGCCCTATTTGGTAAAATACCAAGTCCATATTATGGCAAGAACAGCTCAAATAAGCAAAGAGAAATGACAGTCCATCATTACTTTAAGACATGAAGGTCAGTCAATACGGAACATTCAGCAGTCGCAAAAACCATCAAGCACTATGATGAAACTGTCTCTCATGAGGACCGCCACAGGAATGGAAGACCCAGAGTTACCTCTGCTGCAGAGGATAAGTTCATTAGAGTTACCAACCTCAGAAATTGCAGCTCAAATAAATGCTTCACAGAGTTCAAATAACAGACACATCTCAACATCAACTGTTCAGAGGCGACTGTGTGAATCAGGCTTTCATGGTCGAATTGCTGCAAAGAAACCACTACTAAAGGACACCAATAAGAAGAAGAGACCTGCTTGGGCCAAGAAACTTGTCCTTTGGTCTAGAGTCCAAATTTGAGATTTTTGGTTCCAACTGCTGTGTATTTGTGAGACGCGGTGTGGGTGAACGGATGATCTCCACGTGTGTATTTCCCACCGTAAAGTATGGAGGAGGAGGTGTTATGTTGTGGGGGTGCTTTGCTGGTGACACTGTGATTTATTTAGAATTCAAGGCACACTTAACCAGCATGGCTACCACAGCATTCTGCAGCGATACGCTATCCCATCTGGTTTGGGCTTAGTGGGACTATCATTTGTTTTTCAACAGGACAATGACCCAACACACCTCCAGGCTGTGTAAGGGCTATTTGACCAAGAAGGAGAATGATGGAGTGCTGCATCAGATGACCTGGCCTCCACAATCCCCCGACCTCAACCAAATTGAGGTTTGGGATGAGTTGGACTGCAGAGTGAAGGAAAAGCAGCCAACAAGAGCTCAGCATATGTGGGAACTCCTTCAAGACTGTTGTAAAAGCATTCCAGGTGACGCTGGTTGAGAGAATACCAAGAGTGTGCAAAGCTGTCATCAAGGCAAAGGGTGGCTATTTGAAGAATCTCAAATATAAAATATATTTTGATTTGTTTAACACTTTTTTGTTTACTACATGATTCCATATGTGTTGTTTCATAGTGTTGATGTCTTCACTATTATTCTACAATGTAGAAAACAGTAAAAATTAAGAAAAACCCTTGAATGCGTTGGTGTGTCCAAACTTTTGACTGGTAGTGTATATATCTTAATTTGGAAAATGTTCTATAACTTTCTTTAACTTAAAAAATGTGGAGTAGGTTGTGTAGATAGATCTGTAGGAAAAATAAATCTAATCAATTTTTAGATTTAATTGTTAGGCAGCAAAAATGTTTTTTAAAAAGTTCAAGGGGGTGTAGACTTTCTATAGGCGCTGTACTCAAATTAATTGCCATTTAAATGAACATGACTAAAGCTGCTCGTCTGAATTCAACTATTAGACAAAAGTAAATGGTTTTGATGATTACACAAATAGAAGACATCTCAAACCCAGTGCTTTCACATTAAACAGAAATATTACCCCTTTTCAGACAAAAACAGAAACCTCTTGCTTGCGCTTGTATCAATTGGTCAGGGTTTACATCAGACGCGTATTATTCAGACCAATGCAATGAAGTGTAGAGATATTGAGATGGATTTGGGGGCGGGCCTGTTATTTTAAGGGCTATGGTTGGAATAAGTATGGATATTTTTATTTTCTTAGTAGTACGGGATTAGGTAGGAGGGGCAGGCGTGAGGCTGTCTAGAGGAAGTGAGCAGTACAAGAGCTAGATGTTGATCTGAACTCTTTGCGAAAGTCAGAAGATTGGTAAGCTTGCTGATGGGCGTGAAGGGGGAGAGCCTCGTAAATGGCGTCCCTTGAGAAAGCAAGAAACAGATGTATGTCAGGAGAAGTGCAGTATTATCATAAGGAAACTTATACTTGGATGACGGAGGAGGAATGGAGGGAAAAAGAGAGGCAGAGGAGGTCTAAGAGAGAGAGGGAGGAAGATTGTGAGCTTGAGTCTGTAAAAAATGGCGGGAAAAAGGGAGAAGGTTTGTTAAAGAAGAATGGTAGGAAATGTAAGCAAAGTGAGCTGAAGACAGGAGGAGAAATGGAAGTGATTGAGGGTGAAGTATCGGAGGTAGTAGGTGTGGTGAAGTACTCGGAGCCCGAGGCTTGCACAGAGGGTCAGGATAAAGATGAGTCTGTCTGTGACAGTAGGAGTGAAGTTTTTGGAAAAAGTGGACCCTTGCCTTTTGGCTGATCCATTTGTGGTTTCAGGATGGGTGAAAAAAGCGCTGGGTATAGTGGAATCGGTGAGGGTAACCAGAAGTGGTCTAGTGATAATTGTTTGTGTTTCTGTTGGTCAGAGGGAGAAGGCGCTCAGAGTTAAACAAATGGGGGAAAGAATTGTGAATTGTTTAGCTCTCAAGAAAAGGGCGCCATTGAAAGGAGTGATTACTGGGGTAGCAGTAAATGTAAAAGTTGACCAACTGAAGGGGAAGGTTCCCGGTGTTTGTGATGCTCGTCGTTTGGTGCGACGCAAACAGGGTGGCGAGAGTGGGGAAACAGAAGAGTCATTGTCTGTTCTTTTGAGTTTTGAAGTTGTCTTTGCCTGATAAAGTGAAGTTAGGATATATAAGTTATCCTGTACGAGCTTATGTGCCAAATACCTTACGATGTTACAGGTGTCAAACTTATGGGCATGTGGCAGCAGTGTGTAGGAGGGAGGTTCCAAGGTGTGAGAAGTGTATGAGACAAAGGAATGTGTATCATTGGGCATAGTAGTGGTATGTGCTAATTGTAGGGGTGCCCATGGGGCTGTGGATCAGAAATGTCCTGTGCGAGAGAGGCAGGTTGAGGTTTCCAGGGTAAGAGTAGTGAAGAAGTTGTCATATGCTGAGGCAGTAGAGGAAGATGGGTCAAGGGGGAGGAGTGGTGAGAGTAGTAGATATATACCAGTACAGAGGGATTTATTATTTTACCTTTATTTAACTAGGCAAATCAGTTAAGAACAAATTCTTATTTATAATGACGGCCAAACTCGGACGACGCTGGGCCAATTGTGCGCCGCCCTATGGGACTCCCAATAACGGCCGGTTGTGATACAGCCTGGAATCGAACCAGGGGGTCTGTAGTGACGCCTCAAGCATTGAGATGCAGTGCCTTAGACCGCTGTGCCACTCGGGAGCCCATAGGCCAACAAGTGATATATGTTAATAATAATAATATGCCATTTAGCAGACGCTTTTATCCAAAGCGACTTACAGTCATGCGTGCATAAATGTTTGGTGTATGGGTGGTCCCGGGGATCGAACCCACTACCTTGGCGTTACAAGCGCCGTGCTCTACCAGCTGAGCTACAGAGGACCACACATGTTAAAGTTAGATTGGATTTTTAGCATTTATAGCAATGGTTATTAATTGTACTGCAGGGATGGAACGTAAGTCGAAGAAAATTGAGGTTGTGGTGGCAGCTGCAGAGAGGTATTTGGGTGTGCGAGACTTGACATCAGAAGAGTTACAGGGAGTGTTAAGTGGTGATGTCCCATCATTTCAGGTTGAGGGCATGAAGTAGGAATGAATATATTTAAAGAGTGGAGTAGGGTGGTGGTAATTATTAATAATATTAATAATTTGTGAGTGTAGTGTTAGAGTATTTCTTTATTTTATATTTCTTTATTTTATATTTCAAGCAAAATACAAGGGAGTTGTACTCCAGTCTAGTAGGTGGCGGTAATGCAACAAATTTGATGCCAACCGCCGTTAAACCTCATCGAAGAAGAAGGATTTGGTAGGATGATTTATAGTATGTAAACCTTGATCGACCACACACTTCAGCACAGTAGGTGGCGGCATGCATCTTTCACGTTTGTTTGCGGACCGCCAGTATACCAAAGAAGAAGGTCCAAGCAGGCCGGAAATCACAACACCGTGAGCGCAGAGTTGGTCAAATGCAAATAGCTACATGGTAGCTTGAATTTGTTATCACCAACTGCAGACAGTAGTAAGTAATAGAAAAAGTAAATGTGCATAAAATCAGTGCGGTAGTAAGTGGCTGTAATTGATAGGAAAAAGGCCAATTTAACAGTAAAATATGTATCGTGGTGGGCCTCTTTCACCTCGAGGAGGGTACCCGCAGCCGTGCGAGGGCCGTGGTCCTACGCCTGGCCGGCCTTATCCTGGGCCACGGTTTAGAGAAGAAAGAGGCAGGCCCAGACCTCCGTTTCAGGGTTACCATGACGGGCCTCCTCCAGACCCGTACAGGCGTTCTCCACCTCTCAGGAGGTATCCTTCTCCCGGTTCAGTAAGTCACAGAGGTTCAGGCGGTGAATACTGGGGCAGCGGCCCTCCCCCAAGAGAAGTAAGTGAAAATAATTATGTGCAGGATACTATCTACCTGACTAGTCTGCCACTTGTTAATTACATTGGTAAATGTACATATCAAAAACAATTCGTGCATGTTATGTTGTCTTTTTGAATAGCGCATTGGTTAGCTTGCTAACTAGGCTAGTTATCATAACTATTTGTCACTGTTTATTGTTAACCAGCTACAATTGCAGGTGCAATTATTGTTTACAGCGTTACTGGAAGTTACTCCCCTCCCTTGCACTGGCTCGTATTTCCTTTTTACTAGAGCAATGCATTAATTGCACAAAATGCTGTGTCAAATAACTTAAAAATCCTGTCAAAAACAATTTAGTGGGATGAAACTGATTACATTTACATTTACATTTTAGTCATTTAGCAGACGCTCTTGTCCAGAGCGACTTACAGTTAGTGAGTGCATACATTTTCATACTTTTTTCATACTGCCCCCCCCAGTTAAGGAATTTGACTACAAATCTGATTCTGTCAATAGAGATCTCAATCTCCCCGTGGTGGCATCCCCACAGACCATAGTCTGGTAATCACTGTGGGCAATGAATTGACTGGACCACCTGGGGCAGGGCTACCCTCAAGAGACTACCCTCCTTACCCGCCAAAGAGGTCCAGTTATGATGGCCCTGACGACTGTGGCCCCAGGAGGCAGAGTCCCAGCAGAGGGAGATGCCGTCCTCGTAGTCGCAGCCCGGGAATCAGGGGGCGGCGCAAGAGCCGTTCTCGTAGTCGCAGCCCTGAAATGGGGGGAGGGTGCAAAAGCCGTGCCCGGAGTCGCAGCCCTGCAATGGGGGGACGGAGTAAAAGCCGTGCCCGAAGTCGCAGCCCTGCAATGGGGGGACAGAGTAAAAGCTGTGCTCGAAGCCGCAGCCCTGAAATGGGGGGACAGAGTAAAAGCCGGGCCCGAAGCCCTGAAATGGGGGGACGGAGTAAAAGCCGGGCCCGAAGCCGTAGCACTGAAATGGGGGGACGGAGCAAGAGCCGTCCGCCAAGCAGGTCCCGAAGCAGGAGCGGGAGTCGTGGCCAAAGCTATGGACGGGCCCGCAGTATGAGCAGAGCAAAGCGTGTTGGTCCACACAAGAGCAGGAGCCGCAGTGTCAGTACTAGCAGCACCAGCAGTAGCAGTAGCAGGAGCAGCAGGGGAGGCAGTAATAAGATAAAGAAGATGAGCAGGTTCAAGGCGCTTGAGTTGGCCCGTCGCCACAAAGAGATGGAAGACATGAACATGCCCACAAAGTCCATCCTGAAGAGGCACATGGACTCGGAGACTGACTCCCCCTCATTTGTGCAGGTAGGGGACATATGCCATTTTATTACTGTGTTAAATTAATTATGTAGCCTATAGCTGTGTAGGGTATTACCCATCTTCATACTCACTCTAACCCTGACATCCCACAATGACCTTTTTTCTTTTATCCAAATGATTGTCATTATTAATTTGTTCATCATATATTATTATTTGGTTTTTGTTTTGCAGAACAGTGATTCTCCAAGAGTTATCCCTGCTGGTGAGGCTGAGGCAGAGCGACTCCTCTCAGCTATGAAAGGCATGGACCCTAACATGTTGGCCACCATGCTGGGAGAACTGAGAGATGACCCACACATGGCCCAGGGCAGGCTTGACCCCAGTGGGATTGCAGGGATCCTTGGCTTGTTGGGAGGTGCATCTACACAGCAGGAGAAGAAAAGGAAGAAGGTACCAGACATTGACGATGAGGAAAAATTCCTTTATGGTGATGAAGATGATCTAGAGAGGGGCAGGGCTCCGGCTCCAGAAGAAGCTCCCTGTCAGCACAGTCTGTCAGAGCTCTATGGTGATATTATGAGTGAGCCGGCACGCTATGGCGCCTCACCGCACCTAGAGGGCCATCCTGGTATTGTCGATCAGAGAAACTCTTGTCAGCAACAGGTGGACATGAGGTATCAGCGTCAAAGCAGGTCCTCTGCCACCCCTGACTATAATATCAAGGTTGAAGAGCCTAATGAATTCCCACTAGGAACAGGACCACTGGAAGGGAAGGAGAAGCAAGACGTGGAGGAGTACGAGAAGATCCAGGACCTCCTCAAAACCATTGGGCTGGATCTGGGGGTGATGGAGATCAGCAAGATGGCTGCCAGGACTCAGGAGCGTCTGCATGGAAAGAGGCCCCCTCCGAAAACCCCCTCACCTTGTCCTGGGAGGAGGCGGGGTCACCGTGACTCTTCAGGAAGCTCAGACAGGAGCAGGGGTAAGAGCCACAGTGGGAGTAGCTCCAGTAATGGGAGCAGTCGTAGCAGGAGCCTGAGCAGCAGCCTTGAAAACAGCAGGAGACGGAAGAAGTCACCCCCATCTGACAGGCGCAGCACCCATGGGACGACTCGAGGCGGCAGAGAGGTGAAGACTGAAACTACTCCAGTGACACCCACCCACCCTTCTATCTCGATGCCTGCCTACGCCCAAGCCCAGGGACATGGTCCGGTACCTCCCAACTATCCACCTCCTGGCTATGGGCAGTATGGGAACTGGCCTTACATGCCCCAACAGTGGCCGGTGTACCCACCTCCATCTATGGGCATGCCGCCTCAATCTCCCATTGAAGATTTTCCGAAAGCCCCGTTTGACAGACCATACCTTAAAGTCATCCAGCCAGAGTTGCACCAGGGGGCTGGAAGAAAGGGTGAGAACAAACTGATGGCATTGTGAATAAGTGGATGTTTAATTACTTGTTAATTCCTCTTCAATAAATACTTTTTGTTAGTGATTAATGAAACTGCAGCACATACAGTGATTTCGGAAAGTATTCAGACCCCTTCCCTTTTCCCACATTTTGTTACGTTACAGCCTTATTCTAAAATATCCTCATCATTCTACACACAATACACCATAATGACAAAGCGAAAACAGGTGTTTAGAAATTTTTGCAAATTATATATATATTTTTAAAAAAAACTGATACTTTATTTACGTAAGTATTCAGAACCTTTGCTATGAGACTCGAAATTGAGCTCAGGTGCATCCTGTTTCCATTGATCATCCTTGAGATGTTTCTACAACTTCATTGGAGACCACCTGTGGTAAATTCAATTGATTGGACATGATTTGGAAAGGCGCACACCTGTCTATATAAGGTCCCACAGTTGACAGTGCATGTCAGAGCAAACACCAAGCCATGAGGTCGAAGGAATTGTCCGTAGAGCTCCAAGACAGGATTGTGTCGAGGCACAGATCTGGGGAAGGGTACCAAAACATTTCTGCAGCATTGAAGGTCCCCAAGAACACAGAGGCCTCCATCATTCTTAAATGGAAGAAGTTTGGAACCACCAAGACTTCCTAGAGCTGGCCGCCCGGCCAAACTGGGCAATCAAGGGAGAAGGGCCTTGGTCAGGGAGGTGACCAAGAACATGATGGTCACTCTGACAGAGCTCCAGAGTTCCTCTGTGGAGATGGGAGAACCTTCCAGAAGGACAACCATCTCCGCAGCATTCCACCAATCAGGACTTTATGGTAGAGTGGCCAGACGGAAGCCACTCCTCAGTAAAAGGCACATGAGAGCCCGCTTGGAGTTTGCCAAAAGACACTTAAAGGACCCTCAGACCATGAGAAACAAGATTCTCTGGTCTGATGAAACCAAGACTGAACTCTTTGGCCTGAATATCAAGCGTCACGTCTGGAGGAAACCTGGCACCATCCCTACGGTAAAGCATGGTGGCGGCAGCATCATGCTGTGGGGATGTTTTTCAGCGGCAGGGACTAGTAAGGATTGAGGGAAAGATGAACGTAGCAAAGTACAGAGAGATCCTTGATGAAAACCTGCTCCAGAGCGCTCAGGACCTCAGACTGTGGCAACGACCCTAAGCACACAGCCAAGACAACACAGGAGTGGCTTCGGGACAAGTCTCTGAATGTCCTTGAGTGGCCCAGCCAGAGCCCAGACTTGAACCTGATCGAACATCTCTGGAGAGACCTGAAAATAGCTATGCAGCGACGCTCCCCATCTAACCTGAAAGCGCTTGAGAGGATCTGCAGAGAATAATGGGAGAAACTCCCCAAATACAGGTGTGCCAAGCTTGTAGCGTCATACCCAAGAAGACTCGAGGCTGTAATCGCTGCCAAAGGTGCATCAAAGTACTGAGTAAAGGGTCTGAATACTTATGTAAATGTGATATTTCAGTTTTAAAATGTTTATACATTTTCAAAAAATTCTAAAACCCTGTTTTTGCTTTGTCATTATGGGGTATTTTGTGTCGATTTGATGAGGGGAAAAAAACTATTTAATCAATTTCAGAACAAGGCTGTAACGTAACAATATTGAACAAGTCAAGGGGTCTGAATACTTTCCAAATGCACTGTATGCATTAGTTTTAATGATGTAACTCCTGTCTAATTTTGTACATTGTTCCTGTATAGCATCATCAAAGATGGCCCCTCAGGATAATGGCAAGGACAGGAGGGTTTTAGAAGAGAGAAATAATGAAAGCCAAAAACAAAAGGTGGCGTATTCAGCTATCCACTTAAATTCAATTGAAGCCTATTGTCATTTGATGCTGTTTTGGCTTGTGTTCTTTCCATACACTAGTTCTCTAATGATTCTCCTGCATTATGTAGGTCCTTGAAGAACGTGAAAAACTGAGAAGAGACCGAGAGATCCGCATGAAGAAGAAAGATTATCTCATGAAGGAACTGGAGAGATTGCGAAAACAGCAAGGTACTTCAATCATCTCATTGCTTTCGCTATATATATATATTTTTTTATTTTGTCAATTTTCAACAGTTGGATAAAAAAATGTATTGTTGTCGTTGTAGGGGAGCTGCTGCGCAAAAAGCGGCGTGAAAAAGATGGCCATAAGGACCCATTACTGTCAGACATCAGTCGGCTCCAGGAAGAAGTCATGTCTCAGATTGCTGTGCTCCGCAACGAGCACGAGGTAGCAGAGAAGAAACGATCCGAGCTTGACAAAGTGGCTCTAATTCTCGGTCTACAACCAACTGACAAGCCCCGGCGAGAGGGTAGGGCTTCTGGGGACCTTGAGCACCCACCACCTCCAGACAAGGAGAAGAATCAGGAGCGCGCTCGCAGCCGAGAGAAATCACCTGGAGTCCAGGCCTCTGCTAAGGTAGAATTCCATAAGCTGCTCCAGGCACAAGCCAGAGAGCTGAAGTACTGGTAAAACCTTGAACCTTACAAAAACGTGTACATTATTGCTGCAGAAACGTAATTATTCTGCAGAAATTGACGGTTAAACTTTGCTTTATTTTAGGGTATGAGTCTAAATGACTTCCTGAATAACTATTCAAAAGGTCTGGTTTTGATTTAAATGTCTACTTGCCCTTGTCTGATCCATTAAATACCAGTAAGCAGTAATTACACTACATGACCAAAAGTATGTGGACACCACTCTCGTCGAACATCTTATTCCAAAATCATTGGCATTAATATAGGGTTGGTCCCCCTTTTGCTGCTATAACAGCCTCCACTCTTCTGGGATGGCTTTCCACTATATGTTGGAACATTGCTGCGGGGACTTGCTTCCATTCAGCCACAAGAGCATTAGTGAGGTCGAGCACTGATGTTGGTGGATTAGGCCTGGCTCGCAGTCGCCATTCCAATTCATCCCAAATGTGTTCGATGGGGTTGAGGTCAGGGCTCTGTGCAGGCCAGTTAAGTTCTTCCACACCGATCTCGACAAACCATTTCTGTATGGACCTCGCTTTGTGCACGGGGCCGTTGTCATGCTGAAACAGATGGTGAAGCATGATTCATCACTCCAGAGAACGAGTTTCCACTGCTCTAGAGTCCAATTGCGTCGAGCTTTACCCCACTCCAGCCGACGCTTGGCATTGCGCATGGTGATCTTAGGCTTGTGTGCGGCTGCTCGGCCATGGAAACCCATTTCATGAAGCTCCTGACGAACAGTTATTGTGCTGACGTTGCTTCCAGAGGCAGTTGCAAACGAGGACAGATGATTTTTACGCGGTTCAGCACTCGGCGGTCCAGTTCTGTGAGCTTGTGTGGCCTACCACTTCGCGGGTGAGCCGTTGTTGCTCCTAGACGTTTCCACTTCACAATAGCAGCACTTACGGTTGACCGTGGCAGCTCTAGCAGGGCAGAAATTTGATGAACTGACTTGTTAGAAAGGTGGCATCCTATGATGGTGCCACGTTGAATGTCACTGAGCTCTTCAGTAAGGCCATTCTACTGCCAATGTTTGTCTATGGAGATTGCATGGCGGTGTGCTCGATTTTATACACCTGTCAGCAATGGGTGTGGCTAAAATAGCCGAATCCACTAATTTGAAGGGGTGTCCACATACTTTTGTGTGTATATATAGTGTGCTTTGAGTACCTGGCATTCAGCCTTCTGCTTATACATCAAATATGGGGTTAAACAATGTGTGGTGCACAAACTGCTCCGGCTTACCTGGACGAACCGTGTGCTATGTCATCTGTTGGTGTTGTCCAAGAGGCATAGTTTGACTCCTCGATTTAAAAGTTCCCTCTTTGTATGCCAATGTCTGACCCAACTAATCTCATAACTGGTCTACAAATGCATGCATGTTTACAAATGAATGTGTTTTATACCTGCAACCTATGTGGAAACCTGTTCAGTTACATATGGCAAAAAGTTGTGATTAAGTTTAGGGGTACATCTTTTATGTCTCATCCTACAATTTACTATATTTTTCAGAGCGCACAGTATTTGTTGTTTATGAAAGAACACAACCATGTCAAGCTTTTTCTCTGAATGAGTTTCTGGAGATTCCAAACTCAGGTAAGATGTTTGTGTTAGAAGCTTGGATTTAGGGTGTTTACATTCATAAATTGAAAGATGAACATCTTTTTCCCCAGTTGTTTGTAATTTAACTGTCATTTCATGAGAACATTTTCACCATCAATATGTAGGCTAGCTAGGAGATCAGCGATTAGTTGGGATGAATACTTTGCATACATAGAGGGATCCCAATTATGTGGACTATTTTAATCCTTTCCACTGGCTCAAATTCTTTCAAATTTTTGTTTAAAAAAAAATGAAAACGTTAATAGGGTGATGGTGTATCTCTAATTTGTTTTTTAAAACTTAAATATGGGTATTCAATTAAAATAATTGAAGTTATTGAATATGGAAAATATGTACCATTTGAAGACGACAATACACAAAAGTCAAATGGATCTCATTGGAAACTCAACTCTGAATTGTAGCTGTTTTGTTGCGAGAAGTAAATCTCCTGAAATATCATACTTTATGTTTACACTCCACTCATGGTCTGTGAACAGCACTCATTTCTCACAACTTTTTTGCTCTACTCACAGATCAGTATTTAAAATGTAATTTTGACCATTAATTGGTGGAGATAAGCATACAGGAATATGACAATACGAGTCAAATATTAGCCTTAAAAACAGGATTCTCTGATATAATCCAAGTAACTCCCTCAAGGCTGGAACACAGATCGCCTATGTCGTCAAGGTAAGAGTTTTTGAAACTTCAATGTTTGGGGATCATCGTAAAATTGTCTCTTCTTTATCAAACATCGATTTTGTCTTTTAATACCGTCTTTCAGTATTTTTCGCCTGCTTTCTCTAGGCTTATTTAGCTCTTTTGCTGACTTGTGCAACTTCTGTTCTTCATTAGGCAGCAGCATTGTCCTTAAGAGCCTCTCCTATAAAACCGAAGAAGAAAGCCCCCGCCAGTACCCAGCCTCCCGAGACTTCAGCAGACCTGTTTGAATACTATGACGCTGGGAACCACTGGTGCAAAAGCTGCAATGCCACTTGTGGTTCCATGTTCGATTTTTTCACACACTTGCACAGCAAATCGCATCGAAAGGTTTGTGTACCATTTGTAGAATGTTCCAATAAGACTCCAGCTGCAGCAATTCCGCACTCCGGAGTCCTGCTGTGGAACCAGTCACATACCGTACAGACTACATAGAACAACCAAACCATCCTTGCTAGGCTACGCAATAAACAAACATGTTAGCTAGACAGTGTTGCTTAATGTAGAAGTCTTAATAATACATTTTGCGATTGAGTGGTCAGGTAGCTGTGCTGTTCATGCCGTTACCAGCACAACTGGAGCTCAAGATAATCAATCAGATTGCATGGCCGGAGCTAATGTTTTATAATGCATTATTAGCTAGCATTGTGTCATTTGGTTTGGGAAAGGAATGATCATCCAATTCAACACTTGAGTTGATCCTGTCTAGCTAGCTAGATAGTTGAGTTTACATTTAACTTGATAATTAAATTGCTATCTATTAAACACTTGGATGGACTCATCTCTTTACAGGCCCTGTTAGCTATGAAGTCCGCTAGCTAGATAGTTAGCTACCTTGAAAGGGAATGCAGCAGACTCCTGAATGTGATGTGGAAAGCCTATTGGCTGTTCTCTGCAAGGATCTCTTGAGCATTGTGCTGAGGACTTATTGGCTGCAGCTGGACCCTTCTTGGATATTCAGTCATACTCAGTGAATTGAAGAGCTTTTGTTTACTATCATGAAAATGCGTTCTCCTGTTCTTGGTCTTTGTCCCCCATCACTGGTCAAATGTCCTTTTACCTTTCCAACGTGGCATTTCTTCATTTGAACTGTCCCTTGTATTTTTACAGCAAATGGTTATGCATTCTTTTTTCATTGGCACTGTGCAGACTCAGGATCCTTACAATCGACCGTGGGCTTCAAGTTCCTCCAACATTGAGATGAATAAGATGTACTCATCAGGAGAGAAAATGACTAAACCTGCCAAAGGTACAAACTTAGATTTCTGTTTTATATATTTCCCTTTTTTTAAATATTTGTAATGTGCTGTTAAACGTTGTTAGCAATCTTTTACTTTTAGGCTCTTTGTGCTGGATCACTGCCACAGTTTGCAGTCACTGAATACAAAACTATGCGTAAGAAGTAAGAAATAAAAATTGATTTCTATATGCAATGTAAAGGGGGTCATATTTTGGGCAACTGTTAGTCAATTACCAATGTCTATATACCAAAGTTGATGTTATATGTCTATGTTTACTGAATGTACTTCTTATACTCTCCAAGGAATGGACCTACATTTTATAACAATCTACTTTGATAACAGGTTCTTCCATGGAGAGCACAGTAAAGGTAATAATCAATGATTGTTCCCTGTGACCATCAGGTATTTTAAAAAAACTTCTATCTTTTTCTCTCATAGGATCTGAGTTTTTGGTACCTGTGAGGGGATATTATTGCCAGCTGTGCGAGGAGTTTTACGGGGATGCAATTTGTGCTGAAGATCATGCCACGAGTCATACTCACAATGAGAAATACAAGGTAGGCCATTACTAGTTAGGAGTAGGGCATTATTTCACTAGGACTACATTAAGGATGTTTTCACATTTGAAATGTCTAAACCTAGTTCGGTTTCCTGGCGCGTTTGTGAATTCTACAAATGTTTTACTTTCACAGGACTTGAAAATAACTGTTTCAGGGTGAGATACATTCAACATGACGTTAGTACTAAGATAGCTTGTTTACAACGGGCAAAAAGTTCCACGTGACTCGTGCTGCTGTGTCACAATACCTGGTACTGTTGTCCGGGATCTTGGACCTGCTACTCACGCAGGTCCATGATTTGTTTCAGCCAGGGTTTGTTTGTGTTTCACACATGCTTTATAGCAAGGATCAGGGTACCAAACGCTCTAGGATCCTGATCATACAAGGGATATGTGAAAGCGACCTAAAGCTTTGTTTGGGAAATGCTGTCATGCAATTTCCTCAAGTTATGTCGTTAGCACTACTACTGAATTTGTTATAGCTTTGTGCACACAGTCGTCTTTGTCTACTTTGCAGACCTATGATCAAATAGTATCTGAAATATTTCAAAAGTGCTTGATTGAGCTTGCCTGGTGCAATGGAAACCATAAAATAGTCCCACAAATCTTGTTCATTTGGCACTCCAGGCAGGCTCAAGCAAACACCCAATGTATTTATAATTCTATTTGAACCCTGGTCTGCTACTTTGGGTAGCTTAAAGACATAGTTCACCTAAATTATTAAATGTTATGTTTTCCTCAAGTAGAGGCTGTAATACAAGTTTTAAGTATGTTCACCTAGCCATTGTCACCATCCTAAAGTCTCAAGTTCAATGACTTGTTTTGAATTTATTAGATGATTTGGGCATGAAATTTAAAACATGCTGATATTGATTTACGTTGGGTTTTGGTTAGAAAATGTTAGTGTTTGGTATAGGTGGTTAGGTAAACACTCATTGTGGATTGCACTCTGTCCTTGTGATAAACTGCCTACCAGGTAAGAACACTTGTTTTTGTAATTTGGATGTACTGTCCCTTTAAGTCTAATTTTAGGGGCAGTTTTTTAAAATTTCACTTTAATGACTTACATATGTGTTTGGTCCTTCTGCCAGAAACAAATGTATGAGTATCCACTCTACGAACAGAGAAGGAACCTGGATCGTCAGGCTGGACTCACGTTGGAAGTTGGTGACAAAAAGCACTCTGAGCTCAAACGCAAACACGAAGAGGAAGAATCCAAAAAGAGCAAAGAGAAGGAGGAAGGGAAACATAAACGCAGCAAAAAGGACAAGGAGAAGTTCAAACACAAAGAGGACGAGGGGAAGGCTAAGCACAGCAAAAAGGAGGAGAAGTACAAATATAACAAGAGGGAGGAGGAGGAGGTGGAGAGGGCCAAGTACAGCAAAAAGGAGGAAGATGAGAGGTCTTTGTACAACAAGAGAGAGGAGGAGGAGAGATATAAACATAGCAAGGAGGGGGGAGATTGGCCCAAGTACAATAAGAAGGATGAAGAGAGATACAAGCATAGCAAGGAGGAGGAGAGGTTAAAAAATCGCAGGGAGGAGGAAGAGAGGCCTAGGTCGATCAGGGTAGAGGAGAGACCCAAGTTTAGTTGGAGGGATAATGAGGAGGAGGAAGACCGGTCCAGATATGGTAAGGGGAAAGAACCCAACCCCAAATATAGCAAGAAAGAGGAGGAGAGGTGTAGATCAGAGAGGGAGGAAGGGAAACCTAAGAATGAAAAGGAGGAAAGACAATCAAGAAAAGACAAGGGTGAGCGTCAAAGGGAAGAGGAGAAGTCAGGATCTAGAAAGCAGTCTGAGCCTGAGAAACCCAGTGAGCCTCCCAAAGTGTTCTGTGGGCCTAATCCAGCATTGAGAGCAAAGCTGCGCAAGAAAAGTGAGGAAACAGCCAAAGTGGAGCCGAAGGCTCCATCTGCTTTTGGGAAGTTCAGCTGGAAGAAAAAACTAGAAAATGACCTTGCAAAGGAGGCAGAGAGAGTGGCTGCTGAGTTCCTGAAGGAAGATGAGGCAGATGCTGAAGAGGATGATGACCCGGATGCGTTTTCAAAGTCTGTGGCCGCAGCCAAGAGCATTGCTATCAAGCTGTCAGGGAAGACAGTCATCCCCCCAGCTAACACATGGGTACCCTTCAACTCCGGAAAAATAAGCCCAAACCTTCCTGCTCCCTCCATAGTCTTGAGAAAGTCCTCCGGACTTGGGCCCTGGGTCTATGCTAAACCGGCCCCTCTCAACACCTTTGTCTCTATCAGACCTGCCAGTGGAGTGACACCTCTGCCTGTCATACAGAACCAGCCTACAAAGGACCTTGTACTGGCAGCAGACATAATTTCCAAGGCGTTCTGTGGTGAGGAAGTGGATTTTAAAGCAGATGGCACCGGGAATCCAGATCCCAATTTTACACCAGACAAAAACAAAGCTTCCACAATGGAGTTGGTTAGTCAAGCCCCCACATCCACTCCTTCAGCAGTGATGCCCGAGTTCAAGACTCCCCTGCCTCCACCGCCTGTCCTGACCATGATGACCATGGAGTCTGATGTATCTGCACCAGGAGTCCCTGAGAGTGAGCAGAATGTCCCTGTGATGGTCACACCCCCTCCTTTCATGCAGAGACCCCCAAGTGAGGTGATGAAGAAATCAGAGAAACCGAAGTCTAGCCTAGCTGCCGCAAAAGCCCAAGATTTATTTGACATATTTTATAGCAGCAGTAGCACAGCCAGTACCACATCCACCACCAGCACTGCCATGTCCACTAAAGCAGTCGTAGAGTCCAAAGTTGCACAGAATGACTCAAAGAACAGCGAAGCCTTGGAGGCTACGGCCCCACAAACAGAGCAAACCCAACCTGAGCTCCCAGCTCTTGACAACAGTAACACCATTGAAACTGACACAAAGGAGTCAATAGAGACTTATACTGGGTCTGACCCACAGCCCAAGGAAGATGCACCTGAGAATGCCCACATACAATTGGATAACCCATCAGATACCCTGGGTATCTCAACAGAGACCCTGGATCTCCCAACAGAAGTGATGGGCCTAGATCTGTTTGATTTAAATTTTGATTAACAGATCCAACTAGACACCGGGGGGGGGTAAGGTAGTTGATGGGATTAGGGTGTACATTAGAGGGGAACAAGTAGTAACCAACACATCCCTCTGATTAGGAAACTAAGCCCTGTTGCCTTGGGCAGGTTAATGTTTATTGTCATGAATCTTGCCCTGGATGCAGAACTGAGTGATTTCTGCTAGATGGGCCAACTGCAAAGTCATAATTGCAGTGTGGTTAAGGTTAGGTTTTGATTTTATGACTTTGTGGCTGTGCCACTTAGTGACCACTGCAGATTTGCCTCCAGTACATGAATCATCCCAATAAATGCCAACCTGCTTAACTTAGTGGCCTTAGCAGGCAGCTCGAATTTGAATGGATAAGGGAGTGAAACTTCCACTGAAAGAATTGAGACTTTCTTAAGTGATGAATCTTCAGACATTTTGAAGCTTGTGCTGCAGTTCTGCAAGCCTTTTGTGTTGAATTATTTCTTCATTCATCAAAACTTTTCTTTACTTAAGGTAATGTACAGTACCATGCTTATTGATTACTATGGTTTGCTGTACATCCATGTTCAGACTCTTAAGCAATTTGTTATTTTCTCTTTAAATGATTGAAAGGTATTTTAATACAGGTACAAGGGAAACAGTTAGAAGAAAACAGAATTTGGTAAGGTAGAGCAGCATGGACCAAAATATCTGAACAATATTTTATTTGTCAACTGCGCCATGTAATATCTGTCACTCTTTACAGCACCCTCCAGAAAAGAAGATGTGGATATAGATACTCATGAACATAACCTTGGAATTGTTGCTCCTTTTTTACTTTCAATTGGTTCACTGACTGTACTATGTGCAATGCTATTCTGTGTTAGTGAATATATAATCAAACTGGTTGTCCTTTAACTGTTGTTGCTAAAGTAGAATTCTAATAAATGTCAGTGACCACAACATTTTCTCTTATTTCTCAGACCTTGTAGTTGGACCTTGTAACCATAAAGCATCACTATGGTATGCCCCTTGCAGTCAAAAGGAATTCTGAAGAAAAAGCTCACTATGAGTGGCTGCAACGGGCAACTCTGAAATGAGCAGGACAATGTGACTTCGGAAAGTATTTGGACCCCTTGACTTTTTCCACATTTTGTTACGTTAGTCTTAGTTTAAAATGGATAAAAATCCTCATCAATCTACACACAATACCCCATAATGACAAAGCAAAAACAGGTTATTAGAAAAATAAAAGTAATGGAATACTACATTTACATAAGTATTCAGACCCTTTACTCAGTACTTTGTTGAAGCACCTTTGGCAGCGATTACAGCATTGAGTCTTCTTGGGTATGACGCTACAAGCTTGGCACACCTGTATTTGGGGAGTTTCTTCCATTCTTCTCTGCAGATCCTCTCAAGCTCTGTCAGGTTGGATGGGGAGCGTTGCTGCACAGCTATTTTCAGGTCCCTCCAGAGATGTTCGATCGGGTTCAAGTCAGGGTTCTGGCTGGGCCACTCAAGGACATTCAGAGACTTGTCCCGAAGCCACTCCTGCGTTGTCTTGACTGTGTGCTTAGGTTCGTCGTCCTGTTGGAAGATGAACCTCTGGAGCAGGTTTTCATCAACAATCTCTCTGTACTTTGCTCCGTTCATCTTTCCCTCGATCCTGACTTGTCTCCCAGTCCCTGCTACTGAAAAACATCCCCACAGCATGATGCTACCACCACCATGCTTCACCGTAGGGATGGTGCCAGGTTTCCTCCAGATGTGATGCTTGGCATTCAGGCCAAAGAGTTCAGTCTTGGTTTCATCAGACCAGAGAATCTTGTTTCTCATGGTCTGAGAGTCTTTAGGTGCCTTTGGGCAAACTCCAAGCGGGCTGTCTTGTGCCTTTTACATTTACATTTTAGTCATTTAGCAGACGCTCTTATCCAGAGCGACTTACAGTTAGTGAATATATATATTTTTTTTTATACTGGCCCCCCGTGGGAATCGAACCCACAACCCTGGCGTCGCAAACGCCATGCTCTATCAACTGGGCTACATCCCTGCCGGCCATTCCCTCCCCTACCCTGGACGACGCTGGGCCAATTGTGCGCCGCCCATGAGTCTCCCGGTCGCGGCCGGCTGCGACAGAGCCTGGATTCGAACCAGGATCTCTAGTGGCACAGTTAGCACTGTGATGCAGTGCCTTAGACCACTGCGCCACTCAGGAGACTTTACTGAGGAGTGGCTTCAGTCTGGCCATTCTACCATAAAGGCCTGATTGGTGGAGTGCTGCGGAGATGGTTGTCCTTCTGGAAGGTTCTCCCATCTTCACAGAGGAACTCTGGAGCTCTGTCAGAGTGACCATCGGGTTCTTGGTCACCTCCCTGACCAAGGCCCTTCTCCCCCGATTGCTCAGTTTGACCGGGCAGCCAGCTCTAGGAATAGTCTTGGTTGTTCCAAACTAATTCCATTTAAGAATGATGGAGGTCACTGTGTTCTTGGGAACCTTCAATGCTGCAGACATTTTTTGGTACCCTTCCCGAGATCTGTGCCTCGACAATCCTGTCTCAGAGCTCTACGGACAATTCCTTCGACCTCATGGCAAACATTTCAAAAAACCTGTTTTCGCTCTGTCATTATGGGTTATTGTGTGTAGATTGCTGAGGAAATTGTTTAATTGAATCAATTTAAGAATAAGGCTGTAACGTAACAAAATGTGGAAAAATTCAAGGGGTCTGAATACTTCCCGATGGCACTGTAAATTAATGACGCACATCATTGTGTGTCCAATTAGGCTGACCTGACAGTGATTTTTATTTTAAGTTTTTTTCATTCTTTTTTTTCTGCATAACCTAATATAAGTAGTATAACAAAGGTGAGGGCAGCATAGTTATGCTATATGCTACTATAAGAATTATATAATTCTGAGAGCAAGTGACTGGACTTGAGATCAAATGTCTGGCAAAAACCATCTCTGAAGTTTCTACTTAATGTAATTTTCAACAAAGCCTGCTGGGACATCAGTCTTCACTTCAGAAAAGGTAAGGCCACTTGCATCAAAACAATGAAGATTTTCCTGTAAATGTGCTGTGGAAGGTGGATAGAATTTAAGGCAATACAATCTATACATAAGGTGAATTGATGTACTTGCTATGCTAATCCAGGGACAGAATATCATATGATATTGTTCTGTCTCAATACAGTCTACAATGTCACTGAATAATTATTCAGCTGTACTGAAATGCCCATTTCTATTCATTTATTACACTGACTGGTTAATACTCTATCGCCAATGATACCATATGTGAATTCTTGCTCATTGTCCAATCTTCGGAGCATGGTCTCAAATGTTTGGTTTATTTACGTGTATGTATTGTTTTAAACCTTGCACAAACCAATGTAATTTACTTTGCCAAATAAAATATTTTGAAGGTAAACCCATTGTCATATTGATTATGTCACTGATCAATGCCAATAACATGCTTACCATCTTTTTACAAATTAGGCACATTTTGACATCCTTTCCCATGTACATAGATGTGATTCCTCTTCAGTCCTGAAGGAAGTATGGAACATGTCCAGTAGGTGGTGTTGGTCAGGTGCATTGACACTACAGAACCTGAGACCACACAGCCTTTTACCAGTAGATTGTCTAACAAGTAAAAGTACATTGTAAGTGGTTACATAAATTGTGGCTATAGTTTTGTAGGCTGTACAGTACTGTAAACCTTGTTTGAGAGCCTTATTTCCAGTGGTGTGCTGCACAGATATGCACAAATTGCCAACATGCATGCCAAACATTTCTCATATACAGTATGGGATTACTTTGGTAAACCCAACATCTTCCTATAGACCCAATATTGTTTAGAATAAAGGTATTGGATAATCATATCTTTAATTCTCCATTTCAGAACAACATAATATTCTAGAGATTATGAACTGAAGCTAGTATGGATCATTTTCCGTTGCAGAGCTGCCTGCATACAGTATATATACTCAGAATCCATGATAGTTTATTGAAGATTGTTAATGTTTCTTATGACACCCTAATGCACATTATTTCTAAAGCATTTGGTGAATTTGTTAATGGCTGACTAAATAGTTGAAATATGTCTAATTTGACTATAGTTGTATGATGTGTTTCACATTGTCAGTAAGTAAAGTGTGTTGTGTTCAATAGAACACTTTAAAGCATCCAGCTTTTCTCAGTAGGGCTATTTTGATTCAGAATATGACATTCAAACTATTTTATTTTACAGAATAACAGATTTGTCTTGGATGAAGTGCTTTTATCATGACAGACTTGAGGGTGGCTAAATTCCCCTTGAATACATTGGAGTATCTCAGCTCAAATGGCGTCCAATGCTTCACAAAGTCTGAGTATTTGTATGTCATGAACAACAAATCTTCAATAAATTGTCATGATGGATGTTGCATTTTCCAAGTACAGTGCCTTCTGAAAGTATTCATACCGTTTGACTCATTCCACATTTTGTTGTGTTACAGCCTGAATTCAAAATGGATTAAATAGATGATTTTCTCATCCATTTACACACAATACCCCATAATGACAAAGTGATATTTTTTGGTTGAAATGTTTGCACATTTATTTGAAGTGAAATACAGAAATAACCATTTAAATAAGTATTCATACCCCTGAGTCAATACTTTGTAGAAGCACCTTTGGCAGCGATTACAGCTGTGAGTCTTTCTGGGTAAGTCTCTAAGAGCTTTCCACACCTGGATTGTGCAGCATTTGCTCATTATTCTTTTCAAAATTCTTCAAGCTCTGCCATATTGGTTGTTGATCATTGTTAGACAACCATTTTCAGGTCTTACCATAGATTTTCAAGTAGATTTAAGTCAAAACTGTAACTTGGCCACTCAGGAACATTCACTTTCTTCTTGGTAAGCAACTCCAGTGTATATTTGGCCTTGTGTCAGTGGCGACCAGTCATTATTATTTTTTGTTGTTGCCTGTTTTGCATGTTATTTTGGAAATAATACGTGTCACATATCAGTTTGCAAACAATGTAATTTTC